CATTCTGCGGCCAGCCGCTTGTGCCCATTTCACTCCACCGCCCCCGCTTCTTTGCAACAGTTTCAAGCACATTCCGTCTCTTTCATCCTTTAGTCCAGGCCCAAGTTGCGAGTTGACAACGTTCAGGGTCCAATACCTTCCAAAGAAAGCTTTGGCTTGAAAACTGTGCGCGGACTTCAGCTGAGGTCGCCGAGCTGGAAAACCACTGTGCAGTTGCATGATCTTGCTCCGTAGGCTGCTGCCACGACCATGCACATTGCTGCGTCTGAGGTGCACCAAAACTATCCATCCCATGATGTCTGTGGCACTGCCATCCACGTCGTCAAAAACCATGAGTGGAAGCGTGATGATGTCCTTATCTGAAATCCACAGAAATCAGGTGCAGCTCAGCCGCTGGAAGCAGTTGATGCCATCCAAGGTTCATACAGAATCATGATTCCACCAATCGCATCCCATGTCATGCGCTTCGCGCTGGTTGGGTTGCCAATCACATGCCGCATCGTACCATGCGTCCTCGGGCTGCAGATCAGATGCGTCCATCCCAGAACTTCAGACTGAAGCCCTCAAAGAGATGGAAGTTCGACTCATGCAAAGTTTGACATAAACGGCAAGGCATGAAGAAAACGCCAGCACTTTCATAGCACTGCTCTTCAAGTTCACGGCTTGTGATGAACACGCACCGAGGCCAGCACACACCAACAATGGTGAGTTCTTCGATGCTGTTTGTACCTTGTCAAAAGCCGCATGAGGCATATGAACTAGGCTCAAGCTGACCCGTGAAGACCAACCGGTTGAAACCGTACTCTTGTAAGTGCACATCTGCCCGGCAGACACGTGAACTGCCATGGGATTCTCGACTGCGTAGTCCATCCGGTCTCTGATTTTTACACGGCATCAAGCTGGCATTCGTGCTGCCCTCGAAACTCTCTGAGGCTCCGGCGGTCTGTTGTTTGGATTCTTTGTCCCAAATTTTTTGTGGTGCCCTGACAGGCTTAAGTTGCACCACGAGACAACTCAAAGCTCTGTCATCTACGTCCTTTCCCAACATCGGCTGCATTACGGCTCCTCGCTGCAAAATGTGATGAAGGCCAACCCAAACATAAAGACTCAACCTGCTTCAGGGGGGTCTAACGTTCAGCCACTACTGTACCCGGTCACTGGTAGCTTCTTCCTGCTCTTGCGTCAGAGTCACAGTCGTCTCCCGGCCGCCCGTCTTAAGAGAGCCGAGCAATTTGGAAAGGAACACGACCAAGACACCAAAAGACCGGGACACCACCATTGCAGGAAAAACTGCAGCACACCGGGACACCCAAATCCCAGAACCAGCCGCCTCCTTCAAGAGTGAAGAACCCCAAGCTAATCGCAATTGGGGAAGAAGGACTGCGCAGATGGCACCACAGTGGCCACAACTGCGGCCACCTCCTCCATACAAAAATGGAGAAATATGTATACATATCTATAATTATATATATTATATATATATACAAACATTCAAAACCCCACGCAGTCCAAAAACAAAACTAACACCCTTTAGAAGCAGCCCCCCCCCCCCCCACACATACAAACCCTCGCACACACACACCGGCCTGCCGAGCACCTCAACTCCAAGGCACCAGAGTGCTGAGCACCGTGTCGACCGAGCATAAGCACACATGTGCACGCACAGTGCGTTCTGCATGCGTTATGCCTTGCATAAGGCATGGGGTCTAGGGCCGAGTGGCCAAAGGAGGATTTTGTCCAAATGTCGTTCAACTCGATGGACTTTGGCTGAAGTACCAACCCTTCGTCACCTTAGCGATAGTATGGAACGACAATGAACGAAAGCCTCTCGTGCCCGAGCTGGCGTGTGAGTACAGTAATCACGTATAATGTATGGGCAGCAGGGGGTCAAGGCCTCCATGCCGCAACTCGGCGCATTCATCAGCACAACACACTGGCAACATCAAAGTCCCCGCGTTTTGAGATCGGGATGACGGGAAGCGGCTCATGGAAGGCGGACAAGGCACCCGCTAAAGTTGACCGCTGCGTCCTGCCGAAATATGGACAACTGCAGGCGAAAATGACACATCCCAAACGGCAAGCCACGCATCTGAGAGCCCCTTTGGACCCCTCTAAGCTGTCAGGCCTCTGCTCGTTCAACGAAACCGCAGAAGCCGCAGTATTCCTTGCATGTCGCAAGACCCGTCGTGCTTTTTCTCGCCCTCGCAGACATTTAGGCTCTTAAACTACTTCCACAGCATTGCCAGGCCTTATCGATGCTGGCTTGGGGGGAGCAGACTGTGACCTGGCGGCAAAGGCTCACAGGACCTTCCCAGCTCGCTGGAGTTAAGGGTACAGTGAGGAGCGGTACAACAGTGAGGAGCGGTACAACGGCCACACGAGCATCACAAGTCAATTGAAGACGCACATCAATTCACATAATCAGGCGTGCTTGCACATGGAAAACACCGCGGATTGAGGCCTCTCGTCTGGGACTACCTGGGCCACCTCTACCGACTCCACTGCCAGCCTGGCAATGCAAAAAGTAGATTGAGGCAAATTCGCGAACTGCACATCTTCTGACCTTAGCAACCTAGAAGACTAGGGAAGCAACGTCCTTTCGAGTGGACATCCTTCGCCAAGCCGCAAAAGGTGTCCATTAGCACAGATGTTGCTTTCCTCTCGGAGATCCAAGCTCCTGTTATCCCAAATCCATGTTTATCCAAGGGGCATGGGACTGCTGCCGCTCGCATCAAGTCTGTCGGCCCTGCAACAACCAGCAAAGCTTGAACCGTTTACAATGCCATGCCGGGAGTCATGGAAACGACACTGACTGCTTTGACATGACTCATGTTCGACCCTGTGCCGCTCGCCTGTTGCTCTCCAGGGCCGAGCATTGACTGAAAACTGCGGGATTCTGGATTCTCAAGGGCATCTGCAAATATGTCATGTCAGCCAGAAAGGTTCTTCGCGTGTTTTTTGTGCTTGAGCATACCCTAACAACCGTAAATGATGCACTAGAAAATCAAACACTACCGCCGCAAAGCCGTTTTCTTACACAACATGTTCAATGTCGCCTGCCCTGACGCCGAAGCATCGACAGAAACGCATGCTTTTCGGACAAAGTGCCGCATAAAAGATGATGCGATCCTGAACGTAGTCGCCTCACTGGCCCTGCCTCTGGCTGGTGATGCTCGCATCGCTCATGGTGTCCGTGAGCAACCTGAAAGAAGCTGCTTGCAGCGTCATCGCTCACTCCCACGCGAGGCACATAAGGCAGCTGGTCGAAGGTTTGCGAGACTTACTGACTGCGGAAGTGACTCGAAAACCCTATAGTAGTGGATCACAGACCACTCCGGGAACATGCAGAACAACTAGAGCAAGGCGGTTCAAGGTCAGGTGTAAGGTTTGGAGATGAGATGCCGCGCCGTTAAAAGCACTTGACACCAACACGGCGACACAACGGTAGAGCATAGCGTCAAGCAAATCGGCCATGCCTGTCATTGAACTCCGAAGCTTGGGACCACCTGTCGAGATCTGAGGGGGACTGAAAACAACATTCTGCGACCCAGTGATGATGAGCCCAACCGTGCCCAGCCTGGTCGTACTCTGGGCGTTTGCAGCGCTGGCGGCATTCACCGTGCTCATCCGGGCTTTGAATGATCTGTTTTCCGCTTGCAAGGCGTCCAGTCGCACCTGCCTTGGGGGGGAGGGGGGGGGGGGAATAAGCCTCAATGTTTCACCGTGTCACCCCTGCTCTCTATCCTGATCCCAAGCAAAGTCACCGCGACATATAGCACCCGGTAGCTACAAACCCGGCCTTATCTCATTCATGCCGCCTGGCTTGTGCCAGCATGCTAAGCATTGTCAGTGAACTTGGATGTCAGGCACCCGTGGGAAGGAACGATTACGGGGCCTGGAACCCAATAAAGAAAGCCATGGACACGGGGCAAGCAAGCAAGAACCAGCAAGTACAGTATGCCAGGCCTGAAGCAACCCACAACACCTTATGCTGGCATTATCTGGTTCAACTCAGCTTCAAAGTTTCACCCGCAATCACACACATATGGAAATCCGGTCGGAGCCGGTTGTCACATCTCTTTCACTCATTCACATAAGCAGGTACGTCCAGCTGGCCAAGCCGGATGCCTCTTTGTTAGATGCTCGCTCTCCAAGTGTGGGGCATTCCCCTGCTGGAAGAATCAACTAATTGCATTGTCCAAAGTACTACCGTCTAAGCGGATCTTACCCATTTAGAGCACTCCTATACTCTTCGGAACAGAGCTTTCACATACACACACACACACACACACATACATAGGGTTGTTGGGCCTTAGCAGGGAGGCAACGATCATCTCTAGGCGTAGGCCTCAGTAGGCTGTAAACCGAGTCCGAGTCACAGCTGCTGAATCTCTCTGTTGTGCTGCAATGCCAGTTGTTTTACCAGGTCGTTGAAATCCGTTCCAGTTCCATCTGCCACTCTGGATTGCCGGCTTGACTTCGCACTGGCCTTGGAGGGGTTTCAGACCGTGGACTGGAGGCAGCTAAGGCCGCGGGCAAAGCAGCAAAACTACACTGCAAATTCTTTACCAAGCTGCCATGTGAGCCATGCTGTTCGCTGGCTTGACCCCATCTGCAGGAGTAGAGAAGGTCTCTTGGATGATCGACGCAGCGGCCAACATGGCGCCAACGCAACGGCTAAGTTTCCTATATCCTACGAGAGCATGGGCTCCACTCCGCAGCAAAGCGGGGGGTTGATTGGGGCGCATGCTAATATGCTACATCTGTCTTACACGTCGCATGAAAAAAAGCACAGCAGCACGAGGGATCTCGGGGTCAAGTGGGCGATCACTGCCTGATCCGTAGATTTTCAGCAATGCAAAGCCCGTCTGCCGGGAACCAGAAAATTAGGCGGCTGCAGAATCTGCAATCAGTCTACACTCTGCAACATTCGGTGAAGATGTGGGCATGTGTGATTCGAGACGAGGTAGCACGCGAGCCGAGGATGCTGGGGACAAGGCCTTGCACTTCGGATCCTTCAGATGCTTCGGCCTGTGGGCTCTTGTTTCGCTGTGTGCATGTTTAATCCTAGCGGTCCTAGCGACTTCTCCCGTTTGAAACCATGTGACCGAGCACTCTGATTACTCCACGACCGCGCCTCCTCGTTTTTAGGCGATGCCCTGCCAAGCGTGATAGAACGTATGGCAGTTGCACTTTGGAGTCTTGGAGTGGGGACTGTTGCTGTCGAGAAAACAGGCCACGAGGGCAGAGATGACAAAGCCGATGGAATGGAAGCAAGTATTTGCCTGAGTTTTTTCGAGCTTGGGTGAGGGGGCGGCACTTTCCGGATCCCCATTAGACTACTGTTTGACTGGCTTTATTCCACTCTAGAAACTCAGGGACCGTCAGCGATTCCGGAGCCACAGACAAAGAAGCCTGCTACATTACTACATTTCAAAGGATAGTATCTCGCAAAACGTTGGAACGCGGCTACCTGAACCGCACCTGGCTCATGGTTGCCTGGACCTCCGCGTGGTTTTCGTCATCCAACATCTGGATCCTTGTTTCGAAGGCGCTCCCTCTCAGCCAATCCTGGTCATGCTCTCGTCACATGGGGGCCAGGCTGCACATCAAGGCACAGATGGAAAGGCTTCACCTTCAAGCAGAGAACCCCCCTGCATTCCATGGCTGAAAACGGCAGTGACCAATAAGCTTAGCCGGCAACAACATTGAAGTTTGCACCTCTGGCCGTGCTGCTACCTGGCGTACCATCTCCCAGAACGTATTGCTTGCCTGGATTGTGTCTCAATTGCCTGGCTACCTTCTTGGCCTTGTGCCCAGTGAAGTGTACAGTGCACTTGGCGTCTGGCGAAGGGATATGTCGTCCATATTCATCTTGCAAGCAACGCCTCGTCACGAATTTCTTTCCCAGGCTGACCACGGGTAGATTAGACTTGGATGGCCATCAGAGGACACTGCCGGGCAGACACAGGGATGTTTGATGCACGCTATATATATATATATGTATGCTATGTATATATATATATATATATATACACTTGTGACTTATAATATAGACTTTGATGATTTGTTTATACAGCTAGCGTATCTATACCCTGTACTTCTTACATAATTAAATAGGCCTACAGAAAATGCAGGCCTGTAGTACGTCCAGAAGACTTCGGAATGTTACAAGTGTATGTGTATATGTATGACACAACAATACATACCCACCTACACACATACGTACATACATACATACATACATACAGACAGACAGACATACAGACCGTCGTGTGTATGTGTATATATGTATGTATGTGGCCATTGCAACTTCATGAGATTCTGCATTCGGGTTCGAGAAGCCGAATGCTGCTTCTGCCGCCCGAAACGAGGATGGCGCGGTCGTATGCGCAGGGCCCCAATGTGACAAGATGCAGGTCCCCCAAACCTCAGACTACCAAAGAAAGCCTCAAGGCTCCCGGTGTCACAGCTCCAGGATACCAGCAGCCCTGAGGCACAAGCTGAAGCGCGCAAAGCCAACATCTTCCACGGGAACCTGGAACCGTGCGGAAAAGTCCAGGTCTCCCATCGAACTGCGACTCTGACTCGTAGGTGCGGGGCGATAACCACAGGCGAAGAGATGCGGACATCCAGCTGTATCTCGTCAGGAATCTGCGCGTACACCTAAGCTTCCGTGGAATGCAGAGGCTACTGTAGCATTTGCACATCTCCTTTGATGCTAGCACGCTTTCTTTGCACCTTGTCCACGACTTGCTGTGAAATTTGTAGACGTTCCTCACGGCAACCAGAAAGTCAGCGTTGCGTGCATGAACCCCCGCCCAGACGGAAGAGAACCGTCAGGTAGCGTGTGAGCGCAGAATGTTGGACACAACTGCTGCTGCAGACCTACCTGCACACGCGCTTTGAACGGTCCTCAGCGTCGTATGCACCCGACCACTGCGGAGAGCCTGTGTCTCTTTCAAAGAACCTCGCGCACACATCCGAGAGCTTTGCCGGCGCCAGTGCTGTCCAAGCCGCAAAAGAGTGTGATGCTTGAACTCCACTCTTCCATAGAGCGAACTTGCTTCTCCGCAGAACTCAGCTCAGCACTCCAACAATTGGCTGAACATTCCCTGCATTAAGCAGACCTGCACAGGACGTGCAATGTAGATGCGATGCAGGGTTGGGCTACACTACACTCTGGTTTATGAACCCTAAACCCTAAACCCTAATGGCCCTAAACCCTAAACCCTAACCCTAAACCCTAATGGCCCTAAACCCTAAACCTAGATGACACGAACCCCTGGCCTCCAGTGGTGCAAAGCTCAACTGCAATGTCAGCAAATTTCGAGCTGGCCTTCGACGCAACCCCACTCAAGGTTGCCAAAGAGAAGTGTGGCCCCGGCTTTCTTGCATGAACTCATTTTCTGGGGCTTTTGCTCTAAGGTGTTTGCCAGTACCTCGCATTCTGCAGGGTAGGATGCAGCGGCCGCTTGGGTTCGGAGCTACGCTCCATCATGACAAACCCATGAACGAAGGCCCCAGCGAGATGTCCAGCAAGATCCCCAGGCAAGATCGGCTGGGCCCTCGACAGCACAAAGTGCAAGGTTGCCATATTCCATAGCAACACAGCGCGTCACTGCATCTACCCGTCCGCGATCAGTGCAGCTGTAGGGAAGCAGAGAGCAGATGTCTGGGACTCCCTCTCTGATTGGCGAAAGCACAACATGACGTTCCCAGCGTGCCGGGCCTTAGCCCGCATCTGCCACAAGTACGTTGGAATTAGAAGAGTCGTACGAGCGTTCCGAGTGCAGCACTTCACAAGACTTGTTTGGCCCACTATGCTCCGCCCCCAAACCTTTTTACTCCAACGGGCCGGAGTATCCGGAGTATCCGCAGTCTTGCCGTCTGTTCAGCTCAGGCCTGAAAAATGAAGTGTCTGCGGCTCAAGCAATGGAGATCTACCACTTGTCTACTTGAAGCGTGCCTGTTCTAAGGTTCTTGGCCCCCTCTGAATGCACCTGCGGGCATCATGGTGCTGTACTCAAAACGTGACACGAGGGTAAGGTGCTCACGGATAGGACTGATTTAGGTCAGACGTGGTTAGACGACGAGGGTCTAAGGTGCGCATCTGCTTGTATTATAGTTGGTTTGCCGTCTAGCGCGAACCTCGGTAGCTCCAGCGGGCACCGTGTCCTGCCGAGAGTCCTGACACGAAAGTATCTTCGAAGTCAGCTTTCTCCAGCCATTCTAGACTTGTCCTCCTCAGGTCCCTGTGGTGCAAGAAAAATAACAATAGCTTGCAGGGCAACTGCAATTGTCCTCCAGACATGCTATGCAGACTTCCCCAGGTTCGGTCGCTTTTTGGGCGGCCCGCATCCGAGCAGGACGCGGTTATGCCATGGACGAGTATTGCAGTCGGCATCCTGCTTTCAAATCGGAATGCCAACTCAAGCCTTCCTTCAACGGCCTGATGGTTTCTACAAGGATGCAAGTTGCTGTGGGCTCAAAGAGCATGCAGTACAACTGAAGGAAAGCAAGACGATGGAGAAGTCAGTGTTCGCCTGCCAGCGTGCTTGTTTCATGCAACGCCCTGCGGCAGAACCCACAAATTATGAAATACAGTACAACACAGTACATTTTGCACTGGACATCACATGAACCGGACCAGTCCAGACAAAGGGGACAACATGTCCTTATGGACGTCGCTCAAAACACAGACTCAACGGATTGGGGCAAGCATCAAATTGAGTTGGCCCGCTGTACATCAACCTTGAACCAGTGGCGCAGGGATCCCTGCGTCTGCTTCACCCCAGCATCCATGCCAAGAAGCGCAAACATGTCGTGCAAGGTTTCTGCACAAGCTGTGAGCTCCTTCTTGTAGTCTGGATTGGGGCTGCCCAAAACCTCCTTGTCCGGATAGCCAAGGCCAGGGTCGGTATTGACCTCGCACATCCAGACTTTGAACTTCTTGTCCAACATGAGGTCCATACCAAAAATCTCGAAGTGACGGTCTGGCAACACTTTGAACCGGCGCTGCACTGACTTGCCAATGTACACAGCCGTGTCTGCCGCAATCTCTAGAATCTGCTGCCAAAACGATGTTCTGTCAAAGTTGGGGTTTGCACTTGTCAAGTGACTGATGAGCTGACGTATGCGGATCTGCTGACCCTTGCCAATCAGCGGCTTCTCTTTCAGGAAGTTGTCCTTGTTCTTGGGCGTCGCATTGAGGCCCATGTTGGTCACATGCACGGGGGGGTCAAAATTCACTCCCAGCGTCTGGTCGCAAACTCGGTATGGCTTCGTTGCAAAAAGGCACTGCCCATTTTCCTGAACAAAGGCCTCCAGCGGAGAAAGATTGGTGATTACCAAGTGGATGCGCAGGTGAAATTTGTATCCCCCGAGCAGCAAGGGGTCTGCCAGGTACTTCTGCATGATGGAACGACCCGACTTGATGTCTTGGATTGTACGCTTCAGATCTGGGTCGGTACCCTTCCACACACAGATGCCGGCACCCCCGTACTCGTTGCGTGGCTTGCCGATCCAGAGGGCGTTGCGGCGCGCGGCAACCTCCCGAAGAAAGCTTTTTCTATCATCTGGAAGGACGAAGGTTGTGGGGTACCAAGCCTTGTCTTTGAATGCCTTTGTGAAATTTGTCTTGAAGAGAATGCGCTCAGTTCCTGGGAATTTCGCAATCCGGTAATTGCCAGGCTTGCCGGGCAGCCCTGCACCATGCTCCACAACCAACTGAACGAAATCTTCCCTCGAGCGGCACTGATCCCTGGCAGTACCCGGGACTCGAAACGGCATCCGGCCCATCATCCAGAGGGCGTGGCGGGGCAACGTTAAGGCTTGCAAGCGATAGCCGTCTTCAAGTGACCCGCTCTTCCCGAAGAGTTGAGATGGGCTCTTCCCTCGCAGGCATGCCTCGAACTCCTTCACATAGAAGGTGCTTGAATCAGTGTTTTCGTCATAGACACCGTGGCATGGGGCAGTGCTGTATCGCCAGCCTCTTGCCCTCAACACCTCCCTCAGAAGAGGGCCATAGTTGATCTCGGATTGGCTCTCAGTAGGGGCATCAAAAGCTCGCAGGTGGCTCACCGGCCAGGCCTCCGCCACTGGTCGCGACGGGCGGCAAAGCTTGGAGCTCTCGGTCCCTATCCTTTGCTTCTTCTGTGGCGAGGGTTGTGCGGGCCACGTCCCTCTGCGTTTTTGGCCTCCCTTCGATGCAGGCCGCGCCATGCCAACTTTACACTGCTACCACCCTAGTTCCCCCTGGAGCCGTTGCATAGCTGAAGCGCCGCGAATCACGCATGTTTGCCCCTGCTGAACCCATCACAAGAGCACAGGCTTGCTCCTGAAGCTCACTTGCCAGCAGCGAGATTGAATGCTCCTGTCTGCTCATGGCTGCCGCATGCCGACTGGCTTGTGGTTGTATCTGGGTCTGTGGGTCTAGGTTGTAACTGCCAAAACTGTGGACAAAACCCCAAACCTTGGCGTCCTTGTGCTGCCTGGCATCTTTCAGCTCGTGCGTCAAGTGCCGCACCTCATCCTGACGGAGGTGCAAGGGGCCACTTCATAGCCAAAACGCTCAAGAAGTCTACTTTGGCTTTAATGCTGTCCAGGCTCGACCTCCATGCTGGCATCCCCTGTCCGCATTGCCATGTAAACACCTTCCACTCGTCTCTTGGCATCATCGTACCTGAGGCTCATCCGTATCCAGCCCATCCTCTGTGAAGCTGTTACAGCCTGGGCGTTGCTAGGCTCTGGACTCGCTTTCGCTCTCCTGCTCCTGTGTGCAAGCAATGCAACTTGCACGAAACAGCCCTCAGCAAATCCAGAAGCACAGCCAATGCCTCGCGGCTCGCCTTCTGAATTCGGCGTTCTGCTTCTGCTTCTTTGCTCATTAGCTGGTCCACCTCGGGTTCTTATGCCTTTAATATTACATCGAGGCCGATGCTGCGATCACTCTGGGGATGCCGGCCTTGCCATCAGCCTGTGCAGACGCTGCTTCGTAGGTTTCCTCGAGCATCCGGGCCGTCTTCATCATCGCCTGACCAGCTGGGAAGTATCATGTGCATCGCCCACACAAGGCCAGCAAAAAAAATGATCTTTCAGACTCTGCATTGTCAAGTCGACAATGGGTACTTGTCATTCAATGTCGTCCCCATTCTATTCAATGCCAAGTCACAACTGTCTGCTTGCTGACTTTGGACAACTTCACCTGGACGGTACTCCCGAGTGGCTTGCCCGGTGACCTGACCTCTGGGTGTGATGCCTGTTGCGTCGCTAAATCAGCTCTGTCCAGCGGCACATGTAGAAGCGCCAAACATGTGTAGACCTGTGTAGAGTATATTAAGTACTCTACATTTCTTACGTGTAATTGAAAAGTTTGTGTGTTCATGTACATAAATACAAACATATGCAATCTGCGCTATATGTGGGCATGCTGTGTGTTTGCATGATGGCGTTCAGTATGGCAGGTTTACGTGATTTACAATCTTTTGCCTGAACCCTTTCTTTTGCAACCAAACCCTAAGCCCTTCTTGATCAACCCTAAACCCTAAACGGCCCTAACCCTAAACCCTAAACCCTAAACCCCAAACCCTAAACCCCAAACCCTAAAACCCTAAACCCCACATGCCGTGCCAAGGCTGCCAAGGCACCGCTTCCAAGGCTTTCGCCTTGGTGAGGGACTCGTGGAGAGCTCGCAGCTCCTCGGCTCAGTACGATGAACCTCCAACACTGCCAAAAAAAAGAATACTTCCTGATGATGCTTTCTCGTCCTGTCGTGATATAGTATGTGTGTATGTGCGTGTATACATATATATATATAGTAGAGTACCCACTGTTGCATAAAATGCTTTTCGCTTCGGCGCTCGCGCTCGCGCTCGCTGGCGAGGTTGGACTTGAGGACTTGAGGGCTGGGCTGATGCAGAGCCAGTGATGGACGACTCGGCCATGGCCGTGGTACCACGAGCCTCCGCCTGGAGACCTTGATAGGCATATTGAGCCACAACGGGCACGGCATGCGCAAGGCTCGTGTGCGAACACTCGAGGATGCCAGCTGATTGCTGAGGTGCGGGTTTGAATCAAGCTTGATCTCTTCATCTGCCTTTCGTTCTGCTGCTTTTGTGCTTGCACTTTCGCCTGCCAAGAGGAGGAGTGACGCAAGTCCAAGCTGCTTGTGGCTGAATCTTCCGGCCTTCGTGGCTGTCTGCAGGGCTTGCAGGGACACAGTGTTGTGGCTCTCCTGAAACGTCTTCAATTCCCTTAGATGAGCAGCTTTACAAAGATGTTGGCGGCTTCTCTTTCTGCTACACCTGGCCCAAGCAATAAGTGAATGCTGGAGTGGCAACTCGGATGATTTACCCAAGCCATGTTGAGGTTAAGTTGCGCAGCTTGGCGCGCAGCCGCCTGGCTTTCTGCCTCTTGCGTGCAACCAAGAGCCAATCAAAAGATTGGGATCTACAAACTCAGGGTAAAAAGCAACCTGCTAATTATGGGCAACGTTCGTCTTGCACCGTTCATGATCTGCACGAAGCGTGACACTGTGTGCCTCCTTGAGCTTGGCGGCAAGCTCAGCCTTAATAGCTGCGTTTTGCCTGCGTGCAGCCTGCTCAGGGTAGCTCGTAGACAGTCAGGAAACCCATTATCATCATGTCAGTATCTAGCTCTCTTTGTTCGCTCGTCTAATTACCATACAGAAAGAATACAGAAGAGAATGAGAAGAAAGACGCGTATTCGGAAATTTCATATTCGATTTTCATTTAATAGTAACCTATGGGCTGGTTTGGCACTCTCGTGACGATCTACGAACTCTCGCAAAAGTCTCTTCAACTCTGTTTACATGCAAGGCTGCTATTGGCTTTCCCCTATGCTGCCTATTCATGCACCATGCAAGTTCACGTGCGATTTTACGACTAATTTCATGCGCGCACTCGCGCATCTGCCCATCAGCTTCGGGTACATATGCGGCCTCCCGGCACAGTATCCCAAAATTTAACAGCACAGCCCTATCGTAACCGGACCTTGTCTGAGCTTCGTCGTACGGGCCCCCCCCATGTCAGCAGTCCTATGCAGTTGGGCCCAGTGACACTGCTTCCCAGTTCCTTTGGACCCATGCATCTCTTGGTTCCCGAGCCCCGTCACACCTAAGTCACTGTCTGCTCACCCCTACAACACCGGGGCATCATCTGTGCGTGCGCACACTTCGCTCTCTCTCTCTCTCTCTGTTTCGCTCCCTCTGTGTATTTCGGTCTTTCTTTCTTTTTCCTTTCTTTCTTCATTCTTTCATGGGGCAAGGGGATCACCCTCCGTGCAAGTTTGCCCGCGCAAGTTTCGGGGTTGTTGTTGCGAGACTTGGGGCTAGGGCTAGGCCGCACAACAACTTCACGGCACATTGCACCCAACAACTCAATCGCAAGTTTAGACCCACTCAATTAGCGCCAGAAAAAGCAATGTATGGCTCCGGGCTCCGGGAGGAGCCGCCCCAGGGGCTCTTTTTTTTTCCCCTTGCTTTCTTGCTTTCTTTTCACAAGGGCATAGGAGCCAAGGCTCCACTCCCGCGCATGTCACACGCCCTTGACTCAATTCGGTGCGGCTCGCACTATCACTGCGACAGGTGTCGGGCTTGTGCAGAACAAGTAAGTATCATTTCTTCCAAGGGTCTTGTAAAAAGTACTCAGCATAAAATTTTACAAGTAGTTTGAAACTTTTTAGCCGGCAAATAACTGATACGTTTTGCGTTTCCAATGTGGGGGAAGATATTTCAATTAACAAGGAGCACTGGCCAGCTCCCCCAAACGATGACAAACACAGCCCCAGACATGGACCCCTTGCACTTGGGAAGCCGTTGACCTTCTATGCTTGTGCCTTCCCATGAGCAAAAGCTGCCCCGCGACGACGTGTTAACATGATTCGTGCGGTCACTCTCTTCATGTCCTCGCAGCGTCATCTAACTCTGCCTATCTCTGCCTGGCACGTAGGCTTATAATGACTCGGTAAGCCGTGGTGTCTGAGAATGATTGCAGGAGGAAATCTTTCCAGGGCTGATGGGGCGGGGAACCTCGATCTGGCCGGACGCGGCTGAAGCTCTGTCCTTCTGCACAGCAACCATTTCAAAACTGCAACATTTTTATGTGCACGTTTGCGACAGAAACAAGCACTTTGCTTGGCGGGCGCAGTCCTGAACCTGGCTTTCCTGTAGTAGCGCCTGGCGCTTAGCCGTGTGGAGTTTTGCCTGTTGAAGACATAGGGACTTCCACCGCGTTGCATGGATGCTGCCTGCCCACTACCTCGCGACACTCCATGCCTTGGAGCGATTTATGTAGCCCTTCAGTGTCGACATCAGGTCCTGTTCAAAGAAGCCCTGCATGAGACCAAGGTGGTGCAAAGTGCAAAGTTGAACAAAGCGCCAGGCCTTGACCTGGCCCTCACTTTCAGTGACGTTCTCACGCAACACGTTCAGTTCGCCTGCCTTTGACTCGAGCCGCTGCCTTACTGTGCATGCCATAGTGCAGCACGTGCATTCGACTCTCGCACTACCACGTGCGGGCGAGGCATCCAGAAACTCTTTAAATGAAGGCAGTAGGGGTGCAGAAGTGAGGTGACGTTCTGGCTGCTAGCCGCCATATCCTGAAAGTGGAGCGAGAAACATGATGCAATGTATGCACTGTATCACCGCGATAGCAAAAAAAGGCTCTCCTTCTTGATACGGCCCTCGAGCTGGGTCGTCTCCTCATGCAGAGATTCCGTCTCCCGATGCTTGTTGGCAAGCTCCTGGGCATCAGGCAACGCCAAGAATGCCACAATGTTTCGAGGCATTTCGATCTCAATCACTGGGCAGCGTGCCTCATTCAAACTGACGACCTTGGCGTGCACGTGCTTTAGCTGGTCCTCCTTTGAGGCCAAATGGTCCGTGAGCACGGTTGCCTGGCCGGATGGCGTTTGTGCTGTGACCACCTGCTCTTGTGGTGCTTTCTGGTGCTATATGGTGCGACACCACTCAAAGCATGCAAGCCTCGAAAAGTACCAGCATCACCCTATCAAAAAGTCAGACCAAGTGCAGCTAGGACGCCTGTTGCGTGACATCCTCGACGTGGAGACGCTCATCCTGCGCATATAAAACAGGGTGAGTGTGGCGCCTGTGAGAGCTTGTGAGAGCGGGTGCCGATCCTGGAGCTCAATCTTGGCTTTCTGAAGCAGAAGGGTGCCTTGTGATGCGACTTGGGCGCAGCTTTGACTTGCCACATTCCCGCGCACACAGGACGGGTGCAAAAAAAAGGATCCACATACGGCGCTACGGCGAACTGTTGCTTCCACGTGACTGTTCCCGACTGCGAAGTTCAGTCTGGCAAGCTCCTCCTGCTTGGACAGCATTCGGTGCTGCTCGCCACGGGCCAAATGCCGTGCTCGGGAAGCTTGCGTGCTTGCAGACCTGCTTGCGTCGTCGCGGGTTTTGGGTTGGAGGGAAGGCTATCACAGGGCTGCCTCGTTGCACTAACTGCTTCCAATTGCTAACCTCCTGCCTGCTCTGCACCTTCTCTTGAAGCAAGGCTTCTGCGTAGGCTTCTTTCTTTTCAGCCTGCGGAATGCGCCATGAATCTCCATGACTTATCCCGCATCTGGAAAGTCCCGCCAGCTTCGGAAGCCTGAAGAAGCGGCCCTGCTTCTTGCTGAGCCCTTTGGGCAGCCAGCCTTTCAAAAACTGTGAGGTCAAGGCGGAGACAGAGACAGGCGGAACAGCACAACCAGTGAGGCAGCCACTCAGCTGTGGAAAGGTTTTGCTTGATCCTCTGAATTTCAGACCTCGCGCACTGTGCACGGGAGCGCTTGTGAGCCGGTGGCACGCGCATGTGGCACCTGTAGTGCTTCTCTTGGGCGCTCAGGCTGCTCATCTCCTAAGCTGGCACAGCCTCTCCGCTGGCGACTACGCGCGGACACTTGTAAACAGGTTCCCCTACACGCCACGACATATGGCGAAAAGATTCTGCGGCTTGCTGCTGGGCGCGGTTTTCAACCACAGCTTCCAAGTCCTTACAAGGCACCGGAAATTATTTCGTGCAACTTCCCTCCGTCTCATGGTGCCATGCAGTGCCTCAGACCATCTAATCTGGAGCGGCACCTGGTTCAAAGAATTCTCGAGGCTGAGCCTGAACTTGGCAGCTGCCAGAGAAGAGCTTCAGCAACGTTGTGTCAGATGAACTCATGTAATCTCATGTACCCACTTTGCTCAAGGGGTGCTAACTGCCAAGAAACAAGCCGATGGATGCCTCCCTGGGAGTCTGAAGTTTCTTGGCCTGTCATCGAAGTCAACCGGTGAAAGTGGGCGATACTCATCATGCCAAGCGCCTCGTAAATCACTTCGTTCTTCTCTTTCTCCTGAGATTGTGGTGCCACTGTGCGTGCTGGCCCTTCTTGTTTGGTGGTGCCAGTGGTCTAAGGGTCTTGCCGCAGATTGAAGTTCTGCATTGAGTTCCTTGAGCCTTTTCAACTGCTCCGTGAGCTTGCCAGCTTTCGCCTTCTTCTCCTTTTGGGCAGATCGGTGATGTGGACAGCTCACGGACTCAATGCCTTTCTACTGTAGGTGTGAAGGGCCGCACGACATGCAGAAGAGTACCCTCAGCATTCCCTCGAGGCGGCGAGCGTGCACGAGTGCAGATGTTTAGTCGAGCCAGCCCTAATATGGAGCATATGCAAGTCTGTCCGAAAGTTTCTCCGTCGTTTCCGACTGCTGCTTCTGGACCTGGACATCACTTGCCGGTGCTGCACGAACGAGTGCACAACATAACAGCAGTTAACAGCCCATGACATTCTGGATGTCTCTAGGACCAGCTGCCATTGCCAGGATGCGTCTCTCAGCTGTGAGCTCCGACTTCACTGCCTCAGATGTCTTTCAGCGCATGGCACCCTCTCACCCTATCGACATGTATCACCACTGTCCCGTGGATTGCGGGGCCACGACTCGAAGTTGATTCGCCGCGCTGCGGCTCAGTGCAGATGGCGACGCCTTCTGCGCATCAAGCGAGCATGATCAGACAAACCCGTATCACAACAGGATCCCCCCGAGGAAATCGCCTTCTGCGCTTCATTGCAGGTGGTGCCCAGGACCAAAGCCACAGCAACGGTTCGAAGCATGGCCTCTCACAAGCAAGGGCTGCAACCTCACCCAGTAATCCCCTCCCCCCATTAAAGCCCGCCTGCCCTCTAATATTAAATACTCCCATTTTATAGTTATGTTTTTGGTATATTGGGGGGGCATTTAATATCAGGGGGCAGGGTGGGGTTTACCAAGAAGCAGGAAATCCTCACAACGATTGCTTATGTTACGGGGCTGTTGTGCAGCTGGAGCGCCGGGAAGAGCATCATGAAAATGTTGGCGTTCACTCTGCTACCATCTACGTCGAGTGATGTGCAACCTTGCCCTGATTCCGGCTACGCTATCCAGTTGCCCATTTACCTTAGATCGCCCTTCTGTGTGTTATGTTCCTTGCTCTGGCTGGAGCCTCATGGCCAGATTCCCAACACACAAGAGACAACGTGTGGGGCACGATGAAAATTCAGAGGGCAAGGGTTGCAGGAGCGCATCGATGGCTTGGCGCGTGACCAAAAACGTATGTAGCTTTCCTTCAACACCTTGTACCAGGCTTGGAGACTAGAGGAGACCGGCTCAGCGTAACGCCGATGCGACCGCTTTAAGAGCGTCGCGCCACTCAAAAGCATCCTTGCCGATGTGGTCAGTGAGTGTGTCGACATCAATCTGCACGGTGTGAGGCCGGCAGAAAGCAAACAGAACCACCAAACGCGACTACTGCAGTCCGCGCCATCCAGTTCGCTTCCTGCAGGGATAAGCCTCCAGGAGCCACAAAATCATGTCTAGTGCATCATCTCTTGCACCAAGATGGCGGTCTTGAGGGCCCGACTTAGCAACTGCTGTCTCTTCGCCCCCTGCCGAATTAGGCAATCATGACCCTGTCGGCTCGCGTAGGCATACTGCTTCTTGTTGGTTCCAAACAGAACGTGTATCCACACCGAGGCTGTCAACCATCTACCAGCTGCAGCATGGAGCAATGTTAAAACTCGCCGCCGCCTCGTCAAATCGGTCATCCACGAGGTCCAGCGTCATTTTTCCAGTAGCGAGCTCAAACCTGGAGATCTGATACTTGTAAGCAAACTGAGTGCAAGGTCTCGATGGACAGGCATTGGGGCCTTGTGACTCAAAGGTCACAAGGTATACTGACGACACTTCCGAGCCAATCTTAGGGCATGCAGGTTCTCGAGCTGGTTTTTGGATTGCGTCAAAGTCGGGCCGAAACTTCGGGGTTTGCCTGGTAAAGCCCTGGTAATGTAGTAGAATGTAGTAGACAACCAACTGGTTGATGATGCGACAAAGTTTGATCCCCGCTTCTATTCCTGAAGGTTACCAGGTGTCGCCAAACCGAGAAGTACTGCAATAAGCTGCGAGCTTGACTCGCTGGGGAAGATCCAATGCCTGCCGCTGCTGCTACGACTACCAATCAGCACTGAATCTACAAGCGCTGGGCACACGTACCATACTTTCTTTTTCGCATTTGGTCTGGCTAAGCAGATGGACGAGGGAAAAGAACACTGCACCCGGCTCCAACTAAAATACCCGATTTGCAGTTCATGAGTAAAAACTGTAAAACAGATACGTGCTCATCCTTGATGTTCGCAGCCTGCATGCAGGCTCTTGGGCATGTCGGATATGTGCAGCTCTGCACGTAACCCTACTTCGCAGCTGCTTTTTCATTGGCTGGAGCATGCCAGTATCTAGCTGAGCTGATCAACGAAGACTGTGATACTTGCGTAGCTACGATGGGTAGAATGATAGTCCATGTGCAAGTGGACAAGTTGTGGGTCACTGTTGAATGTCGTTAAATATGAGGCGATCTAGACGTTCTCTGCTGGGCTTTGGCAGCCAGAAGCCAACACGCTACACTGTCACACTCACTACACTCATATCAGCTACGGTAGCACGCCCTGCGTCCGACACCCGTTGATGCAGGATGCGCCTCGGCCGTAAGGCGAACCCCCGACACGTCCCGCAAGAACTCCAGCAACATGCATGCCCACGGGCCGCAAGAGGAGGAGCTTGATGGATTCAAGCGGAGGCCAGCTGAAGGAAGAGCTTGACAGACCCAGCGGAGGCGAGGCAGGGGCAAGAGCAGGCAAGATCAAGCAAGAGGCAGAATCTCAGGTCCGAAACGCACATGCAGGGAGGAAAGGGCTCAAGGTGCCCGAGGCCTCCGCATGCCTCCGCCCGGCGGCGGAGTGCCGCTCAGGCGTGGCAGCGGAGCAACACGGAAAGCCCCTGAAGGAGGCTGGCATGTAGCATGCCACTGTCAGAGCCAGTGCGGGCAGCCACGGCGTGTGAGAGCAGTTGCAGGGTCTTGGCGGCCACCGGTTTCCAGGCCCCGGTGGACTCGATGTGTCAATGAAAGGCCAAGGCAGCACACTCCACTCGCGCGAGTACCAGCGGCAGTAGATCGAACACAAACCCCCTGATCCCACTGTGGTGAGACACCGGATGACACCGGCACTCCCTGCCTCCAGCTTGGAATCCTCAGGACCATCACGTGACCTGCTGTGATTCTGAAGAGAACGTGATTCATTCACTGCTGTTCTATCCGTGCTCTTGCAGCATTCAACGATGAATGCCCACATGTTGAGTCTCGCTCGGCTGCTCGGTGCTCAAAGTGCTCGAGGCGGTGCCTTCCAGCCTAGACCACGTGACCACGTCAGACCGTTGCTCGTCGCATCTCGTCGCTTAGAGTCTCGGCAGAGGAGTATGGCTGAGGCTGCTGCGCAGACTCTGCCAAGCTGTCCGCCTGCATTCAGCGCGATGCACCACAAACTGCACGTGCCGCAGTAGGTGACACCGCTCAACTGCTGTCTCAGAGAGCTAAGCAGAACCCCAAACCCCACGCAAGACGCGCTCAAGAGGTAAAAGTGCGGTGCGATGTTGGGATTCAAGGTTCGCTTAGGATGTCCAAGATGTCTAGGACCAGGCTGGACTAAAACATGCATCCACGCGACTCAAGCATGAAAAGGTGCTGAGCTGTTGAGATTGCTCAGGAATTCCTCTGCTTTCTTGTTAAGAGCCTCCCATGGTTTTACAGATGTTGTAAGGCCCACGGAAGAAGGCATGCACACCGTTCAAACCACCATCCCCAGAATCCCAGTGATTTAGTTGACGCACAGGGTACAGTTGTCACAGCGGCATATGCAGCTTACTAGTTTCGGCCTTTGCCACGGATAGTCCACTCTCGCGGGTGTCATAAGCACTAGCCCTACACTGCACCCAAAAACTCAACATTGCACTGCAAGCATAAAAGGCGAAATGGTGTGCCATCGAAATTCGGCAATGCGAAGGTCTGCTGGCCTTGCTCTGCACAAGAAACTGCTGCCGCGCCAGCAGCCGCACCGAGAGCGCGTCCTCAAGTCTAACGAGCTGTGCTGCCATGATTGGCTCATTCCCTGTCTTGAGCTACACAAACCCGCCATTCTCTCCTCCAAATGTTGGAATCGCAGCAGCTGTTGCGGGGGAGGCTGTGCATCGTGCCCCGGTCTGCGGAAGGTCAAGTGGGAGGAACCACAGACTTTGTGTGGGAGTGGTGTGGAACACTTGTCCCAAGATGCTGAAGTAGATGCAGGGTTAATGACTGTTAAGAGCATGGCAGTTGCATCCTGTGCTTAAGAATGATCTCGTACAAGTCGCCATACCTTGCGACTGACGATGCGGCTCAGACCATGCACCAGAACTCAGCTGTCTAGATTCTAAGGCCCCTGCTCTTCCAAGGAGGCTTTTACATCCTTGTCTAGGTCGGACCCATGCACAAGTTTCAAAGGAGCGCCAGCACAGAACTCCGCCTTGCCTTGTGCAACATCTCCTCTTCCTCTGCCGACACCATCATACGATACAGTGTTGAAGCCTCGGGCACAGCAGCTGGTTGCAGCTGGGGCGTTGCTGCGTGCGCGAGTCGGACTACCAGTAACAGTTATATCGCCATGTTCCGCCAGAATTCGCCTTTCACCCCTATCCGAGCTGTACCGCTGCATCATCAGCGCAGGCGTTTAAGACGCCCACAGAAGCAGCTGCACTTGCCCACAGCGCCAAGCATTGCCTCAGCTTTTCGCGCTGATCAGCCGAAATGCACTGTACGGGACACGGGTGGGGTTCGCCCCGAAGCTAGGAGGCATGCTGCACTTGCGATCGCAAAATCGCCAGTTCGGTCACCTCCAAGTGGACTGAGGACAAGTGACTGTGGTCTGTCTGGTACTAGTACTGTGCCTTCGAATGCACACGTTTTTCAGCACCTAAACGAAACGGAATAACAGTAGGAATAATTGCACAGATGTCGCCTCTTGCGTCGCAATCTCCAGTCGAAGACTTACTGTCTGATCCTCGGCCGTGGCACTTATAGTGATGCTTCCTGCGAGGATCCGAACGCCAGCCTTGCACTGGGTGCTTTCCTTTTGGTTGGTCCGCTGCCGGCACCGGACACCCATGGCAATGTGCCCACTGGCCCCCCACCAAGATCTTGGCCTCTCGTGTGGAAATTGCCGTCTGCTCGCTGGGCCGCGAGCGTTCGGCACATGGGCCAGCTTCAGACGTGCGCTTGTAGGACCTTTGCCAAAGAATGCTTGAGCAGACCAAGCCACGAAGAAGATGGTTTAGGGTCCTGTTGTTCTGCTGAGTCTCTGGCTTAATGCATAGCCTGGTCGATTCTGTTGGCTGCGCTTGCTCTCATGAAGCTTTCAGGGCCCCGAGCCTGCGTCTGACAAGGAGAAATTTCCAGCCCGGGACACGAGGACTCCAAGACCTGACATGCCCCGTGCTTGACGCATGTCGCCATGTCGCGCACGACTTGGCAACGAGCAAAATTCGCACTTTTTGCGAACGCGTTCTGGCACCTGCGTGCCGTTAGGAGGCTCCAAGCCGAGAGACTGCACTGTGCCAGTTCACCCAGCACCTATGCAGATGATTCATGCGCAAGCGGGCGATGTTTTACATCATCCCTGAATGGCCATGAAGACATTCACATGTCAATCGGAACCGCAAAATCGAAACCGCTTCTACAAGCATAGCATGGCTTCAGTGGGTTTGCTGTGCATGTCAGCAAGTGCCACTACGGACTCATGTGCTTTTGGCAACAGTTGGTGACTGCTTCCCTTAGATGGGCCATATGAGGGCGTGTCCCAAAAAAGGGTACCCCGCTACAGACTCCCAGCATACGATGTCCTTTCGTAACTTTAGCATTGGAACCCCCCACGAAAGGGTACCCCTGTTGGGCAACCCCCATATGTGCCTTTGCAACTTGCTGCGCTGCGGTCTGCCCACACTGCCAACTTAACCTCTCGGAGATTCGGCTCGCCTCCGAGACGTCCTTACACAGGAAGCTGTCAGCTCGTTAGCTGGTTAAAGGGCGGCCAATGACTGCCACGCAGGTCAGCTGTGGCGGTTGCCTTGGGAAGAACTTGCCCCTGGCAGTTTGCACTTCTACCAGTTTTGGCTGCAATTGCGTTGCTATCTACCGCACATGATCGTCCCACGACACTAAACTCGACTGTGAAACGGAAGCACGATGAACACGGCATCCGGTGCTATAAATAGACGCGGGTCCAACTCTTGGGACACGTGCCAGATCTGTCCTGTTCTGTCTTAAGAATCTTGAAATGAATTTCTCGAAGTCTCCACACCAGGCACTTTGAAGGTAAAGTCTGCAGGACTGCTTCAGTGTCCATGCTGCCAGTCTTCAATCTCGACTGATCCAAGCTTGAACCGCATGATGCAGGCAGTGCCGACGTGGAAGGGGAAGTGGGCTCAACAAGGTTGAAAGGAGTTGAACCACCTTCTGCGTGCAAATGATTGCAATGGACGGACGCCTTCTGCGTGCGTTTAAAAAATCTTGCAGCCGGGCTGTAGACGTTCACAGCTGCTGAACCAAGGAAGTTGAACCCCCTTGAGCAGCCAAAGACTTTCTCAACATTCTGTTCGTCTCCTGGCACAGCACGTACGACAACCAGCAAGCGACACTCTTTTTCACAACGATGGTTGCAAACAAAGAAAATGGCGTCGTGGCAGGGCTGTGTACCCACTAGTAGACGGCTATCCCTCCCTCAATCTTTCCACAGTCCTTGAAGTGAGTCTGTGCGTCATGGCTGGTTGACTTTGACAACACCAATGAGGATCGCAGCACGGACAAGTTCTCTCCTGGGCTTGGCTCAGTTGGGCTGGTTGGGGAATTCTGCGAGTTTCTTGCTTCGTATGGAAAATGATGGAAAATGGCTAGCAACACACCTGAAGAAGCGAGCATTTTTTCAGCGATGAAGTGAGCAACCGTCAGCATTGCTGAGTCCAGGTCTGTCTGCTAGAATTGCGGCAGCGCACGGTCGTTGTTCGAAAGGCACGCAAAGAATCTCCTTCAATCGAAAGGGGGAGTGATGACATGTGCACACATGGACAGATTTCAGCCCGTGCTGTTGCCGAGCGCACGTGGGTTTTGCAGCGCCGGAGGCTCCTCCAGCTTGCCTTGCTCTCGGAAGTCGTAGTCGGTCGCAATTCCTGCGCAGCAGTTGTAGTCCAAAGCTCCCAAATCTCTCCCGACAAGAATGCAAGAATCTAGAGCTTGCAGGTTCAACAGTTCAACAGTTCAACCATCGACCATGCATGTGTCATATGGGCCATGCTGGCCATATGCAAAGGAAGGTAGGCATCCTGCGGTGAGCTCGAGTGCCTGCATGATTCAGAATATGCAGCGTGCAGAATAAGCAAAGGCTGTCAGAAGACAACGAACCCCCTCTTGCGGCACCAAAGTGCACCTAGACATCAGAAAAGGAGCCTCCAAGGCTTTGCGAAGGTCATATGATGGAGCTGCGGGCGACGAACTGGAAGGCGATGCGTTGCCTGGACGGAACCAGTGGAAGTCTTGGTTGGTGCTGGCACAACCGAAGTCAAAGACGGCAAACTCTAAAAGAAGACAAAGCAGTAAGTGGGTTGAACACCCGGAAGGGTGGGTGGGATGCCAAAACCTTGGCTCAACAAGATCGGGAATGAGACATCCGTCCCTGTAATGGAAGATGACCGCTTTTACGTAGATTGCAGACCCTAACCAACAATGAGAAGGTAACTGGAAAGGCGGTGTTGGGCAGGAAACCATGCAATGCGTGTGTTGCAACCAAACGTGTTTGAACACCCTGCGAATCGCACGTGCTGGAATCGCGGGTGCGCTGATGCGATTGAACCAGCCATGCCTGAATTCTGCGGCATCCCGTGATGCTTGTATCACAGCACTTGATGCGGCATGCTCGAAGTGGACTCTTCAACGAGAACTTTAGTTTAGTTCAGGAGACGTTCGGCATGGAGAGGATGCAGTTTCCGGGGGGGGACACACTTGTGCTCATCGAAACAGTGGAGCCATGTGCAGCTGCTACGCTTCAAGGTCCAAGAAAAACTGCGCCAGTCTCCATGCATGTATCCATACATTGTTTCAGCGGTGCAGGCGAAGAGCTTGCCAACAATAGCTTGCGAACCAACAGCCGACCAAGGAAAGCCTTTCAAAACACGACCTGCCAACGACCTGCAACATGGCACAGCCTGTTGCCACTGTGCTGATGCTCTGCACAGACAAAGAGTCGGCCAAGCTTGCAAGCCAGGAGCCAAGTTCCTGCATGGAGAAGCTTTGCTTGCAGAAGCAGCATTAGAACGCACGAAGAGTGCGCTAGACCCATGCGCAAGCTGTGGACAGAGAAGCCTGTGGCCCAGCGAAGCGGGGAGGAGCCAACGTTTGCAAGGTAATGGCCTGGACCCACAACATGCAACACAGGCGATGTCGGACTCAGGCCGCCCCTTCTGGCTCCCAAGCCTCGTAGAATGTGGCGCCCACCGACCACATGTCGGAAGCTGCCGAGGTGCGCTGGGACTTTGCCACCTGGGCTGGTGCCGACGGAGGGTTTAGGGATTAGGGCTTAGGTGTTTTTTATTTCCCTCGGGTTTTTTTTGCCTCGGGTTTAGGGTTGAGGGTTTTGGGTTTAGTGTTTGGCACCACGATACCACTCATCATGGCTTTCAAAAAAAGATGCTGCTTGCACATGAAGTTGGCTGCATGATTCTTTCAGTGGTGACTTTGTACTTCTGGATGCAGAATGGCTCAGAAAGATATTGGTACTGTCAATCAACTTCATGAGCGGTTGGCTGCTGCTTTCAATGGTTGCAGAAACAAGTGTAGAAAGCATCAAACCTGACCGTTTGTGGCGTTTGTCTTTCTTGTAGAATATTTTGTGCTCGGTATCCATGGTGCACTTGGCAGTTCCTTCTGGGAGACAAGCGACATTCCTGATTAGTGCTTGTGTTTTCGTTCGTTTCTTTTTTGGAGTTCGCCGAGAAGAAACATACATTCTTTCAACGTTAAGCCTCCCCTGCTTTGCGGAAGTCTTAGAATCACCCTGTTCTGGTAGAGACGTGCTCCCTCGTCCTGCCTCAGGGGCAGAATAAAGAGGAGTCGTGATGGGCGCCTCCACGTATGCATCCTGGACTTCGGACCAGGGCATCCGAATTCTGCTTCGTGAATCTTATCATAATATTCTGTGTTATAAGAATAGTAATAGTATATTATACAATATTATGTTCTATGCATTTCTATGCTATTAATTATAGCCGCAAGTTTTCCAAACCGTGCCTTCTGGGGATGCGGGCCCTTTCCAGGCAACCGCATTGCACTGCCAAAATCGCCAAGCCTGTGCTGCTGGCGGGCTTGAAGCACACTGACTCTCACCGATCGCCAAATGACTGAAGCTTCAAAGCTCAGCCGAAGCACTGAAGACACACACCACCTTGCCCCAAAAGCAAGTTGTCCTTAGAGTTGCGTCTCAAATTACCAAAAGCATGCTCCGGATCGCCCTCTGACGGATCTTGTCTTCTAAACACAACATGCAGCTGTCATCCCGAGTCATCTGCTGGACTTGGAGTGCCTACCGGTTCCTTGAGCAGCGCTTTTCTTAATTTAAGGACAAGCCTCTGGCTTGATGTCTCTGTGCAGCACTCCCTGCATATGCAGGTATGCCACGCCATGGAGGCATTGAAGATACCAAGCTCCCAAGTGCTTCTCGCCTGAATCAAGAGGAGCTGGGGTAAGCAACTGGGCCCCAAGGCGAGTTCTCAGGCCAGTGCGTATGCTAAAGCTGGAGGTGCTTCGTGTCAGAGGGTCAGCACCTCCGCAGACTCACACGGATGCCAGGCATACATCCGGCAAGGGCATGCAAGGGCCTTCTGCATCACCCACAAGGGCTGAAGAGATACGGCTCTTCAAAGAACCACCCTCCATGAAGGGCATTACCTTGGTGGGGCCGCGGGTGCTGGCACGGGCGATCGCAGCATGGTCATGAGTGTATGACGTGGCAAGTCTGACAAGTCATGGCAATGGGGATGCATCACTTTCGTGAAGGCAAGGGGCCATGTAGTGCAGGCGCTGCTGCCTGGAAGAATATTTCAGGTCCGAAAGTGCCCGTGTGGAGACTCGTCTATTGGAGGCAAGCCGACCTCTCATGAAAAACGGGCGGCGCCTGTTCTCCCAAGCGCTCGTTAAGGAAACGATTGTAGGCCAAGACATCTTCTGCATGAGCGCCACCTGCACAAGTGCACAAGCGCAGTGGCAATGTCGGAACAGGGTCAGTGCAGCTCTCATGCTAAGTCAGAGCAGTGGAGGGCAGCGGCTTGTTGCCAGCCGATGCCACGAGGCACCTCTTGCAGCAAGCTTTGACGATCCTTCTCGCGAAGCAGGCGTGTCGGCACCTCCTGCAGCAAAAGCTAGAAGCGCAAAGCTCTGCACCAGCATGCTCACTGCCAGATGTCAAGCCTTCATGGCGAAGATTCGACCATCGCGAAGGCGCTTCACCCTGTGCACCACTCCAGATGACCCCCGGCCAAGAGTCTCGCAGACCAGGAACTCCTGCTCTATCGCAGGACAGGCTCAGGCTCGGAAGCATGCAAAGCTCACCTAGGTAATCTACGTGTACGAAGCCATAGACCGCGGGGGTCGGGGTGGGCAATTAAGAGGCCGAAGTGGCGGGACTTTCCCCAGCAACGGAATGTTCAACTACCAGCTGCCCTGCCCACTATCGCTCACCACAGATACCATGACACACACACACACACAGAGACACACAACAGAGACATGAAGCGCAACCTTCTTCTTGCCTTGTGTTCTTCTTTGGTTGCGAACAGATCTGTTTCTGTAGCAGATCTGTTTCTGCACCCTGTATCAAACCCACCTCGGCCCATCGCCGCTGCAAGGCGGCTTCTGCTGTGCGTCGCAGGTCTTCCAGCGACAATGGATGCAGCAAATACTCCCGGATGCCTGGCAAAGCAGAGCAGAGAACGTGCAAAGTTCTTAGAACCCCAGCTCGGCTGCATTTTCTTGCCCTGCCTCTGTCCTTCAGGAGAAGCCGAATTTGGTCGTCACTGGAGGCACAGAGCTCACTTCCAACCTCATGACCGATACTGCCTCCAATATAAGCATGCAGCATGCAGAATCCGCTTCCCCTTTTTGACCCGACCCTAACCCAAAAGAAAGAGCCCGAAATAAGAATATATGCCAAAGTGGCCATTTCCAGCTCCTCTGTGCGACTTGCTAGGGTCACATACACAGGCTCCTGCAAGATTCAGGGAAGCTCGGGGCGAAAAGCTGAGTTAGGATTCGCATGCAGGGGGCCAAGCTAGAGGCAGCTAGAGATGATGTCATGAGGTTCTTCCTTGTTGCCCCCCCCTTGTGCCTGCTTGAACTGCACAGGAAGGTCGCGGTCCAGCCAAGCAGTTCCCAACAACACCAGGAACGTTGGAGATTCCGCCGATTTCTTGCCTTAAGTCACAGCAGCAACCGACACAGTCATGCCCATTCTTCCGCCAGCCTCCGGCAAGGCAAGTGACGTGAATTGTCAGATGTCGAAAACACGCAGAACCTACTTCCACTAACCTGAAGCCTTTCGCAGTGCAGCGCAAAGTAGGTTTCATTGAGCAGAGCTTCCAGCACTCTCCATGATGTTGCTGATGGCTGCAGCTGCAGCTTTCAAGCTGCCAAAAGTGGTGCACTGATACCTTGGATCAGCTCCAAGACATGGCCTAGCTGCAGTAGTGGCAGCGACAACTACTTACAGCAAGAAGGTGGCTCCTTCCATCCGCATGTGCGCATGGGAGGGGGGGCGGGGGGTGTCGATCAATTTTTGGCGTGCTTGCACAACGCCGTCATGATGCTTGCACCTCGCCCGTGCACTGGATTGAGCGCGCCAGCACGCAAACTGCGAACTCACTCGCCCCGAAAACCGATACATTGCTAGATCAAGCCTCGCACGAATTATTTACTATTTACTATACAGCTGCAAGCACGCCATTGTCCAGAAAGTATCGCTGCCAAATCCTGAAACTCCAGCCCTTGCCATGCTGAGGGGTCCAGGGAAACCGCCCCCAAATCCAGAATCCAGAAACGAGGCAACCTCCCCCCCCCGACACCTTAAATCCCTGATGTATCAGGGACGAAGCCCCTCAAGTCCTATGTGTCCCAAAACAAGAAGGTTGTAAACAAACTCCCACAAGCTCCAAAGGGGCTAGCTTTCGTGACATCCGTACACCCCACCATGTACCTTGAAACATGCCTACAGCCCCTGAACTGCCTCGCCTGTAGCATGCTTGCTTTACCCAAGCCTCTCATGTTGCAGCCACAAGCCTTCAAGAATGTTCTGTGATTCTGGTGCCTTATGTAAACGCTCTGCCCTGCAACCACGTCAAAATAATCAAGGCAAAGTGGCTCCAGCAACTGACACAATTGTGCCACCTCTGCTCGAATTGTTGGAGAAGTCTCCACGACGATGATGCTGATTTTCCGCCCTTGAAGGTCAGCTTCCTCACCCTCCATGTCCCGCGTAACTATCTTGCGAAAGTTCCGTAGCCTCGGAGGCTGAGTTGTGGAGCATATGCTGCCCACTGCTCACATATACATGGCAAGCGCATGCCGATGCGATTTAATGAATGGGGCCAATTGACAGCTCACGCTGGTCCTCACTGACAGCAATATCCACACGAGTCTTTTCCTCTGCTTGGTGGAGCTTCCGCGACACAAGGCCCAGCAAGCACCTGGCGACGCCAGGCAACCCAAGACTTCGAAGCCAAGCCATGCAACACACGGCCAATGCACCTCTGCTGCTCGATAAGTGAGCGTTGCCAGGCGGCTTGGGTCTTCAAGCACCTGAGCAACCCGCCACTTCAACAACAATGCTGCATGAACTGCATTAACCCTCATCCACGAGAATGTTCGTGAGCACTATTGCTACCCCCTGCCGCTGAACATGATTCCAAGCAGCCGAGTGGACAAAGTAACAGATCCAGACGCTGTGATCATCTCAAACACAGACGCCTGGCGGACATAAACTGTTCAAGCACGTCTCTCTGAAGTCGAAGAAGCACATCCAGAAACACCGTTGCTGGCCTTGCCCATCTCTTGCGATGAGTGGTACGACATGCGGTCAAATCCATCCATGTCATCAACTTCATGAATATTGCTGAAGGCTTCATCCAGCTGCTCTCTCTCCTGGCGAAGAGAGCGGGACATGTTTTCTGATGCCAAGGATGTGAACCCATATGTTGAAGTATGTGCATTTGGTTTAATCGTAGGCTGGGTCTGGAGTGTGTGAACATCTGCTAACGACAAATCGGAGGTAAAACTGATGTAAACACATGTTAAGACATTTCTGCCAACATCATACGACAGAACTCATAGTGGGACCATGGCCAAGCTGGCCAGCTTAAGGAAATGAAAGGCTGCCAAAATTACCTTGACGAGAGTGCGGACCTTTCGGGGCACCGGTCCTTCTTGTATCTTATAACTTTAAGTACCCTTACTGCCATAACCCATAGTGTGCACATTGTGGGACACTTGCGAAACCAGCCGAACACGTGACTCGCCGTCCTGGATGCTCTGTAATTTCCGTGGGCGGTTGCCTCGGCATGCCTTGATTCCTGCATCGTGCACCGTGGCAAGGAATTGGAGGAAGGATGGTGTCGCCACACCACCAAGCCTCACGGACTTCTGGGATCATGTCTGCTCGTTCTGCTCTGGCATCGTATATCTCATCCAGGTCAACCTCACAACCTCCCCCTTCAACTCGCCTTCTGAAGAGGCCTACGAAGCACCGAATGTGCAAGTTGCAGGCATGCCACCCATGCTTCTGATTGAAGTCAGCGAAGGACGTACAGCTAAAGTTGCTGAAGTTCGAGCAGCTCCGGTTGAAGGCAATCTTCCTGCGAGGGGCTGCGGCTATGTTCTGTGAGGAACTTTCGAGAAATAGCGCACTGGTGTACCCACATCCAGAACACACCCAGTCTCCTCATGCCCTCCGATTCGACCACACTGCCTCCGTCAATTGCGCGTGCAAACACTACCCTAAACCCTAAACCCTAAACCTTCATGGAGCTTCCAGGCTGTGCTCTACGTTCGTGATGCCCCGACAAAGTTTACGCACCGTGACAAACTTCAGGCAAGGCACTGGCATTGGATGTGCCACGGTATAAACCCAGTGGCCTGAGAATCCAGATCTCAGATCAGAGCCATCCCCAGAGAAAGCAGTCTGTGTAAACAATGTTGCCTCATCTCTTGTGCTCGTCAAGCGAATCGTCAATCATGTGCTGGTTGCTGCATGCTCCCGCCCCTTCCCGCATGCCGCGTGCCTGAGACCCTCCTCGTTGGTCACATGGCCTGGCTGCTCAGCTTTGATAACTATCATGTCTACATGACATTTCGCTGTAAACAAAGATCGCCGCAACTTGGAGATGGCCGCGATGTTCTTGCTGGTTTGCAGTCGAGCCGCCACTCGAAGAGCCCATGCCCAGCCCCAGTCGCCTCACCAGAGCGTGCGGAAAGACCTCCCCCACGATCTAGTTTCGACTTCGAAAGCCCGAGCCTTTGCAATGCACCAAGGCCGCCTCCACCAACACTACCTGTGCCTCAGTGCTCATAGTACAGCAGCACATCATTGCACATCCAAATCCATCAAACCCTTATTTGGCTCAGGTCGCGGTGCTGCACCCAAAGGTCAAACATTGAATTGCAAAACACATCTCGTTTCCAAGCTGCTGCAATTTGAGCCGCTGCGCCTGGCAAACTGCCTGGGCCAGTGCCCGTCACGCAGAAGAGCAATCAACGATGTCTCGCCCTACTTGTCACGTCTTAGTGCCTGACCTCCGAAGGAAAGCACTTGTAGCATCTCCTTTCTCGCTGCCTGGGTTTACAATCCATGCCAACAGTTGGCGGCTTCGTTCTGCGATTTGAAGAGTATACTCAATAAGCTTATATACACATCTCTCTATTTATTTACACTTTAGCATATGTATATGTACATGTACATGTAGACGTGTATGTGTATGTAAATGCATATACGTATACATACATATACACGGTATATGTATCTATATTAAATCTTTATAATTCTATATACATATATATATATGTGTATATCATGCACAGGCATGTATGTACTTGTAGCTTTGCCTGCCTTCTGTGCTGCATGCAGAGTTGCCCATTGATGCGCTGCGGTTCATCGCCGCCCTGCGCCGGATAGGGCCACTTCACTTACCCTTAGACTTGCGAACATTCTGACTCTGACAGAAAAATCCTTTACACCGTGCTCTATAGTAAGCTGGGTGACCTACTATGGCCTACTGTAAGACTATGTATAAGACCCAATGGATCTTTGCATGTTTTCGCTGGCTTAATCTTTGTAAGCATTGTGCGGCCGCATTCTAGCCGCATTCCCTACGAAATTCTATTCTGCGCTGACAGCGGACTTCAAGAATGATGTTGGCGCACAACCGCACGCTTCGCAGCGATGGTCTGTTGAAGTCTCTTGCTTGACTCTGTTCTGGCGTTCCATCTTCTGCCATCCTATTGCACCGTGGACATCATGCACATCGGCGTTCCACACTTTACCTGGCACCTTTCGGACAGCAAACAACAAACCAGATCTCGGCTGGGTGCTCCAGAAAGACGTGCCTGCAACTCGCGTTGCTCACATTGGAGGTGCTGTGATTCAGACCAAGTAACCTGTCAGGTATCAATCGTTCAAGGTGTGAAATTCTTCTTATCACAGCTACCAAGATGCGACGTGGCTAGAATGGGCCTTGGTAGACCCAGAGTTCCATCTGAGCTGCCTGGGCTAGACCAGGAAAAGACGTGCAGCTGGGCGAAACGAGGAGCAGGTAAATGGCAAGGAGCAAGCTCGGTACACATAGTGGCCTAACTACGCTGCACTGAAGCCTGGAAGAGCGAAAACGACCGTGCAAGCGCAGGCACTGACCGTAGAGGAGCTGTGCTGCAAATGAGCGGGCCTGTCAACGGGATGGTTGGCTGCTTGGTTTTGGAACGCATGCACGAAGTAATGCACTCAAATACCCTCATCACACCCTCATCTTTTTTAAGGCACCGGTTTGCAGAAGACCGCATGCCTGGGAAGGCCGAGGGTGCCGTCCGAGCTGCCTCGGCGATGCCCCCCCCAAGTTACACAGATTGCCTCGACTGGACTGATTGCAGGCGAGGGTGCTGACACTGGAACTGTGATTCAAGCCGCCAGGCCTGGAAGAACATGAGGAGAGGATGGAGAGCAAAGGGCTACTGATGAGACACGTGCAGCAGCAAGGATAAGAAAATGCGCCTAGGAGACCGTGGTAGACCCAACGTGCCATCTTGACTGCCTGCATGGCAAAGCTTCAACGCATGCGATCTCTCTGTGTATTCTTGAAGATCGGACGGCGCAGCTTTCCGTGCCAAACGACAATAGCTGCAGCCGAAGGTGCTGACGCTGGAGCTGTGGTTTAGATGGCCCATCCTGCCGCAGAGTGCTCTATATAAATTCGCAACCACTGAGTTAACAGTTGACCTGACCCTCTTCGACATGGCACATCCGATCAAAATCTGCCGAGGCCTTGGAGCCTGAGTTGTTTCAAGTGTCTCAGGTTCCCGCCTCATCCTAGACCATGGGGGCAGAGGGCAAGAAGGGCTCGTATGGAGGGTGCCACTCTATTTCCAAGCGGTTGGTCCAAAATTTGGGTCCTCAATCGAATCGGCCTTCATGTGCCTGAAGCCCTAGAGGCCGTAGAGGGTCATTAGCATCTCCCTACAGTAGGAACCTGGAGCTTCAATCGTTCATTTTGCCTCACGATGAAATCAAAACAAGGTGTATCGAGGTGTATCGACACCGAGAACGACGGGCTCAGAGGCCGCTCAACATTCACTCAGGTCTCTCAGTGAACAGCGCCAAAGCGGATGCCCGGACAGAGGGCAGCCTTGGGGATCGTGGAAGTCCCAGCGCGGACTCACTGCCTGCAATTCCGGAGGCATCTTGCTCTACGCATCTGCGTGCAGCCAAGTGCAGCCGGTCGGCCCAAACTGGAACTGTGCGCCAAAGAAGACCTGGCGATGGCAAGGCGGGGAAAGCCTTTGACAAGCCACCTGTCCCAGCAAAGGCCTCTGTGGCTGGCCCAGCTCAGTACTGCCTTACATTGCACTTTTAGCCAAAGAGGAGGCAGATGTTGAGATGACGTCCGAACTGCACACTTGAATTTGCATCTGGGAAGCTGCCACCTTCCGTGGGGCTGGAGGCGAGGCCCGACCTCATCTCAAAGTCGATCGAGAAGCAGATGGGTGAGTTGTTTTTGCCAAGCGACTCCCCAAACTCGGCTGTGGTACATTGACTGGAAAATCCAGAAAACTCACCTGCGCCACTCTTCTGTCCGCTTGCAGGCTCTCAGTCTGGATTGAGGATCACCGGCCAAGCTCTGGAACATCGGCCTTGTTCGGCGATCAACTCAATGCTGCTGAGATCGTCCTGATCATGCCACCAGCTTGTTGTGTAAATATAAATATAATATTATATGCATATATATATAATGTATATACACATATATATATATATATACGTGTGTACATGTGCATGTCTCTGCCAGGCTGCGACATGTGTCATGGGCGACCGCCCCGCCTGCATGAACGCCTGGGCAAGATCTCGGACTGGCATCGGCAACTGACAGGAGATGCTGCCAGCGCCGCCAGAACCTGACACTCACACTGCCCAGGTCTTCGCGAATTCAGGGTGCCTTTGTAGAGGCAGTCCCAGTACCCTACCAGGACATGCTGCAACGACCGGTAAATTGCAGCTTCGGCGTGGCCATGACAAGCTGTGCCGAAAATGAAACTCACTCCTTTTCCAATTTGCTGCTTGCTTGTTCGCAAGTGGAGGGAAGCGCACAAGACACACCGAAAAGAAGAGCGGACCAAACCAAATAGGTGCTATACAGCACCGACATGCGCCGAACATGCAGGATCCACAACATCGGACAAACCTCCCAACTATTCGAGAGCCGAAATCCCTTATCTAAGAGGATGCCAGGATGCCTGCGTCAGCGATGAGGCCAACAGTCCGAGCCAACATTACCAGCCGCTTCAGAACCTTGTAGTTTTTCTCCCCGTCCTTCAGAGTCTCAAATCCCATGAGAAAGCATATGAGCGCACATGGCAGCGCAACGATGCAGGAGCTTGCGAAGAAGCCCATCCTGCTGCGCTTTTCTTGCGAACTCCTGCAAGATCTCGGTGCTAGCATCCTCAGTGTCAGAGCAAGCTGGGGATGTTGGAAGTGCATCTTTGGGGCTAGGTCGGCTAGGTATTAAAGGCCAAGAAGCACAAACCGCCAGACTCAGCTCCAATAGATTCAGGGCAAAGTCCTCTGCCGGCAGGGTGTCAATCCTTCGGTCTCCAGTCAAGTCAGTTGTGGGGGCATACCCAGACTTCATCGAAAAGGTCAGAGAAGCGTTCTATAGAGGGTCTGGAGCAGCTCGGCTCTGCAAGACCTGCAACAAGACCTGCATAAATGACAGGCATGGCTCTCAGCTCCACTTTTGCCATTGCTCGTGGACGAAGATGCGCCGAAGAAAGTCTTCTTGAAGCCTGAATTCGTGCGAGCCGCCAGGAAAGCCAAAAAAGCAGCGCCATGCGGTCGTACACTGGCAGGCACAATGGTGAGCTCACGCAGCGGAGGGGAGGTGCAGCAGAGCAGTATGTTCAGCCCAAGGGTCTTCGCCGCCAACTTCCAAAGAAGCCGTCGTATGCCTCGCTTTCCGTTTCGCTTGCCGACTTGCTGGTCGCCCCTGACGGTGGAGAAAGATACTAAAACCGTCAAGGGCAAGGAGCAAATTGCGACAAGTGATGACAAGGATGCACAAGGCCTATAGAATCCACAGAGTCGACTCCAGTCGCACGGGACGCGCAGTGCACAACGTGCTGCCTGCGATCCTTGAACAGCTGGACTTGCGAATAGCTCGACTGCTCCAAACTTCACTTAGCATGAACATCAAATACACACTAGTGATTTATTGAAGCACGGTCCGCGTCAGTCACGAGGACATTGATGGGCTCAGGCGACTTGCTGGCTTCTTCCTGCATCTTGCGCGTTAAGGCGAGCTCCCATCACACACTCTGGTTCACTTTCCTCTCATTTCGGGTTTTGAGGAAGGTAGCCCGACCCATGCCTACCATCGAACCTTCCTTCATGTGATTTTTGCCTCTGCTGCATCGCGCCGTTGGGTTCGCATGACACAGTGCCCTGTGACCCGGTGCCATGAATCCTGTCGGAGTTCTCGTGTGTGGGCTACAACCATCGTGCTCTCTGCACACATCTGCACCTGCACTTCTGCTTTGCTCTTTTGAGGTTTCCGGAGTTTGCACTTGTGTTTGTTGCAGTTGGCACTGTCGCGTTCATGCACTTGATCTTCTCCATCTCGGCAAGTGCTCGTTGAGGTTCTTCCGGAAGCCAGTCGTGGTATTCCCATGAGGTTTCGGGCCAGCACCGGCATGTGGTCTTTTCCCCTGGCTCGAAGTCGTATGGGCCCAGGGCCGCATCCCATGGTCCCATGGCCGCTCACTGGAAGGCGGTACGCCAAAGCCAGCAAAGGAGGGCCATGCGACCGACAAGACCATTGGCTTCATGATTTCGTCTCTGCGCAACCTGCATTGGGTGCGAATCGCTTGATGATAGTCCGTGTCTGCTGGTATCGTGCAGAGCATGGTACTTCTTTTAGAATGGATGGGCCTTTGCTTGGCACGATGCGCTCACGGAGTTTCTGAAGGTTCCGACAAACACTTGAAAGGATCGCGATGGGGAGACTCGTGTCGACGCGATGGTGATGTTCGCAGATAAGGCTCCTTGCTATGCACGCGTGTGCTGATGCTGGTCTTTTGCCATGTCGCGTGGTCATAGCGCGACAGTCAGCCTAGGACGTCTACTGTCTCTCTTGCTGCATCTGCGCAATGCGGCACGGAGAGGGTTCCGCTAAGCTCAGTGTGGCTTTGTATGTTTCGTGCCACCACGTCTGCGGAGCCCCATGCAAAGCATGCAACATGCATCCGGCAACATGAACTGCGCAAGGTTTTCTTTCTCAAGCCATTTCCTATACAGTGCACTGGCTGGATCAAAAGCAGGAGACTCACCTCACTCAGCCCCCGCACATCCGAAGATAAGGAGTGCGGCACGGGTGAAACTAACCCGAACATAGAAATCTACAGGGGGGTTGTACCTGTTAAAAGCAGGAGACTCAAGCAGAGAATCCTACTATTTGGGTATGCAGACTGCCTTGCAGCCACAGTTCATTGCCTAAGTCCTGCTTCTACGTGGGTCTAGATTCTAGATACCACAACCATCTAAGCCTTTAACTGTTTGCATGCAGTGGAAATCTGCAGTACAACAAGTCATCGAAAAAAGCGCTTCACCTGGTTCAACCGAATGCCACGGACCGACCATGAGTGAAACAATGGTGAGACAATCGGATTAAGATGATTGAGGGCATGCATTGGGCACCAAAGGGTTCAGGCAAGCTAAGGCGCCAGCATGAGTCTCGGCCCGTGAAATGCTAGACTGCTGAACCATTCGCTTGCAATTCTGGCTTGGAACAAGTCGCCTTGCCGCTATCAAGGCTGCCATGCCGAGTGCTCAAGCTGCAGGGAAGGCCGGCAGTCTGGAGATGGGGGATGGCTTCAAGATTCCACTTTAGAAACTTTAGAAGAGCTGCACTTCCTGAGCACTGGCAGCCCTGTTGTTCACCTTGACAGGTGAGCTTTGCTGTGCCAATCAAGCCGCTCGATATCCCTGCGTTTGATGCTTGGGGGAAAGGGTTTTCGCGTTAAGGCATGCACGGCTCGAGTTTTATAGGGTCGTCGGCTTACTAGGCTCTCGAACTCTAAGCAACGCGGCACCGCCGCCTCACTCCAGGCCCTCCGCGGACGTCGGAAGAATGGAACGGGATTTGGCTGCTGCAGGCTTTGATGGATGCCATCCTTTGCCACGCAGCGATGACCCCAGCAGCAGGCGGTCAGGGCTTGATCCGAGAACAGGTGGTGCGCCGTCGGGCCCATTCGGATAGAACTGCGCAACCTGGTCAGGCGTCAGGTTGGGCGGGGGTGCCGCCGTCGTTGCGGGAGCAATGCTGCCACCGTCGCCACCATCACCGCCATCACCATCGACTCCACCATCGTCACCGCCATCATCACCACCGCGCATGGGGCATTGTAGGATGGCTGTGTCGATGTTCTTCGCAGCATGCAGCCCGGAGGACAGGAAGTTGAATACTTGGGATGAACAGGACAGTCCCTGTCCTTTACACGTGATCTCCATCAACGCAACGTAGCCAGCTCTCCGAGCGAGTCGGCGATAGTTTGGCTGCATCCAGCGTTGATTTGCCACATGTGAAGACCGCATCAGAAAGGATTCCGGCGGTTTTCGCCATGTATCGCACCGTTTGCAGAATGACGTCGGCACAGACTGTGGCGATCTGACCTGGCTGGGAGCAGTCGGTTGTCGAGTACATGATGTACTTTGCGAAGGTTGCGATGTCGTAGATGGCGGTGGTGATATCGACAGCGCAGCCCGGCTTGTTCGGCGAGATGATCGGCGCGGGGGTGGTCGGGATGACAGGAGAGACTGTTGGCATCTGAGGTTGTGGTGGTGGAGCGCCGAGCCTCGCGTCCAGAATCTGCTTACCATCTGCCTCGCCGTCACCACGCGCCCACATGGCCGTCAGAAGATAGAGCCGGCAGAGAAGACGGCTCATTTTGCTTGCAGGCGGCAACCACGTAATCCGGTTTCCGTGCTTGTGCGCTTGGGCAAACCCCAGAACAGTGAAGTATGCCCACAAGCTGGACCAAAGTACATTCAAGCCCAGATGCTGCCACTCAGCTGCAAAGCTTGGGGTTTAGGGTCTTTTCCGAGGCAACTGGCTCACCAACCCATCAACCAACAATACACCATCAATTCACGATGCACCACTTACAATACGAACCAAGCACAACGAGGATCCACCGGTCCCACCGGAGTGACCACTACCACTGCGCTACGGTTACAGAGGTTACAGTATTACACCTCGGGGGTACCTCGAGCTTTCAAGAGGTCTTGCAGAAGGAACTCTGAGCGTCGCTGCTCCTGTCCTGCAGTGCCTGCTGCTCGGGAGAGAATTGATCCGGCGTCAGAAGCCTGATTGCACGACGCATCTTCTATCATCTTCTTCTACAACTCTGTGACAGAGATAGTTTGAGCACAGGCAGTGTTTGAGGCAGTGGCTTTTCAGGCCCGCAAGGCCACATCAGTTCCTTGCTGGCGGGCACATCACGCAAGTACAGTTCCAGACAGTACCGAAATCAAAATCGGGAGAGCAACCTTCAGTCCCTGCAAACCAAGGTTCGATTAAATCTGGATTGCCAGATTTGTGAGGCTTGCTAACCTGACCTTCTTCGCAAACATCCCATGATCCATTCAGCTCCATAGAGGTCAGCAGCCGCAGACCTTGGCAGTTTTGGGGTTCGCTTCGTCATGGTTGCTTTCTCTGCTTGCCAAGGATTTCTGCTTGCCTGGCTGCAAGTGTGCACACGGCAATGTCTAGCAGTCAGCTCAACTAGCACGCGGTTGCAGTGGGGTCACAAGTATTTCAGCCCAGCACCGGAGCTGAAAGTACCAGAAGTTTGAGCAGCCCCCTCATGTGCACATGGCTCCACAGCTGCTAAGGCGAAGTCGAAAAAAGTTGCCCATAGAAGCAATTAAAGTTACTAAAAAGCTTTATACTGAACAGTGGCTCCAGGTCATGTGTCCAGATCGCATGCAGTCTGTATGTCAGCATGCTGATGAGAAAGTATTGCTTGTAGGTTACCTGTCTGATGGCCTTCGGCCATTGGAATTGTCTCCGTATGTCTACGAAGTTCACTGCCAGAAGACGACGGCAGCTGCATACGGCCAAGCAATTGCACATGACTCGGCAACTGGTTCTCTGCTGCTGGCATGCAAAAAAAAACAAGCGCGGGCGCTGCTCGCGCTGCCCCACCTCGCAAGTTCAGCAACTTGTACATGGACTTTCCAGACCTGAAACGCGCGCAAGGAGCCATGCGGTGCAGGAGCTTTGGCCCCAAGATATCAGGATATGAACCATTCAACTTCATCAGGGATTCATCGGCCCAAGGAGAACAAAACGGAAGCGAATCGGTAGCTATGTGTAGCTATCGTTGTGCTCATCGGCAGCCCGTAAGCCAGCCTGCAGATGCTCCAGCCAACACGCAAAGCCACATTTTGCCACATTTTGCCACATTCTGCCGGGGCAAAACAGGGCACAAGAGTTCACACTAAGGTCCCCACACAACCACCTCCGACGTCAAACGCTCCCGGAACGTCTGGTCCTAACGTGAGGCCATGCTTTCCCTTCTTGTGGAGGAGACCCCACTCAGGTCTCAGGTCCAGACAGTCGAGACCACCTCCAAAGAGGGGAGCTCCACTGCGCAAGCGAAGCGATGCTGCCTGAAAATGTGTGGCAAAGACCAGGTCCGGGAATACCCGGATTTTAAGGGCTTCAAGGAAAACATGTGGGTAGAGTTGTTTGGTGCCTTTTTTTAACTCTCAGATGGCAAGCTGGTCTTGTCATAGGAGAAATGACAGGTCGGTTCCAATCGTGGGACGGCAGAATGCCATGGTTCGCAGGCTTTGAAGCGCTGGCTCGTGCCGACAATGGTGGCGTCAGCAACTCATGACTGCTGGCCACTGTTGGCAGAGAACATTGCAACATACCCCAGGTACTCTGCACTGCACAACCCGCAGTGGGTACAAGTCGACCACCATCATCTCACGCCGCATGGAATCCAAAAATTAACGCTTAAACAGCTAGTCCTGTCAGTGACAGTGGGCATGTCTGTGTACAGTGTGCAAATTGCAAACTCTTGGAGTTCGCATCAAATCTCTGGGTTCTTTGAGGTTTCCTCAACTGGTGACTCCTTACTTCATGCCATCGTAGAGAACTCGGACGCCGTTGTCCTGCCGAAGGTTGGTGTCTGTTTGTTGATGTGTGGGGTATCAACAATTGCTGCAAAGCTGTCTGCGCCGGGCTTCTGCTAAACCCTAAACCCTAAACCCTAAACCCTAAACCCTAAACCCTAAACCCTAAACCCTAAAGATAAACCCTAAACCCTAAACCGCATTCTGTTCTCGGATGCTCCTGGTACTGCGCACCGGGCATTTGGATGACGTTGCCGTCGTCGTCGATGTACTTCGATTTCTCCTGGAATCGTTTTGGGGGGTGTTTACGGAAATAAGGGGCCCTTAACATAGACCCCCAAATCGTAAGATTCCCGTCTAATAATAAGGTACCCCTACTTTCGTCGACCTTCAATTCACGAAGCAACTCGGCCATCCTGACGTCTTGACGCGTGAATGCCAGACATCCGGCCAAGCAGCTCCGAGGATGAAGCGCCCAAAGAACTTCGTCAGGATCTTATCGACTGTGAGGAACTCAACCTGGCACACCCACACACACAGAGAGATAGGCCCGCGCGTGCAGCTTGAGAAGGCTTGCTTGTTTGCATGCCTTGTGCCCCGCAATGAAGGTACGATAGTCGTACTTGTATCTCACAAAAAGAACAGATGCAGAGATTTTGCACATTGCACACAGTTGATAAGTAAAGTATTTTCGGCCGAACACACGGACGGGACCGAGGAGAGAGCACCGCAAAACACCGCGGAATACTTATAAATACCTGAACATTAATTAAGCGAACTCCAACGCAGGATATCACGTCTGCCCAACACTTTTTTGCGACACTGAGCGGTGCAAGCCCAACTCACGATGCACGGGGTGATGTGTGGAAAACGATTTCGAGTACGGAACATGCACAGCACGTTGGCAAGGGCGCGATTTGGCACCATCCGCGAGGCCAACAAAAATGCCACTTGCGATGAAAGTCACGCTTCGGGAGCCCCCAAGACCCCAAGAACTCCAAGCCCTAGGCGAGTGCGATTTTGATGCGAGTGGGCCTCGCGACGATGGAACCCCGGCACAGGAAAGAAAAAAACAGGTATGACAACACTACGTATGCTATGTTTATGCATCCAACTCACTATGAAGCCAGGTAGCAGACTTGCCGTTGCCGCTGATACCAAGGATCTTTGGCACCAAATCTTTTGCTACCTACACTGGCCGACGCTTGCAATGCTATCAACCCTTGCAAGGGCGCTCAAGACCTCCTCTGGCTGCGCAGCCAGGACCCCGAAGGGGAACTTCCTCAACTCAGGCGTCGAGTCGTTCAGAAGCAGGTCAGTGAAGACCTCAGCTTCATATCAACCGGAACCAAGTGCCGACGCATCAGGACCGCAATCTTTCTGCCGTCTCAGGTGGAGACCATACCCGGCGAGAGACAATGGCAGTTCACCTTTCCAGGCGTCTCCACCTTGTCATACCTTGTCATACCAGGTCATACCATGTTCCTAAGCCGACCCCAACTTGGAAGATTGCTGTAGCGTCGCTGCAGCCAAGCTTCCCTTGCACTCCTTCCTGAACAATTCAGGACACACGTGTCCGCGCACAAACGGAAAAGCGCTTGGTTGGAAATCGCCCGACCCCGCTCGTCTGTGCAACGGGTGGTTCGTCAGCTTGTCGCCTCGATCTCCTTGACCAAGGACTCTGTCATCTGCGGCAGGCCGCGCTTGGTGGCACCATAGGTCACGTAACCTGGCGTGCCACCACCTTTGACCTTAGTATCTCTTGGGATCATCACAGATTCACACTCTCTCTCTGCTGATTGCTTCACATCCATGAGGTGTGGAACACGGTGCGCGATGCGTCTTCTAGAGCACACGAAATTTGAACCCTTGCCCGGCACTGTCGAACTCAGCTCTGTCTATGGCACGCATCATGGGCATCACGTAACATCTCCAGCAAGCACATAACATATCGCGTCTCGCCGACATCATGGGGTGATTTTAGACTGCTGCGTACGTAGAGCTCGTAAGGGATGCAGGCTGCCAAGTAAGCTGGTGCTGTGGGGTGGGGGCGGGGGGGCGGCAAAGCGCGCTTTTTGCAATCTTTTTGCCACCCGTCTAAGATAGCCACGCACTATATGGGAAATTGATTGACATTGAACTTGCCAAACGGTAGGGCATGTTGGCGAACTGAAGTAGCGTAAGGCAAACTTCCCTTGCTTCCCGACGTCCCCGGTGTGGCATTGGTTTAAGGGGGCTGCTGCGGGCAGAATGAACGCAAGTCGGGGGAGCCATGGGTGCAGACATGAAGAACATCGAGGAAACCAGAACATGTGCGAACCTCCTGACAAGGCCCACTTGACAGGCCTTTGCAGCCGGCATGCCAGGATATCGCAGGTTTTCTGAGGCAACTGCGCCACTGCCGACCGTGTTGAAAATGTGGCTCTCCACGCCTTTCCTTGCTAGTGCTCGCTCACATGACAACATGCAGATCATGCGCCACATGCAGAGCCGCTTAATCGGACACTGATCAATGGTGACGGAAAGTACAAGTAAGTACTACAGTAATGCATGCGAGGCACTGTTCCTCCATCATTCTCATAGCGGCATGTGTACAAAGGACAATGCCACCTCAAGTGCCGGTGGGCCCCGCAACTTTCTCTCACAACAGAAAGGCAGTGCACCTCAGCAAGCTAGAGCTTACGGCAAACGCTCTATACTGTAAATCAAGTCGTGGTGCCCAAGTTCACACCTCAGCTGTCTGCATGTGGCCATCGCTCACTGGACAGCATGCAAGTGCAAGAAAACATGACGTGAGGCCGATGCGCACCACAGTTTCAACCATCTCTGGGGTGATTTCTGTAAACCGCTTCCGCCCGCCATTGATGCCGGCATTGTTGATCCTTGCACGACTTCCCGTATCAGTGGCCACCATGCCCATGAAACAATGAGCATACCTGGCGTCGACTTGCTGACAAGGGGCCAATAATGCACCACGCCAATGCTCTTCTTCACGAACTCAATCAGCTTGTTAATGCTTTCGATGCTGGACACGTCACAGGTTGTGGAATAGATGCCTCCAGGTCTCTCGCTACATTGCCGATGCATGTTTCCGCACACACACACACACAGACACACATTCTCTGTGAAGTTCTCACCACGCACGCTATACACCCGGCACAAAAGCTGCAGCAGCTGCAGCTGCAGCAGCAGCAGCTGCAGCAGCAGCCGCACAAGTATGCTTGAGGCATCTTGAGGCCGAAGCTGTGCTACGCTTGCTGAAGGACAGCATACCTTTCCCTTCTCTCTTTCTCTCTCTAATCATCGTTGCGGCGGGGCGCTGGCTTTCTCGCCATGCTTCGCTTTCAAGGACTCCACTGCCGACGAGCAGTCCTGATGCGCTGGCATTAGGCACAGCGTGACCGATGAAAGCACACCTCACACAGCACCACAGCCTTCACGTCACAAATGACCACCTGAAGTACCGGTGTTGACGCACGTAACGGCTTAAAGCTCATGAAATCGCAGACCCAACACCAGCTAAATTTCACCCTGCCTGGTGCCCACGAGCCAAGAACTCGTCTGCATAGGCATAGCCAACGCCAGCAGCTCCGCCTGTGATAACGACGCCAGCGCACACCGGCGTCCCATGCATGGCCACAGCTGCCACCTCAGGAATAGCAAAAACCCTAGTCCACAAGGTTATGTCCGTCAAGCGTAATGTCGCGAGGCGCTGCAGGATGGATTGTTGCACTTTAAGATCGCCACGCGCTGATTGCGGCTACGCTGGGGGAGGGCCCTCTTCGAACGACGGGCTGAGGCGGCCGAGGCCACTGCGGCAGCACCTGCTTCCAGAATCGCAACGTTGAGGAGGTCTTCTTCGCAAGCACAGAAGCACAGTGCGTGCACAACCCAAACACGGGAACAGAAGCTCGGCCATCGAGCGGTGCTTCAACTCCTTTTTCTGCGGATCGCGGCATGCATTCAGTCAAGCATTCTGATCTCAAGTCTGCATGAGGAGCCCATCGTCACCAAGCCCATGTGTTAATTCTTGTCACACCTTCCACATGTCCAGGCTGTAGCTCTGTGAACATCTATGGTGATACAGGGACCTGACGCTCGATTTGAGCGCAGGTCCGGGGCTTGGCGGGACGGCGCTTGGGTGAAAGAAGCGGAGAGCACGCGCGTTCAGTGCACGTGTGTGAAGCTTGTAGCCTTTCCTGAAAATCACGTAGAATGATGTAGAGTATTGACGCAATCTCCACTTGTTCAGAAGCTGTGGCTCGTAGGCTTCTGCCGGCTGCTACTCACAGCAAACGCGGTTAGTGCGGTTCACCGCCACAATGCTCAGATGCTCTGCACCCCCAGGGACTTGTAAATGAGGAAAGTCTCCTGGCCACAAGGTGCATGCAGTCTCAGCTGACCCTTTCCGAAGGCTCAGCTGCCTGGTGTTTTGGCAAATCGAAGAAGGCGATGTGCATAGCCTCTCAGACGCAACTTGAGGAGTTTCAGCGGGCAGTTTCTCTCGGCATGGCCTCGTGAGTGACAGATGATGCAAAGGAGCGGCCCACTATGACCTCAACAAGAAACAAAACGTTTTCTCGAGTTATCTCAAACAATCACGCCGCGCAGCTTTGGAATCATGACAGCTGTTGTGAGGGCGGAACCTGCCACGGCCCTTTGCCGATTAGCTCATTGAAATCGACGTCAGTATCCAGAGCCTGCAGGGCCAGCTAGCGACATGTGAGGTGCTGTTTTCAGAAACTCTGAGCTCCAACGTCCAGAAAAATCCAGAATGCTTCCGGAACCGAATCGAAAAGCTGAAGCAATCTTGTGGGTAGGGCCAGAGCCTGCTTAATATGCTGAGCTATATCCTTCTGCAGCTTGTGCTTCTGCACCTGTGCTGACATACGCAAGCCACGCCTTCTTGGCCAGAACATGTCTCAAGAACAGCTCTTGGCTTTGCACAGCTTCCCCGGCAAGAACCAAGATCTTCTCGAAAAGGTCTGGGCGAAGTTCATTGTGCCTCGGGCTGTGGCTTGTTGCTTGCTGTCGTTGAACCCTCGTCTGCCAGCCCCCTCCAATACTGTGTACTGCGGCTGCTCGTGCGTCGGAGTCCGCTAACCGCCAGCTTAGACGCAGATGAGCATTCAGTGCATCGTTTGGTTGGCATGCCGTCAATATGCACACATTGAGGCTCTGGCCTCTCGTGGTAGTCCGGCAACACAACCCTCAGATGCGGTGACCAGTGATGCTGGCAGGAGCCAGGAGACACATGGCATCACATGGCAGCCGGGAGGCTTGTTGGCGTTCTGGGTTGCTTCCTCCTCGTCGTCAGACATGCTTTCCTGAAGCTGTTCAGGCATTCCCCTCGATTCCGTGCAAGACTCAAGATCAGAGTATCAGAGCCACCTGCGGCGACGGCCTCTGAAGCACCCGGGAGAGGTTCACAGCCAAAGCTTCTTGAGCCAAGCAGTCTTCCAGCGTTGCAATTGCATGGCCTATGTCTGGAGTGACCTGATCACAAGCAGCACAACATGTCGCAAGTCCTAGCTTCCTAACCACTCGGACACAACCTAGCACGCACTTGCGCTGCACCTGCGGCGAACACACCAGCCGCGGCTGCTTGACTTGCACGGTTATGCAAGGGCGCAGCAGCACGCGTACCCACGGAAAGTGCCTGATGGACCGAGCGATGCACAGCAGGCGCTGCATGATCTGCTTGGATCGGGATGCACTGAAGTTGGGCAGGAGATGGTGGCAGGATGCCTCGAACGGAGAAGTCACTGGGCGTGACGTCGCAGTGCTTGCAATGGCGAACGCTTCCATTACTGCGAATCTGCTCCTGCGCATCAAGCATGGGCTTGGAGATGACAAGACCGGTCAGGAACAGCAAGATCCCGCAAAATCGTTGCAGGCTGAGGCGGCTGAGGTCAAAGCAGGCGTCGTGCCGACGCTGCGGCCGCTTCTACAAAAACAAAACTGCAGCACAGGGACAGGTTTCAGCCACAAATGCCTGCGGCAGAACCAAGTCTTGATAGAATATACCCAAGGCCCTAAGGCTCGACAGGCCTTTTAACTCTTCCGCTTGGGGCACTTTAGGGCCATATGGAGCAGGTCCAGCCTGCTGGCAAAGGTCACCTGCAAGTCCGACACATCCTCAGGAGCAGCTCCATGCAGCTCAAAGGTGCGGCCTCTTTTTTGAGTGCTTTTGTGCATTCTCCCCCCCTGCTTCTGCTTTTCCATGGCAGGTGTGTGAGTAGCAGATAAGACCTGATGAGCCTTAGCCTTTACCAAAAAAATGCATCCAGGCCTCTAACAGGTTGCTGGGAAAGCTGTTAACATCTTCCTTAAGCCTAAACATCAAAACAAACATATATAACCTCACTTCAACACACGCTATTCTGTCTGTACATATATAATTATGTAAAAATATATTCATATACCATCTTTTATATATCATCGATAACAATGCATATGCTTTGTATATATGAGGCCCCTGATGTTGAACCCACTGCCCCAAAAATTGCTGAGGAGCAACATGGGCCCAACCCAACACACAGCAGCACCCGCACAAAGGGCAGCGCCACGTGAATGTTGTTGAGAATCTTCTGTAGCAGCCTCCACGCTAACCATGGAACCCCGTAGGGTGTTGTGGGTATTTGTTGGTTATTTTGGTTTGGGCCTGGGTGTTTAAGGCATCTGCCTCTCACACGCACTCATCTGTCCGGAAGATTGCTCAGGTGTCTGTTATGATTCTTTCTAGCTCCTATTCATGACTATATGCAGATGGCATATTCGCTGTTTCATAACCAGTAACAGTGAGTAGTGAGCAGTGCAACCTAATGCAACTTGGCTCCGTTGTGCTCGCGCCTGACGAGGTAGCCCTGCGAACCTCGACCATCAGGCTCCGAATGTTGCCTGGCAAGGCAAAATTGGTGTCCCGAACAAGGTCTCTTGCACGCGTCGGATGGCATAAGCCGGCCATCTCGACTGCATTCCGTGCGGGTCAGTGACCTAGCGGAACTACCGGTCTCTGCGCCATAGATTGCATCTCCAGCCGAGCCAAGGCATCTTTTTATCTGACGCTGACTAGCCCCGGCTCTGGGTCTCGAGTCTGCCCAGGAGGTCCAACTGGCCCATCTGCATCTTCTTCGACTTCCAAAGAGATGCCCTCGACCAAGGCATGTGTAGTCTGCTGTCTGCTTAGTAAAGTAAGATAAAGATTGCTAAAGTATGGATTCTCGCCGGAGAAGCAAGTTCCTAGCTGAGTCTAGCATCCAAGAGCCTGGAAAGGTGTCGTGCTGAGTCTACCATCCAGATAGTTTGCAGCAAAACTGCTTTGGCACACCAGAACAAGCCAGTGATGTGTCCAAGGCTCTATCTCTGCTGGGCATTCGGTCTCCTCGGCAGGCTTGAAAACAAAAGGCTTTGACCTGGGCAGTGCAAGTTGTCAAGTTGTCAGGGCCTCCACATGCTCCGGCTCCTTCGGAGGCGGGTCTGGCAAACCTTAGCTGCGCCGCGTGCAAGCCACCATAATCGCATTGATCATGGCACCGTGGCGCTACGACATGGACCATGGCAATGGCCCAATGGCAAGATTGCCTGATTGCCCTGCGAGCTTCTTAGCTTCTGGGTCTCCATGTCGTTGTCATCCGGCTCAGCACTGGCACCTTGCGAAAGACCATGGCCTCAGAAACTGAAAAAAGCGCTTGCTCCGAACGCTCGCGCAAGACCAGCGAGGCAAACGAATTTGCTAGGGCGGCATCTTGGAGAAGCTCTCATGCACACAGGCGCACACACAAATTCAACAGCATCTGCTGTCTACCTTCACTTCAGCTCTGGCGACTCTCTTCTGGAGCTGGTCTTGTCGTCATCACGTGCTGCGCCAGAGTCTCCGCCACTAGCGTGAAGCTGGGACCTCAGCTGCAGGCTCATAAAATTGAGAGACATTTGAAAATTTGGGCACACTTTTCAAACTTTCAGGGTCAATCAGACAAGCTGCTGTGACTCTGCGTCTCTGACAGCTCCAGAACGCTGCCCGGCAACCTCTTCAACCATGTCTAGAATCTCATTCAGAAGTAGTTGGAGTGGAAACATTGGGCCGCTGCTCTTCACTTCCCACTGGTGGCTGCTCTTCGTTTGCTGCTGGCAGTGCCTGTAGTCAGCGCTTGGCGTTTACTGACGAGCTGAAAACAATACGACAGCATTCTGTCATCACTGCTCCTCAGGTCTCACTTGCTTCTCCTGCTCTTTCAAAAAACGAGTTTTCATCAGGACGAGGGGCGGCAGAGTTGTCGCCTTCTCGTCGGCGATGCCGCATTATCTGCCTCCACTGACGTCGAAGCTGCTTCTCCAAACTGTCCAAGTGAGCCTTATGACAATGAGCGATAGCCATTAAAAGCATCCAGGGGAATGCGTGGTGTAGGATTTCCTGCCGCCCAGCTGCTAGTCGGGGTTCCAAGGTAGTTTGCTGCTTTCTCAGGTCAACAAGCTGACGCTGCCTGAGTCTTATCCGAATGAGCAACAAGCAACACGGATTCATCTGCAAAATGGAGTGTTCCGCGGACAAAAGCCATGGGAACGCAGCACTTCTTTTGAGGCGATACTTTGCAGCGTGCATACATATATTCTGCATGCAAATGGTGCTCTAAGGTCGCTTTGCGCCGACATGCCGGTACGCCGGTGCGCTGTCGCGCCTTCCCGCCGCCCCTTGGGAGGAATTGCGCTGGTACACCTACGCCGTTCGGGGTTGGGCGGAAGGGATTAATCATCGAAATGCGGGCACGCTGGCATGCCGCTCGCAGGCCTGTGCGGAGGGGAAATATGCCGCTGTATGCCACGCCGAGAATGACACACTGGCAGGAAACGCTGTGCGCCGTCAGAGGCCCGGAGCTGTACCGGTGTATCTTTGCATAGTTCAGTGCTTTTGGGCATGCGCATGAGCAATGTGAGACACCAGTGTGCGGCTTCAAGGCACGACTTCCAGAAATCTTTGCCCCCAATGATTGCAAAGATTTAAGGACGGTGTATCGGTGGCTGTTTGCGGTCACCCTGTTGTATACTTTGACACAACATGGCACAACTGTCTGCAACTGCAAGTGGCATCTCTGTGTGCGCTTTCTTGGTGGCTTGAACATCCGACACGCGGCGATCCTGCATCACCCAGGTTTGAGACCCCAAATGCCACCACCAAACATCGTGCAGCTGCAAGTTACCACTCAACACGATGCCTGAAGGGCTTTGACCTCTGCAGAAAGCACTTGCTCTTCATTCCAGCGCTCTTCCTCTCGCTGCCTTTGCTCCTGCGCTCTGGATTACACATGTGCAGCCGCTCTGCAAGCTGCCATGAGAGTTTGCAGCCTCGATCCACTGCTTCGCCTCCTCACTCTCGAGCTTCTCCCGCCTTAATTTTTGTTTTTTCACTATGTCTCTCCGCTCTCCATTTTAAAAGGAAATGGAACATCAAAAGTGTTGCGGTCATTGAAGGCTGGCAAGTACCATGTAGTGTATAGACATGCCCGAGAGCTCAGGTCTGACTTGCCGGGCCCCTCACCCACGCACAAGAGCGCATTGCTACATTGACAGAGGTGGGACTGTTGACAAGTGCAGCTGGGATGCAACGCCTTGAGCTTTTGCTCCAGCTGGTCCTTTCTTCAAGGAGTGCAGTCACGTTCGCGGTGGGAAGCCTGAATCTTGCAAATCCATATGAGCAGCACTCCTGCTTGTCCATGTCTTGCTTCATGTAGATGTTCAGCTGCAGGACTTGCTTCTGAAGGTTTTCCTGATGGTACGCATGGTCGAACATGGGCGGATTGATATACACTGTCACACAAAGTGACTAGTGCTACAAACCCCTTGCAGCCATTGTTGGTGGATGCGGTGCACAGCATAAAATTTCCGAGCAAGCGTCGTTCTTCACCTTCCATGACGCACCAACTCTCAGCGCAGAGGCTCAGCGACTCCCCCCACCCCCCCACCCCGCCCCCCCTCTGCAACTACGCATACAATGCCCAAGCTGTGCTCCTGCCAGACGGCGCTCTCCGAATCTAGCTGCTCTGCCTGCCGCATCGCCTGGATTCGATCGAGCAAGCCAGCGACAGCAAAACTGATTGCCGGAAACTTCTGTCAAGACAGCTGTATTAGGGTTTATGTCTATGTTGAGGGCCGATGAACATCCGATGGTTGATGGTTGTTACAAGAATAAGAGGAGTCCATCACTACCGACGTCTCGGCATGTGACCCGGCTGTTGCCATCACTCTCCGCATGCACAGAGCTGGCTGTGAGTGCCGCAGCCCGTGCCAGCGCACGCTCGCGTCTTCGATTCTCCTTGGCTTCTTAGCAAGCAGACTCGCCGAGGCATAAAAACCTCAGGAGGACTGGGAACAGGGTATGGCAGACGAGGTACTGCATCCATGTGCTTGACCTTGCGCTGCTCTTGCTCAATCTCTTGATCTAGATCCCGAATCTCCAAGATGCGCTCCTGCGGTTGCGGGGGCAGGCAGCAACCAGCATGCAAAATGACAACCCCTGCAGAAAAAGGGGGTACTGGCTAGATGTTCACTGCAGCTGCTTTGCAACGGATCCTCACGGAAGACCGCATCTTCGTAACCCAACAGCTGCATGTAGTATGCATGCTCCCGCTCGCCTGGCATGAAGTGCTCAGCTATGCTTGCGGCGCTTGCGGTCTCGCAGCTGGCTTTCCACACCCGGCTTCGGCCAAGTGGCAGTTTCGAAGATGCAGCAGTGCCGAGTGCAAGTCTTTCTCGACCCGTGGCCTCAAAATCAACCCTGGCTCACAATACATCTTGGGATGTTCCTCAATACCATCAGCACTTGATAGGGGATTGTAATAGGGTGTACCATAATCCCTATCAAGGACTGTTCGAAAAAGGGTGAACATCCCAAAATATACCACCTAAACATCTCAAGAGCATGAAGGGATGGCGTGCAGCCCGGGCGCGTCGGCTCGGTGGGGACATCCTCGACACGGATGCGCTCGGCTGGCTCTTCCTTGGCCTCGCTCGCTGGGCTGTGATCGGAGCTCGGCTTCTCGCCCTTGGCACAGAAGTGGGCTATCATTAACAGCACTGCTTTATACCAATAATGATAACAATGACAATAGTAGCAATAATAAGAATAATCATATTAATCGTAATTTTAATATTTTAACAACCTTAATAGTAATAATAGTACGTAATAGCATTATTAATCACAGAAGCACGCAAAAGCACTTCATTCACTCCACTTCCTGCCTCATCTTTCTCATGCTGCTTGAGTATCCAGCGAAGTTCCTTACTGGAACTTGACAGCACAACACGGCTCGGAAAAAATGTGGTGTGATGCGGTCCGCCCTTGAATTGTCGTCCCGTTTCTGTGTAGCCTCAACATAAGGGTCATACAATACAGTATAAAAAACAGGGGGCCTAAAGAATACCATATAACGCAGAGATTTGACCATCTAGACTCTTGACCGTAGACCCCTTGCTACAGGCCAGCCAAGTGTCTTCTTCGAAGAGCTCCAGCTGAGCAGTCTCCTTCAACCATGCCATGGCATCAACAGGAGGCTTCTGGTCAATCTTGTGGAAGTGGCTCCTGTCCACTGCTTGCATCATCACTGGCACAAAGCTTAGACCTTCTTGACACGCAAATCGGCAGTGACGCTCGTGCGACCAAGAGTCTCGATCTCGGAAACCAATCGCACCAGTCGCGGATCGATTGAGCCTGAGTCAGCAGCCGAACAAGCCTGAATCTTGAAGGCCCCTCGGCTCTGTACCTCCATGCCATGCAGTAAAAAGCTGTGCAAGTTGTGCCGCGGAGCTCGGGGTCCGAACTGCTCCGTCGCTTTGCGCCGTGTGGGGTGGCTCCGAGTTCGCTCGCGGCGCCCGCGGCACTGGGGCGGAGCGCCGGCGTGGGTCACGGTCCCGCGGCTCGCGGGAGGAGTGCGGCTGCTTTGCAGCCCTGAGACAAAAACTTCTTGGACAGATGTGCAGTGGCACCAAAACCTGGACCGAAACAATCTATGCCTCCCCTGCGTGTCCCTGGAGTCGCCGTTCTTTTCCTCCTTCCGCTCTCTGTGCTCCTGGCACATCAAGTAGGAGCACGAGATGCCGCATGTCGGCACTGCAAGACTGCGCAACTCAACTCCCAATGGCCTTTTTGTGTCCACGAGGTGTTGGCCGTACTGCTGCACCCTTGACCTCTGCTGCGCCTTTGACCTCTGCTGCGCCTTTGACCTCAGCTCACAGCACCTTTGCACCTCAAAGCACAACAGCTGCCAGGGCCGTCGATAGGATTGTTGCAAGCACAAGTCTATAGTACTCAGCAGGCACTGTAAGTTGCCGTACACAAGTGCAAGCAACGGACACGTGGCGGGGCGCCGGAGCCTGCATCGCGCGTGGCTGCCGGTGCCTGCCAAGCCAAGGATGCCCGAGTTTTCAGATGCTCTCACTGGCTCTCACGGCGTATTTAGAAAGGAAAGCCCTTAGAAGCCCATCCCATGCCCCCAAGGCACGTCTTCCGTGGCGCTTCCTGACTCCATGTGCTGATGTTCAGCATCGTCGGGCTTGGCCATGGCGGAAGATCCTGCACCTGCGGTAGCCAATCAGGACTTGCTGGTGCGGCTGCTAGGCTGCCAGGCCGTGCTTTGGGCCTTCTAACGGTTTCTCCGACTCTCGGCCACTGGTTTCCAGTGCCGGGTCAGGTGCCGTGGCCTGAACACGAGACGACACCAACATCAGATAAATCGACGTGGATCAGTTGCGAGGCCTCCGCAACTGCCGCAGATTCTGAGGTCGGCTGCCCCGAAGCATCTCGCAAGTTGGGTCAGCTAAGCTCATCAGACCGCTGCAGGTTTGCGGCATCTCTCTTCACTGACCATCTGCTGGTGTACAGCCGTGGAAGACCAGCAAGCCTTCTAATGCGGCACGTGTGTATGTAAACATATGTATATATGCCAATATTTATGACTCATCATGCACGTGTGTAGCTCTGCAAAGTTTAGGTTTCAGACTCGGTACCTCAGAACTTGAGTTGAACTCTTCCCGCCTCCCTCCGGTCTTCGGAGCGGAGAGTCTGTTTCGAGCGCCACCATTTCCTCAACAACGAGAAGTGTGTCGGTCCACGTCGGTCCACGAAAATGGCTCTAAAGGCTGTGCACAAATTCATGAGGAACAGATTCTAGAGGGCAAGAAGTTCTGTGCAGCGCCGGCACTAAGGACACAAGACGTTGTTGTTTGGGCGTGTGAACGGTGCACTTATCTGCGCCTGCAGCTTCTCATGGTACTTGAAAACCAGTAACTTTTCGTAATTGGGGGCATCACCGTAAAGTATTCCCCAACACAGTCCCAATGTGAGGCCGAGTCAGGGGATTACATGCACGACCTGCATCTGCGCATCCAGCAATGTGCGCCGTGGGAAGCAATTGCCCACACGCGACCACACGATCTTGCGCACATGCGGACTCCATGAGATTCGGGGTGTCTTGGATGCTCCGTATGGCCATCCTAGACCCGTGATTATAATGATTGCACTTTAAACCAAGAGGCGGATGTTGGCCGTTCTCCACCGGGCCGGGAGCGACCGGCACCCGCAGTGCTGCCGCTGACAGGTGCCTGACCTCGGGGAGCCAGAGGTGCATCAGTGGTGCATCCAAGAGGAGAAAGATAACAGAGCTAAAGCTGGCAAATGCACAAGAAAATCATCAGAACAGCTGGCCTTGCCCAGGCGGCGGCAGCTTAACAGAGACCTCAGCACGAAACAGTCGAGGTGAGGGCGCCACGGGCATCCGCAGGATTGTACACTGTGTACGCCTGAAGCCCATATTCCCAGCAGCCCCTGCGCTGAGAGCAAGGCCACCTGTTTCATGTCTGCGGCGGCACGGCTTCCTGAAAGAGCAGCCCTAGCCGGAGCCAAATTGGCCAACCTGGACTTCGCAACATACTGTGGGCTTTGTGCGTGGCTCCTCCTTGCAGGCCAAGGCAGAGCTGGGCTCTGCCTTACATAGCCCAAGAAGCTACAGACCGGAACATCACCATGTTGCTTCAGCAGGGATCGGCAAGGAGCCAAATGCAGCGGCAAGCACATGATCTTGTGATATCATGCGCGCCAAACCGAGATGGCGAAACGCACCAGTCTCCGCGGCATGCTCATAAAACAGGCAGGAGCACTCCAGCAAGTCTTTCAGTTGGGCGGTGCGCAGCTCGACCTGCACAGATGCCACCATCACCCGACACATGACCACACGACAAGAAAGGAAGCAGTCTCATTCTAAGGTCTTCGTTGCTTAAACATTCCAAGGCTCCGCACTTGATGTGAGTGCGCATGTATTAACATGGAGCACATCCACGCGCGCTTTATTTCGATATCAATTGCTGTGAAGCGACTGCACGTGACTTGGCATTTCGCAGCTCTTTGATGAGTTTCTCCTGCTCAAAAAGGGGAGACCAACATGCGTGCGCACGCGGAGCAAATGTGTCCTGCAACTGCCTGGTGCCGGCGGTGCCCGCAAGCGCCTCGTGTTTCTGTTGACGTCTCTGAGAATCCCACAGTGTAAGGGCGCACCTCGGCTAAAGGCTCCAGCTCCAGGTGTACCTTCTTCACCTCAGCTGTACATCGATGTTAGCCCACAGAGCATGAAGGTGAGAAAAAGCATACAAAGGCTAGAAGGCACCGGCAGGAAACCGGCATCATGATTCTTGTACGCAAGATTTCGGATTGTGCTTTCTCGATTCGCTGAGCTCCAATCAACAGCACCAAGTTTGCCAATGTGCCTCAGAAATCACACAGCCTACGTAACATGTGCCTCCCGCAAAATGTCCCAGCGTAAGCCGAGCAGCAACTTCCTCCATGGAATTTTGAGCTGGATTAGCTCAATACCTCCAAAGCGCACTCCATGGGCCGCTTCAACCTACGTATTCCCTGCCTCCACTACGAACTCGGAAGCCCTCCAGTCCCAACCTTCAGCAAGGAGAACATGCTTCCCCAACACAAGAAACAGCGCCAGCACGACACACGTCTATGGGGTTGTTTGAAATTTGGGGGGGGAGTTCTTGGGGTGGCAGATTTTTACTCAAACGGCCTCGGGCAGCCTTTCTGAACCCGGAACCTTCCAGCCCCCAAACCTCGAAAGGAAAAGCAGGGAGGAAACGGACTACGAATTTGCTTACAATGTGCCGTCTGAGCTCCAAAAATGGGAGTCTATTTATCCCCCACGCGGACTCCGGGCCTTGGCCCCTTCCTGAGCCTTCCAGGACTACGAAAAAAATGGCAACACTGCCCAGAACATGTTTAACCCGAGGGTCGATAATTGTTGGCGAGTTGTGGCTTGAAGAAAAAGACGGCGATTGGCACCGTACGCACGTCAGCCAGAGAAGCAAATGCAACAAAGTGACAGGTGCCTTTTGACCCTGCTGAGTTGCGTTTGGGGCCGAGGCAACACAGCAGCCTCTGGTTTCACCGCAAGGCCACGAAGTTCCAGACAACCTCTGAACACCTTCGGCGTTGGACCAGGGTGTGGGACATGTTGCCTCTAAAAATATTCTAAAATGGGGCGCAGGTGTGTCGGTTCGGCCCTGCCAAGGCTCATGCTCCCAAGTGCAGCTTGTCACGAGCAATGCCGTCCTCAGACATATCTGCAAAGTGCAGCTGTGGACGTTTCCTCGAGGAATCTAACAGTTGAAGCAAGGCACTACGTAGGGGGTCAGGAAGCGGAGGAGCAGCTTTTCCAGTGCCTTGATGCGCATGCAATTACCACACTCATCACTGCACGCTTTCGCGTAAGACTCCACTGAGAACTGAGAACGAATTCCACTGAGGGATCTTCAAGGCCTCGGGCAGCCTCGAGCATTGCCCCTTTCACTCATCTCGCCTCGCTGTAAGACTTTAGCCGACGAGGAGTGCGATAGTGCCGCTTGAAGATGCGGAATTGGCGAGCACAACGCGAGAATCAAATATCGCAAGCCAAAGTGCTCGCCGAACCCGGTGCTCACAAAGATCTGCGTCTGGTCATTCTCATAGCTTCATACTCGCTCGTTTCATCGCAAGGTCTGGTGGCGACATTGCAAGGCACGAGGCCTTCAACTTTTAAAATCGACATGCATGATGTGACATGTAGTATCATGTAGTCTTGCTACTGGATGATCCACTGCGAGACTGCCGTGCTGTGTCGGTCTTGTAGCCCCTACCACTCCATTGCCATCCCGCTGGTCGAACTTTGATCTACTCTGGCCAATCCAGTAGGACCCTTAGGATACATACAGGCTCGGAAGCTATGTTATGACGAACTCAAGTCTCCTGGTCCGCATGAGACACACAGCCTTGCGGGATAAGAGTTGCAACGATTGCCGCAATCTGCTCCCACATGCCCCGACACACTCACTCTGAAAATGTGAGCTGGTGAGCCAAGGCGCGGAGGAAGGCTGCCAAACGGAACATCCTGGAACCGGACACCCAAGCACTCTTGGACATGTACCGATTCGTAGGAGTCAACTTTGCAGCATGAGCCGTTTCCGAACGGCGAGGTGATATGGCTGGAACCGCAGACATGACGCCTTTCTTCCGAAAGCGAGAAGCAAGCTCGGTCGTGCCAAACGCAGACTTGAAGAAACGTCAGGGCTTACTTAAGGACATCACTCAATCGGAGCTCCATAGCCAGTCTTGGGGGTGTCCTTGTGTGCGAAGGTCAGGCACTGCTCAGACTCCGGACCAGCATCTAACAGTGCACTATTCAGCATTAAAGCATCATTAGGCGTTCTCTCGGTGGCCCCGGTCTGGTACGCACATCACCTGCTGTACATTCTGCACCTGCCCTTCTCAGTAGCTCCGTCCGAAGAGAGTGCGCCGCTTCACGTTGTTGTCTCAGGAGCGACTGCTTAGTGGCTTAGTGCATCTTGCACTTCACAACTCCTCTCTGCTGGACACTGGGCTGCGCACTCGGACAGTCTGGCATGATACATTTCCACGGGCAATCCATGTTGTACTTCTCCTGTGTGTGCGAAAGGTGCATGCCATGGAAAGAGTCTGCGAATGAAGGAGAGATCAGAGAAGGGCTGCCGAACCCATCTTCCGCAATCTGTGGCCTCTGCTTTTTGACTTCCAATGCTTCTGGCTTCTCGCGGCATCTTGTGGCCTGTGCTGATGTCGAGCCGCTCTTTGGCGGCTTGAAGCTGGCTTTCGACCAGCTTCCCACATGGCCCGAGGCCACATGCCATTCCTGCGAAGCGGCTTGAACACCCGAATATAGTCTATCGTGCAGCACCTAAATGCCCAAGGCACCCTAAACCACTCGGCGAGACCGCCAGAACTTCGCATGAACATGGCGTGCCTCCACGGCTGTGGAAGCAAGTAGACAGAGTTAGGCGTGTGCCTGCAGTGCAGTCCATTCCTCTAGGCGTAGGCTTCCACTGAAGCTTCCAATCGAATCGCGCCTCGTGCAACTCGTACACCCGAACATAATCTATCTCGAGTACCTGATCTGCAAGAATCGGAACTGAAAGCAGTCAGAGATTTTAAGCAAAGTCAGCTCTAGCAAGCTGCGAAACTTGCCATCCGCTCCTGGTCGAGGCCAAACTCGTCCTTCTTGCTGCATGACGGTTCACCCTTCAAGCAGAACCCAGCCCATGGCCCTGCAACCTGAGTGACTTGTGTGACTTCGACATTTATGATCGGGTCTTGTCAAGCTTCGTGTTCTGTATCAGCGAAAAGGTGCCTCAATGGGGGCCGCTTGTCCTCCGTGTCCTCCTACTTATAATTACTATGTCGACTACCATGACAATGACCTGGACGATTTCGGCTGCCACTACAAGATGAGATGCTAAGATGACTATTACTACCCCACATACTAGGACATATGCTGCCATACCATCATTCATGCTGGTGGACGATGAGTGGCGATGCCTACGTCTTCGCGACCTGAGATTGAGGCTTGCTGTTAACTTACTGCAAGTACAGCATCTAGGGTCCCGACCGCAACGTGCAGATTCAGAAAAAACTTCTCGTTGAACGGCCACTCTGCTGTGTTTTGAACGTCCGGCGCAAAAGCAAAGTAGCTCACGCCGTCCTCGGCACAACCCACGCAAGGCAAGAGCTTAACCCATCTCAAGCCCCTGTCTTAGCTTCTTGCATATGTTTACGTGATTTTTCAGCCAGCTGCATCTAACCAACTCCATCTTCTGAGCAGCAGGCAACGTACCACTTCAGCCTGCCAGGCAGCCAGTCCTGAAAGGTGTCGGAATGTGCCGTGCGAAGAAAGAACAGCCAAGCACTTGCATCCCTGCTGCACTACAAGCGGCGAGTGTGTAGAGGTGCCAGGCCGAGGTGGTAGTGTAGAAATGATTTCCCTTCCTCGCTGAACAATGAATGGATTCACAGGCCAGCGAAAAGACGAGCCAAGTTAATCAAAGGTACTGTGACTTGCCAGCAGCATTGAAAGCACCTTGCGCGATTGAGGGGACCGTCCTTATGATGTCTTAACACGGGAAGGTGTGGTCACAATGATATGTCTGCATCACAAGTCCACGTGCGAAAGGCCTGTTTGCACAGCAGCCTGCACCTGCTGCCGCACTGTCACAAAGCCGGGCAGTCTCTCAGAATGTTTAGGTGCATGCGCCTTGCTGCTTGCGCAGCCTGTGGTCTCCATGATGTCAATTTCACCACTGTTCGGCCAACTTCCATGAACACCTTTGCAACAGGGGCACACGCGCCTCGGCTGATCAAGCCCGCATACGCCCTCATCTGCACTCGTGAAATGCTTGGCGCCCTGTGAAGGGAGCATCCACACAGCAGGCCAGCTGCCACGACCAGCCGGGGCACGAGCCTCAAGTACGCGCGCCAAGCACCAGAGCTGATAACCCTAAACCCTACACTTGGCCCTAAACCACCAAAGCGGGGCTGGTCAGTCGAGCCGCTCTCACCTCGATACGATGGCCGGGGCCCCATTCCCGCAGCTTGTTGGTGGTCAACCTTCACAGACGTTCGCAGACTCAGCTGTGTTGGGTACCTGACATTCTCGGATGGCCAAAGAACGGGGCCGAGTCCCCCACCTGGCGGACGAATACTTCCAGCTGCCCAAGTCCTTGTGGTGGTAAATGCGCAGCCGGCTACCGGCTACCGGCTAAAGAACCGGAGACCGCAAACACGATCACTCCACTTCGCCTCGCACTTCGCCACGATCTTCAATGTGCCATTTTCCACGAAAGCGTTGTCCCTAGCACATGCGCCCCCGGCGCAGACGCACTTTCTCATGCGACGTGAAAGCCCTACTACATGAAGCAGAAGAAGGTGCCTGCGACTGGTGTATCGCTGCAGCGATGGGGGCCCTTCCCCTTCAAGCAGAGCCTGGGCTTTGTCTTTGCCCCGCTCTAGACCCGCATTTCGAAGTTTCAGGCTCAGAAAGAAGCCATAAGACACGTGCAGTTGCGAAAGTCGCGCACCAGCTGAGTCCAACACCCAGCTCGATGTATCGATCGCGGCACCATCAAACTCCTGCTGACGTTGCCGCATCAACGCTCCAAGACGCATGCAGCTCATTGCAGCTCCAAGAGCTGAGGGCGAAGCATCAGACCAGTCCAGCGCACCGACCGTCACCGCATCGGGCGGATGCGACTCACATGGCTCATAGTAGAGCTTCTTCTGCAGCTGATGACCTCGTCGTACTCTCGTACTCCAATGTTTCTACACACTTCAAAACCCACAAGTTGCGAAGCCCTGCCATGTCGCCGGTACCGGTTTCAGCAAAGATTCTAACACACGCAACAAGCGCGGCGTGTGAAAAAGAAATGCTGACAGGCAACAGTTCCTGCTCCTTAGCTGCAAGCCGCAAGAGTAAGCAGAATCTCACTTGCAGCTCTGGGCTCCAACATGTTCCGACATCTCGGTCTACCTAATTATTATCAGCCATCGATCCGCATTCCAAGACTCACAGGAGAGCACCAGCCACGGCCACCGCATCGAGAGCAGCAGCTCGGCTTGGTGTCCTGCAGGGCTGCTTCTTGAGAGCAACAGATAGACAGCGGCCTGTATTTTGGGATGGCTCCCCTTATACTACGAGTCCTTCATAGGGATTCGAATAGGGGGTACTAGAATCCCTGTGAAGGACTGCTAGTATTGGGGGGTATGAGGATCAGGAATGACATGCTTGGATTTTCCCCTGCTTGGCCACAAGTCCGGATGTGCAGGATGTCCATGAACTACTTTCTCGATATTGTTGCACACATTGGTCTCCCTTGAAGAACATATCATGTCTGCACCGCTATGCGCACATCGGTATCACCAGGCTCCGGCACACGGACGGCAAAGCCAGATCGTTCTCTCTGATGTACATGATTAGCACGATTAGCCACCACTCAGCTGTTCACTCGGTATCTCCCGTTGTTTAAGAGTCTTTCCAACACATTAACACAGTGCCTTCGGACACTTCCGTCGCCGAAACCGAGCATTTTTGAGATCTGATGCAGCATATCTGTATGTTGGCAACTGGAAGCACTAGGATATCCGCTGCGCGAGATCTACATGAAGAAGAAGTAGGTGCTTATATATCGTTGGGTGGTCATAGTGGGAGGGTGGTCCGGGGGGGATATGGTTGCGTGCCAAACCGCCGGTTGTCGCCGACCGCGCGTGCGCTCACACACCCATCTGTTGCAGACCTCTGGAACACCCATCTTGATACAGACCTCGTCGCGTGCGCATACACCGGCTGGAAGCTATAAGGGGGGCTTGCAAAATAAGACAACAACAAGCAGCTATGTCGCAAAACTCGGACATTGATACATACCCTATGTAACGAGGTATGTCGCGTGTGACAAGTTATTAGAGTGTATGGGTGTGGACAAGGCTTTGGCGCACAGCGATGAAGACAGGCCTCATTGTTCATACGCATGAATATAGAGAAAGAGAGGGACAGAGGGAGAGAGAGAGAGAGAGAAAAAAAAAAAAAAAACATACTGCATTTTGCCATCGCCACCATTGCTTGGCCCCTCCTCGGCCTGGTCCGTCTTGTTGCTCTCCGCTCGGTGCAACTTTGGTTTCAGCTGCATCCTGGACCCCATCACAGGTGCACTGAGCCATTGGGCTAGCAAATTGACATGCCAGCGCAAGCCCCAAACTTTCAAAACATTGTAAAACCACTTCAACCGCATCCTGAGCATGTGCACAGGACCAGCGCGGAGCAGCATTTGGAATACCACAAAATGCAGATCGCCCTTTAACGGATGCGCGAAGCCAAGCCATCCAAGAGCCCGAGAGGCAGAACAAGTGCGTGCCTGTCACGTTTCCGAGTTTGTCGCGTCGCGAAAATTCGAGACACACAGACGCACAAGCCTCAAAGAAGAAGTGCACCGAACCGAGGTCGGAACCCTAAGATTACGGAGCCTTTGCGAGAGCGTGATGGTGCAACGAAGCCGAAGCCATCCTGGCCATGCCATCTAATCTGCGATGTCTTGGATGGCGGTGCCAGTCACGCAGGCAGAATTACAAGAGAGGGTCGCCATTCGCGGCTTCGACTGCGAAGCGCGCTTAGACGAGAGCACAGAAAACAAGCCCCGGTTCCACCCCCAAATTCCTCAATAATGAACGCAGGAACTGAGATGGTGCGAGCGTGAGTGGGGAAATGCTCAAGGCGTACATGGCCTAAGACCTCTTGCAGCTCAGGCACAGCAACACGCCTGGATCCTTGCGCCCCTTTGGGCAATCACCTTGCAGTCGGGCACACGACGGCACGGCGTTTCACGGCAAGTGCAATGTGAGGGCCTGCGGTACACTGCGATGATGGCTGTGGTGGCTGGGATGTCCTCACGATGCCTCGTGGTCAAACCAACCTACCTGGTCACCTGGCCTACAGCGTTCAGCTGAGTCAAAAGCCGGCGAAGCAGAACCACAGAAGTAAGCCTTGGCTCAGAAAAAGTGTGTTGATGGGACTCCTGGCTCATCTCTGACCAAACTAACCAAGCTTTGCTTGGCCAAACGCAGTGGTGGATCCACCTTTCATATTGATGCGTCGGCCAAAGCATTCCTTAGTTTGCTCGGGGCACCATATCAGATGCAACGCATCCGGCGTGTCATCCTCCTGCAAGGGATTCCTCCAAGCAGCTGAACGCAGCCTCGCCGCCACAGCTAAATCCAAAGCCATGCAAAGCCGGCTGAGGCGTTGCTCAGCTGGCTTGGGCCCAAGCACGTAGTCCACTCAGGTTGGAACACGCTTTGTCCCTGCCTACACTGCACAGGAATTCGGGATTGGCAAAGGGCAGAAGCCGAGTCCTCAATCGGGACGCACAAGCTCTTGGCACCCATCTTCAGACCACCAGCCACCTCAACTTCTTGTGCCTCGCGCATGTGGCTGTACATGAATGAAAGACCGACTTACCCCTCACAAGCAACCGCTGCGCCTCCTCCTTTGACTTCTCCTCGCCAGGTGAGAGCTTGACTTGGCTGCACCAGCACTACCAGCATCTTCATGAGTGATGCCATACCATGAGAGTCTTCATCGGGTCCTTGATCTTTTCCTCGCAGTCTTTTTCGCCACAGAACGGCACCAGAACCAGCTTGCCAGCGTTCAGGTTTGGACTGAAGTCCTGCAGCGGCCCATGCGACTGCACAGGCTGCAGTCAGATGTGCAGCAAGCCATCTTAAGCCATCCATCGAGCAGAAATTGGAGTCCTTCCACTCATTTATCGAAGCCAAACGGCTATCCCGTTCAGAAAGGGCTTTGGAATACAGCTCGTTATGTATTTCATCAAGGGTTCCTGGGCTACAGATGCGCGAGTGAGACGAACAAACCCAACGCGATGCATCACGGTTGTGCGCACAACGCAGTCTAAACTCAATGCCATGCTGCTTTTCACGTCGGATTCAAGGGAGTCGTGCTTTCCGACAACCTTGCCAGCCTGGCGTAAAGGATGTGATGGCGTGAGGGTCACGTACCTCAGCTGTGCCTTCAAGATTGCCTCCGCAATCCTCTACCCAGTTCGTCCGGGCCTTCTGGTCCAGGACGTTTCTTTTGGCCATGACAAACTCGCCTGAAGTATCCGGACCACAACCCAATCTGCTGCAAAGGGCATGCACTGCAGGCGCATGCACCTGGATGTCAGCCCACTCCCAAGAAAAGAAGCACGAAACCGATGGCAAATGCTTGAAGGGCATTGCCTTTTTTGATGTCGAGTGGGCCCAGCTCGATCCTCAAAGGTACGCCCTTCATCTCCCAGTGGTTGAACTTCCATCCAGGAGAATAGGTGTTGTCCTGACATCAGAAAGCTGGAGAATGCAGATGCGAATGCTCACATGCTAGACATATGGCTCTCACGCAAAAAAAAGAAACCTCCGCCGCCCGGTCCAAGCCGAGGCTGGGACAGCATCCAGGTGCACACGAACGCCAGCCGCCGCCAATCTCGTGGCATACAACTGGGATACCTGGGAACACCATGGAACACCATGAAGACATCTGCTCGACTCGTGCTTCCTCAACCTGTCCTGGATCGGAATTTTTCACATGGTGCCGCCGCGCCGCTTCAGCTAAGGTTTTCTTGTCTTCCTCGGTGCTGTTGGCCTTGATGCCCAGCGGCACAATGACCACCTGCAGCCAAGCTCGTCTTGCTGGGTCTACACAGCCACAGAGATCGCAACATGCACTGGTAGCCTGGTAGCCAGCCACGTTGGGAGGGAGCACCAACCCTTTGTCGTCACCATGAACCATCACCTTGCAAGGCAATCAAGAGGCGCAGTTCAATAAGTGGGAACAGTAGAAACTAGCAGCAACAAGCATCTGGCCATCACTCCAATGGTTCGCTGGGTGAGGCCCCAGGAGTTCTGGTACGCGTGCTCAAAGGCAGTGCCTGTGGGATCCTTCGGATCCTGATCGAAAGTGCTCTGCTGCCATGCCTTGTCTTGACTTAGATACATTATGACTTCTGATTCTTATGATACATGTAGATACCCTTTAGCATCCTTCAGCGGAAGACACGCTGACTCTCTAAGCAGATCTCCTGGAAATGGATGCCAAACATCTTCGAGAAGTTCTGGCCTCAGGCCCCAGGTCCACTAGGTACTACAAGGATTCACGTTCGCAGCCACATCGAGAGATCGGCCTAGGTGGTGTGACGTGGCCTTGGCAAGGGCGTAAATGGCAAGAAGCACATGTCATGCCAAACATGGCTCTTCTGGCCCTCTCAGTCAAGCTGCACCCTGGATCGCGCGGCCTGTGGCTGGAATGAACGCCTGCAGTTTAAGCCGCAACTGGAGACGTCCCTAGCAAAAAATCTTCTGTGAGTCTGACCCAACATGTTAGGCACGCTGCTTCTACCGTCGTTGTGTAGTCCGCGCCGGGAAAAGTCTCAGCCTAGTGTCACAACGGATTGGGGCGACTCGACGCGTCCTCAGGATGCCTACGAAGGACCACTGCGACCTCAGATGCGCAGGCCTTGGTCTTTCTCCCACGCACCACAGGGATGGCAAGCAGCTCCTCGTAGACCCGAGCGTACAGCTCCAGGATCTGCAGGACCTCCTCCTCCGCCTGAGCCTGAAAGAACATGAAAGAACACACACAGGATCACTCACACGCACACACTGACTGGTGCTTCAGCTGTTTCAGCTCACGCGCACCAGTACGTCATCCGGCCTTCTCCGCGAAAGCAGTGTGGCCCTCTTGCCATAAGAACTCGCGGGTGCGCAGAAAAGGAGTTGTCTGCTTGACCTCCCAGCGGACGACACTGCACCACCTGGGCGTGTCACAAGAGCAGTTCTTGCAAGCATTATCCTTCGCATGACTATAGGAGCAAATTGCGACGTGCAGATGAGCTGCTGATTCAGCTTGAGGGGCAGATCCCTGTGTGACTGCACCCAGTCCGAATATGCCGCATACATGGCGGTTTCACTCGTCGGCCTCATCCCGTCCGACAGCTTGGCTGGACAATCGAACGAATCAAGGTCTGATTAATGGCATGTGCCAAGGCAAAGTGGATATGGACAGGAAGTGTGTGTTGAATGTGCTCGAAGGCCTTATCGCAACGGGCTCATCAATCTCCTGACGCGAAGCAGGCACTGGCAAGAGTCAGCAACGGCGGCACACATGACTAAGACGCGGCTGCAAGTGCAAGCTTACGCGACTGCTTGAGGATCTCAGTTGACAAGCTGCTCGGAAGCCAGCCTCATTGCCGAACTTTGTTACCATCGCAAGCTCTGGCGCAAAGTCGTCCAAGTGGTCGCTCTCCTTTTCCATGTAGCACTTGGGGATGAACCTGGAGAGCTCAGAGCTCGTGCAGAGCTCAGAGCTTGTACCGCTCAATGTGCACGGCGAGATCTTCCACAGCTAGGCCCATGGCATGGGGAAGTAGCAGTTTTCGACCTGGCGCAAGATTTGGGGATATTTGGGGGCGAAGTGTCACACTTGGCACACTCGCTTCTCTATGTCGCAGCCAGGCCACTCCCAGCACCTTGATCTGCGAGTCCAACCAGCCCTGGCTTTTTGCAAGCTTCCAGATGCCGCTCAGATGCCTCTTCGGCCTCTAAACACACACGCGGATGTGTGCGCAACTGGCCTGTATCTGCTCCCACAGCTTGTAGGCCCACGGGCGGAGGATGAAGCAGCCCTTGACCTCATCTCAGCGAGCACTACGAGGCCCCCCACCCCCCCCCCTCTCAAAGGTGTTGTTGAGTCTTCTGCAGGGTACTTCTCGATCAGCTGCCCTTTGCCGATTACCTCTTTGCAAGTACACAGGGGGCCTTGTGAAGCCTTGCTGCGAGGTGGTTTCCAAGTATGTTAACTGCCTGCCTCCGCGTACCAATCTGGAACGCTGTCTGCCTTCTTTACGACCAGACCGCCGCCCTTGGCCTGCTGCTTTGCTGCGACCTGAGGGTAGTGCTCTAGAAGAGTGCAAAGGTGTGCAGTAATTATGTTAACCCCCGCGTGTTCGTTGCATACAGGCCACATCCTCCTTGGTTGCAACTTGCTTGGCCTGTCATTCGCATGCTGTGCCAGATGCACAGATCACATGGTACCTGGCAGCTGTACAGGAACGACGCGAGTGCCTGGGCTTTGGCTTTTGCCTTCTCTTTGGGAGCTGGTGCGGCTTTTGCTTTGGCCGCTGGCGCAGCGTCTCCTGCAACGGGTACTGAAGAGGTCGCTGGCGTCAGCACTGCTTCCAAGTCTTGGCATCAGCGCTGCTTCCGGCTCACGCTCGCCTCCTTCTTTCAACTGGGTCAGCTTGGCAACCAGGGCCTGGACCTCAGGCTTGCCATTGATGTCCTGTGCACCAGGAGCGCCGCAGTCGGAAACAAAGGGTCGTCGTTTCACACCGTCACGCAAGAGCTCGTCTAGACATAGGCAGAGACAGAGAGAGAAAGCGAGAGACAGGGAGAGGGAGAGGGAGAAAGAGACAAGGAGGGGGAGGAAGAGAGGCAGGACGACAAAAAAAAGGAAAGGGAGGAAGAAAGAAAAGAAGGAAGAAAGGAAAGCGAGGAAGAAAGGGAGGAAAGGGAGGAAGAAGAGGATAGAAGAGAACAGAGCTGAGGAGAGGAGGAGAGAGAGAGAGAGAGAGCTGGAGAGCGAGGAGAGAAGGGAGATAAAGTGAACGAGCAAGGTGGCAGGATGACAAGTGGGGAAAGGAAGGCTAGACTTGAGAACTCAAATACTTTCAACTTCACCCCGCTCCTTTCCAGCCAGCCCCTGCGCCAACGGAGCAAGTTCACCACGCAAGTTTCTCACGATTGTGCTCAGCACATCGCACCTCGCTCTTGAGCTTTGTTTTCAGCGCACGGAGCTCCTCTCCAACCGCATCGATCTGGGCCTTCTGCTCACCTTTTCGTGCTGTGCTTCACTGCGTGCCAAGTCGAAAAGCCCTGCCAAGTCAATGCAAGCAGCAGCGGCCTGAAAGGACAGGTGCGGCAGCTGCCGGCGTAGATGCCGCTGGTGCCTTGGCTTTGGCCACCTGACAACGTTGAGATTGTGAGATAGTGCATGAGGGATGACGCATGGTTGGCAACGGTGAGCTTACCCGCACACACACTGGGCTCAGCTGGATGTTTCATGAGCCTGGATTCTCAAACGCCATCAGAATGATTCAGATGCTGAGTGAGCGAAAGCAGGAGTTCTTACCCTCTCTAAGTCCCTAAAGGATTGTGGAGGACTCCATGGCCCAGTCTGTCGGGCACAGGCTTCAGGCTCCCGCGAGTTGAAAAGATTGAAACTCATTGCCTTGGTAAGAAGTATAGGATTAATGCCGTATTGCCGTGTGCTCGTGACAAGACGGAGAGGTTTACAAGATGTAGAACCGCCGGTTGCCGGTTATCAAAGGCCACCCACCGCCCCGGTGATGTGCTGTGGACTTAAGAATTGGCAAACTTTTCAGTGGCAGTACAGACCCATCCCTCACTGTCATTGCCCCGCTTGCCACTTGTCCGGTTCTAAGGCACAATGCAACCGTGCCAGTTCCGGATAGCCGGTGTTAAACCGCGGATTTCTGCCTGTGGCTCGGCTTTGGGCTTCTCCGCCGGCTTGCTCGCCGCGGCCTTGCTAGCTGCGGCTGGCGGACCTGCGCATGTCAGGGCCCTGGAGGTTCGTGTGGGTACCCGGGCTTATGGGGGGGCTTTCCACTTTCAGCAGGACGGTTCGAAACGCACCTTGGTTCTTCCGGAGCTTGGAAGCAGCATCTGCAATGTGCCTCGTATAAGCATCAGGGAGTCTCAGATGTTTCACACACCAGAGATTTATGCTGCCGGGCCCGAAGGGATCTGCAGGCTTCTGCTTGGCAAGCTGGGACACCAGGTCCTGTGATGAGCGGCCTTTGGGCCACTGGCTGCTAACAGGAAAGATCTCTCAATAGTTGATCGGATGTCCGCTAGAACTTCATCGATCCCGTGTTGTCGAAAGTAATCCAAATCAGCACCTAGGTCTCATGACTGCACTCAAGCGATTTTGTACGTGAGGAGCAGCTGACGAAACCCTGCTTTACAGCAGTTAGCCAAGGCACTCGACAGCGGCTGCCGCTTGGCTGGGAAGAGGCCCACTGCCACCTGCGCTTGCGTGTGGGCTGCGCCAGAGGCGGCTACAAAGCCCCCTCCCCTTTTCGACCAAACATGTGTGGGAGGCCAAGTGGGAGAGGTCCATGGCGACCCGGGCAGTAGCGGCGTCCGTCCTTTGCATGGACTGCAAAAACCAACCTGCGACAAAGCATTGGCAAGTTTGAACCTGCCAAAAGAGGTCGCTCCTGAAGTTAGCCGGAGGCTCGCCCTCAGGCTTGAAACCGCCACTTGAGCCAAGCTGGCTGTTCCGTCGCAGAGTTGCGGCATTCTCTTTCAATGCACAAGGAAGATACTGCACGGATAGACGACTGCATGTGCAGACACGAACGGTTTATCTGTCGGCCTGCAGGGTGACAGTCACGTGCAACACCGCAGTCTCACCGAAACATCATTAATCACCTACGCCTACGTCTCATCGACCGCCAGTTGCCATTGGCAGGAGGAGACAGCAAATGTACCCCCCTCAAGATGAGATAGTCGAGCTACTTGCTCGAATGTGTTGGCATTAAGCACATGGTCTTCCAAACGAACGCTGAGATCTTTGAGGAGGGCAAGCTATGAACAGTCGGCAGCATCACACGGCAGCGGCCGCCTGAAGGTCTGCAGAAACCGCCTCAAGCCGGTACATGACATGACATGACCAGCTTAGAGAATAACTGCCGTAATGTTTGACATGCAGTCTTGGATGGCAGGCAGCATTCTGCTAGGCTCGGACATGCTAAGAGGAAGAAAGCGAATCATGCTGAAGGACTTTAAACTGTAAACTGGCTCCATCACAGCGATGCAGCCAGCAGTTACCATTTGCTGTGCGGGGGCGCCTGGCCTCCCAAATGTCCGACCCAGCGCCTTGGGCACATTCTGCCACACCTGGATCGAAGTGGCGGATCAGCACCTGCGTGCTTTGAAGATCGGCTGTGGACCCCAAGCAAGACGATGCTTGCAAGGGCTCTGATGCCTCTGGGGCAGACTCGCCTAACAGCTGCAAAGCTGCAGCCTTGGAGGCATTTTGGAGAGATGCTTTAGGCTTTGTCTTCACGTTATCTGCGGATGGTGTGTATAGTCACTGCGGTCGGTAGCGGTCTGTGCAAACTAGGCATCCGACTGCAGCCTGAGAGTCATCACCTCGCTGGCGCCTCTCCAACTCTAGCCTGTGCGACGGACCGGGCGATGGATTCATGGAAGCACAATGCAGCACGCGATCTGACGGGCAGGACCAGGCCAACGACAGCGAGCGCTTGCTGCGAGTCGTGGGGAACGTGCGGGAAGTGAGTAGTGGTTGTCTCCAGTCTTGCTGTCATTTTTTGTTGACGGCGTCGGGGTTGGATGCTGATGGATGTTGTTGCTGTCGACGACTCTCTGCGGCTAGGCGCCAGCGCTTCACTCAGCCTTGTCAAGGCCTTTTCGTGTGATAGAGTCACACGCAACCCTCCGTGCAGGAGAGCCTCGCCTGACCTTACCTGCAAGATGCGGCAAGCAGAGAACCCCAGGCCACGACCATCTAGCCTTCGACTGACTAGCGAAGCTATGAGATGTGAGAAGCCGCTTCGGCTGCTTCACCTAATCAACTCCAACTCCGGAGCTTTGAGTACGGGACTCCCGTCTCCGGAGCTCGCTTGCCCGAGCGTAGTCCTGAGCAAAGCGCAACAAAGCACTCACGAAGCACACTTGTTCTGTTCGTTCCTTGGCAAAACCTTAGCCGCTGCAGACTTCCTGGCCTCCACCTCAACTGCCTCTTGCTTTTGGCGCTTCACGGATCGCAACTCCTGTGCCCCCACAAACTCCACACCAGAAGTGATGTGTCTCAAGGGGGTCGGCAGTCAGCGGTCACGCACCACCACTGCACATGTTTGATGAGATTGGCCTCCTCTTCCTGGCTTCTCAATCTCTTCCGTTCTTCCGTGTCGGCCTCCGAAACAAGCAAAACTGCTTGCATGGCTCCAGAGCGAAACTCAGCCAGTTCAAGTTTGATCTTGCATGCTCCCTGCCCCGTCGTTTGCTGCCGCCGGAGCATCCTTGCAAGCCTATAGTCACCATAGTCACCGCCGCGTTCAAAGCTGAATGCTTCAATACCAGGACAGAAACTCGGGGCGCTGGCCAGACACGTCTGGCGAGCGGCAGTAAGACGCAAGGTAGCAGCAGGCTCCCGCCTGAGTCTTGCAATGTCTTGCACTAGAAGGCGAGCTGACTGTCTCGGGACATTCATCTCCCCTAAATTATCTTGATGGTCGTGGGGTCACATACCCTTCTGGCGCCCTGTTGTTTAGCTTCAGCATCTTCGAAAAGAGCTCTGAGCTCATATTCTGCATCCGACTAAATCAATTGGTCGGGCAGTCGAGGCCGGTGCTGCTTCAGCCGGTGTGCCAAATCGAAGTCTTCCAGCTCAACTGCCTACGATAAATTACGATAGCAAAGCGTGGGAGCCATCGAAGTGACGACGACCGCATTTGTGGCCTTGCGCTTGCGGCATTGCAGCAGCGAGACTTCTATCATCCGAAGCGACCTCGAGCGGAACTGCCGCAGAACTCTGCGAAGTGTTCCTCCTCGCTGCTCGTCACAGCCCTTGAGCCGCGGTCCATTTCCGAAGAGCTTCTACGCCATCCTACCGGGCACAGAGCTTCAGACTCAAGGAATCAAGGAACCAAACCGCCAGATTGCGGGCCTTGCCTCCACAGCCTCCTCTTTGACCTCCCCGGCATCACCCAGCCTCCCATGTGCACCAAGGCTCAGAGGAAGTCGGGACTGCAGCAGAGCCAGGAGCACGGCTCTGCTTTTCTGCGCTTCGCTTCGGACTCGGTCACGGCAACGAAGACCTAACCAGCTGAAAGCTGTGCTCATGCAGGACGGCAGATCAACAGTGCCCTGCAACAAGTCAAGACAAGGTTGCTGCGCGTTGCTTGTGAAATTTGAGTTTTCGGCAGGTGGCAAAGGTGGGAAGATAGGCTTCACCTGCTTGACCCGCCGCAGCCGCTAAGAGCGCGATGCCAAGTTTCGGGGACTTCTCACGAATACGCCAAGACAGAGCCTCTTGCAAAGCACTCGAGGTGACATCCTCAGCCAAAACCACTGGACCTTCTTCAACTCAACTTTGCCACAAGCTCGGGGCGGGTGCACTCGGAAAATCGTATCCTGGAGTGCCATCCGCCTCTCATCGTCTATGTTTGTCTCACATTGCTTTGCATGTGCGGGTTGCGCCAGGCTAGGTTCAGTGCATGAAGCCGTGCCTGGGCAGGGCGCAAACGGGCCAAGATCTCTTCTGCCTCAACCAGCCGACGATTGTCCACACCTTCGCCCACTGCAACATGCCGAGAACAAGCAGGCTAACTTCGGCATGGACGCAATCCGGACAAAGGCGAGAGCACTGACCACAGCCATTGAAGGTGCATGGGCTCCACATGCAGGACCACCGAAAAAAGCAGATGCATCTTGGCTTGCGGCCCGCTTCCTTTGCCTCCTCGTAAGCCGCACGAAAGGTAGCCTCGTCTTCCTGCATCTCACTCGACTGCTCACTATGCTCTCTGTGATGCCGCAAATTGCTGCAGAAAATCCTCTTGCGCAACACCGGCCAGATCCAGAGCAGCAACCAGAACCTTAAAGCAAGGAGGGCATCTCAAGCTCAGCAAGTATACCAAGACATGTGGACAATTGTGGACATGGGTTGTGGCGAGGCACAGATTAATTGATTGATCTCAACGGGACTCAACGGGCGTCATATCGAGATGAGGTGACACGTGGTGAAACTTCAGCGAACTTGCAATGTTCTGACTGGGATATATGTACAGCACTGGCCCCGCAAGGTGCTAGGGCACATGGGCACATGTCTCGAACGACGCGCCACTCTGCAATGTGCAAACGACATGCAAAAATGACACGTGCGACGTGCAACTTTGCATCGCGACACAGCAACCTACAGCATTCCTTCATCTTTCCTTCAATCCAACTCGAAACCTGCATCCTGGCAGACCAAGAGATTACAAGAGGATTCAGCCTGCGGTCTCCGAAAGGCCCAGTTTCCACGGAGCCACCCCGCTGGCACAAGTCGGTCCTGGACTATCACGAACTCGAGCTTTTGCTTCATGACTTTCCACCTGCACTGAGGTAGCTCCACTTTCAAATCTTGCAATCAACACACAACTCCCTGAGTGGGCCACGAAGAGTACGTGGGCAACTTCAATGTGTTGAAGCCTCAGCAAAGGGCCCGACTCACTTGGCGAAGACTTCAGCAGAGCAATGTCTACGGAGTCTACGGATGGTGCGGAGCAGAACCAAGTCACATGTGGAGGCCGTCGGCAGCTTTTCACCATCACTGCGAATATGCACCTACGGCAAGTAAGAGAATCATGAGGTGTTGACACGCTGGTCGCTCTTACTTGCTTCCTGCCACGCATTTTTGGACCGTCGCGCGCAAATTCTGTAACGTGCCGAAGCAGGTGCTAGAAGCACGCCCTTGCAAACGCGGCAGACACGCTCAGGCAGCGCAGCTGGTAAGGCGTTAGGCATTTATATTTATAACAATTGACAACTCCCTCCCAAGTACAAATTGAGATTCCGGCACTCTCTGCTCGCGTCTGCTGACTCCAGGACCTATGAAACTCGCCCTGGCTTCTTCGGTAGGGTCCACGCCTCTCAATGTCCGCATAGCCGCAGCGACTTGGCATACGTACTTTAACCAGAATGGCGGTTAAAGCCTGGCATCAGCGCAAACCACACGTTCTGTCCCTGGCTCCGCCGTCGGTGGTGTTTTTGCGTTTTTGGCCAGAATTGGCCGCGCTTCACCACTCTGCGCTGAAAGGTCCTGGGTGGTGCTTAGTGGCACAGCATCAGCACAAGCCGAAACTCGGCACGAAACACCGTGCACGGTCGTGTTCACGAGGAGCCGGCGCAGAAGTGCAAAAAGGAGTAGAGGGCAGCACCTGAGAGCAGAGAATGCGAGCGGGGCGCTCACATGCCGGCAGCTGGTCTAGAGTGCAGGTCGGCGGCAAAGAATGCAAGGGAAGACCGTGCTCATGAACCTTGGCTCTGAGGCACTACCAGGCTCGGCACGAATGCAGCAAGCAAAGCGGCAGTCTAGCAAAGGGCAAGCAACAGCCCCTTGCCCAGCGCGTTGGCATTGGCAAGCCTGTCGACGGAAGGCATGTCTGCAATCCTCATCTCCTGCGGCAAGGACAGCGCAGCTGGGGAAGAGAAGAGGTGGACAAATAAAGACAGCGCGGCTGGGGCGGGGAATAGGTGGAGACATCAAAGCTCCCACTCGAGACTCTGAGTTTGTGGAGAACGAGGCCCTATTGAGTTGTCCCCTCGGGTCCCTATCTGGTTGGGAAGTCAAGGATTCCCGCCCCAAAGTGTGCCCGCAGATTAGTTTTCACATGGTTTCCACGGAATACAGGATCCCGACTCCCAGCACCCGGGCCCCATTTGGAGTGGCATCGGCGGACGGAGTTTGCTCGGAATCAGAACACATGGTGATATGACGCATCGGTACACAGCGGTTTGGGCGTTTGGGGTAGGGCCTTGGCAATAGCTCCCAGACTCTGCAAAGCAACAGTGAGAACATTCGGTATTTCGTTAAACAACAGCTCGGACACTAAACTGGTTGAAAGCAAGCTTTGACCCATTGCAGCTCTCTTCTACGGGGCATGACTACGCAGAACACGTAGGCTCGGTTGGCATGGCATGGACGTGAGTATCATTCGGGCATTGACGGCATGCATGCCCCGGTATCGGTGAGGACGAACTTGTCAAGTACCGATGCGTTCAGCGAGAGCGCAGCACCGCAATCGGAAGTGTTGAACACATGGGTGGCACCGGTAAATACATGGTAAAAACCATGTCAAGTGGCGTGTGGTTACGTCAAAGTGCCAAAGTGCGAGCCCAAAAGAACAACTCAAGACGGTGGAAACTGTGCGGCGCGAGCGTAGATGCCTCTTTCCCAGCGCCGTGAGTTTGTAGATTCGCTGTCGCCCTTCATTGTGCTAGCTGAATTCAGTCTGGCTCGGCCTGAAAATCTGACCTTACTCCTTGCTGTCTGTTTTCTGCACTTGTAACTACTGATTTTTATACAGATTCAGAGAGCAGCGGGCGCTTCCAACGCGCAGTACACGAGCCGTCAACTGACATGTGCACATAGAAGCAGGCTTCAAGTGTGACGGTCCTGAGTTCTGTACTTGAGCGCGTGCGTCGCAAGCAACGAGACACTGAGCGGTCCAATCGTCTGACCACTCAACGACTCCTAAGCGTTAACACAAAGCAGCACGAACAAGCGTGATATAAGCAACCATCACCCCACATTCACTAACTGTGCTGAGACTGCCATTCCGTGAATACAAAGACATACCGGCGTACATGAGCTAAGGTGCAAGGCTGTACTCCCAGGCCATAACAGATGCCTGAAAGGTTGCAAGTGACGAAGCCCTTTCATCTGTGAGAATCCAACTCATCCGACACACCATGCCTTGCTGTCGGAAGGGACGATGCGAGCCAACAGCGGCTGATTGCAGCCTGAGGCTGCCCAGTGCGCCAGGAGCCCAGAGACGAAGCTGACCGTAGCGAAGTGCCAGAACCTGATGCACTGCTCATTGTGGCCCATTGTGGCCCATTGGTGCCACTGAGCGACTAGAGAACAGAACAGTTTCTCCTCGTGCTACGATGTGCTAGAGGCATGTCCTGCCACGGCGCATATCCGGGGAGACTGGCGAGAAGAACATCTTGTACATCAGCGGAATGCCCAGCAAAACAGAGACTTGCCCAGTGAAAGGCCGACCGTGTTGCTTGCTCCACCTCTCAAGCTGATCACCGATGTAGCCGCCCAAGGGTCCACCAAAGATTGTGCCCACCACCTGGCGCGGCGCACGTCGCAGCTCACAGATTTTACAGGCGCAACGTCATTTCTTCAATTGCCGAGGTACACTCATGCTGGCTGCAATCGCTGCTCTGGTATCGGACAGCCCGCAATACCTGCCATCAGAGATGTGGCATATGTTCACGAGCGATCCGTATGGCGTATCCAATGTGACCAAAGAGTCTGAATCTTCTGTGCCCAGCCACTGCATGAACAGCAGCTGAAACGACAACGCCGCATTGGGAATCGTACCAACCAGTCCTGTGGGACCCCCTTGCGCAAACTCCTCTACATGAGGTGGCAGTCGCTAGCAAATCACCTTGTGACAGGATCACGCAGAAGGTGGGCTTCCCGAGGTAGGCAGAAAACTTCTTGCACTCCTGCTGAGGCTCAGTTCCACAGGGTGATTGGACTGGGATAGGTGATAGGTGCATAGGGAAGATGGGGGAACACTTTCCAGGCCTGCAAGAGATCAACCTTCTTTTGAGGGTTTGTGGTTGGGCCAGCGTGGAAGAAGAGCTGGAATGCCTCCGGTGCGGCTGACAAATTTTAGATATTTCTGGTAGAGCTTGAAAAACAGTACAATCCAAGCTTGCAGTGCGTCCCAATCTGGCCACGTGGCGGCGGCTATGCTGAAGCTGAGGCATGCAGTGATAGCGAGGGCGACGCGCCAGCCAGGAACTCCAAGCACAAACTCCTCTCAACGAGCAAATCTGGCAGACAAGTGATTTACACTGATTGGCTGAGGCCTCGTCTCCCATCGAAACCCTCTTTACCATCGTTTATGTGCATTGCCTAGGCCCTGGCTTTTTCTCACTCGATGACAAGTGAGGGACAGCGCATCGTCGTTTCGTAAGTTGCGAAAGCTGTAGAATGTTGGCCTTCTGAGTGCAAGAACTTCGCAGTTCATCTGCCAAACTTGTGCAAGGCTCGTCTTGTACTCGCTGCTTCCTTTTTCTTGGTCGCTTGTCGACAAGTGATGTTGATCATGTTGCAGCACAGGGCGAAAGTTGGGTCGCTGCACGGGCAGCAACCGGGGATTCTGCAGCCCCGCTTGCCCCACGTGAATCCTTCAGAAGCTTCGACAACAAGTAAGTAAAAAGCCAGAAAGTAAAGGTGCTGTCAACCGCCCAGAGAAGCACAGGTCCAACACAGGGGTCCCAGCATCAGTGACAAGGTCAGCCCTAAGCTCTCAGCAGAACATTGGCAGCTAGACCGGCCAGACCCGGGGGCAATATGGATGCCTCAACGGTCACTCTGCCCTCGATGTACTCTCAGAGTCAGGGCAGGCAGGCCGGTGCGTGCTGCTCTGGATCCTAAACCCCAAGTTTTCAAGGCAACTTTGCTTTTGCTTGGCCCCGCGGTGCTCTTTCTGCTGTTGCGCTTTGCTGTCACCCAGCAGCCAGCAGCCAAGCTTGCGCTCGACGTGTCATAACACTTGCAGGACCTGCCTCGGCCAAGGGCGCGGCGATCACCAGGGCGACGATCTTTCCAAGACCCATTGATGCGGTGACGAAACCAAAGTAGATGCCCATGAACTCTGGACGAACATGTGTCGCAATCCTCTCTCATGCACGGTTGACGAGCATTGAAGAAAACGCTTCAGCAGCAGATTGAAAAAAAAGCAGACAAACAAAAACAGACCTGTGGGTCGTAATGTCGCTTGAGGTGCTGAGACTGCACCACTGGCAGCACCATGCCAAGGCAGAGGCCATTGAATGCCCGGAAGGCCGAAATCATGAAGATGGATTCGCTACATGCCAGGACACAGTTGGCGAAGGTCCATCCAAGAACACCGGTGCAAACCACCTCTGGAAGATCAAACTGCGCATGCCTCTCTGCTGACGGGTCAGACATTCCATGTCAATTTTCAGCACTCAGCCGCAGACCTGCTTGCATGAAAGACCGCCATCAATCAGATTGGCCCAAGCAATGCCGGAAAGCGCCTCGGAGAATTGCGCGCGCACACAGACAACGGTCACACGCAGCTGCAGGTCAAGGGCATCAGCAACACTCCTAGGCGTACCAAGTAATCAGCATTGCGCCTAGGACCTCTATCATAACACATTCAAGCGGCTTGCGCAGCACCTGCCAAAGAAGCCGCGCTAACCCGAGCAAAAGCAAAAGAACTCTCAAGGGATATCTGAGGATATCTCGATGCAAGGCATGGGGCCTTGAAGCGATTGGAAGATTGCCAGGGTAGTTGGCGAGAAGCCAAGTTCAGCTTCCACCGCCCGGAACGATGATGGCAGCAGGTTCATGTCCATCCCTTCCACGAGGCAGACTGCGCAAAGCAGCAGCCAGTTCAGCTTCCCCATGGTGGGCCGCTCATCCACCGGAAAGCCCTTCATGTAACAGAACAAAGCACGAAGCAAGGGCCGTGCAAGCCCCGCTTGCTTCAGGTATGTGCGGCCATGCTGGACCGCAGAGCCATTTGGCTGCGTTTTCAGCTCAAGCGGTTCAAAACCAGCTCAGGTGCTTTATTCTCAAAGGCCTTAAAACTGTCACTTCATGTCACTTCCCTTCGAGCAGGCCTTGTGCACCGTGAATGGCGGCTGCAAGTGGGAGAAGCCGAGGAGAGGAGCCCGCGAGCATGAAGTCACGAAGCGAAGCAACTTTGTCTGCACAGGAAGACTCTCACATGCCGATCATCGAGTGCATGTTGTGTCATTTTGCCACGTCGGGTCCGTCCTTCTTGAAACCCGTTAGCAACTTCTCACATGTCCAGATGCCTGGTGCTGTGGGCTCATGGCCTTGAGCGCGGCAAAGAAATCCAGCCTAAGCCCAGTTTCCGACCCATGCGGCTCAGGCAAGCAGGGGTGACAAAGATTTCCATCAGCCAGGAAACACTAGCCGGTCACGTGGGCCGCTGCAGTTGGACAGCTGCGTGTGTCGCTGCAAATCCTGTGCAACACGAGCTGGATACTTTGGAGCGGGATGATCTGCGTGGTAGTCTGCCGCCCGCTCGCTCGCTCTCTCTTTCTCTTCTTCTTCCTTCTTCTTCCTCCTTCTTCTTCTTCTGTTATTCTTCTTCTTCCTGCAGGGGCATCGTCTCTCTCTATTCTTCTGTCTGCCTGTTTGTCTGTCTTCCTCTCGACTTCTCTTTGCAGCCGACGCCACATCCACGTTCAGGGATCCACTGCTGGAGCCGCTGACGACCTGGACAAGCCACGCAGCCGGAGCTCCGTTGTACAAACGTTTCTTTCTCCTGCAGCTCGTTCTTGAGGGCTTTTACGGTCCGAGGCCGCCCACTGTATACCCTGCTCTTCTACGTTGGGATCTGCCGGAAAATCTTTGCTTCTACAACATGTTCACTGTGACATCTTCTAGCCTTTGCGAATGACTGGGGCTCCTTCCCGTTTGCAAGAAAAAAGCTGCCTCTTGCAACCGACATGCTGCATTTCTAGTGTTTAGAAGCCAAGTGAGGTGCCTGCTGCAACTCGTCCTCGCTGAACATTCGCAGCCATCGCTCGTCGACTAATCGCCGGAAGCCATTCAAAAAGGCTGATGATGCACTCTGAAGCTCGCGATTCAGCTTGTAGTCACTGAGCCTGAGAAGCAAGAGGCGCACGTCTGTCCCCTACTGCGTGCCCAGCGTGCCCTCTGCCGCGCGTTCCCAACTTGCAACTGGGGTGCAAGTAGATGTAACGCACCCTGTTCTCGGCTGTCACGGGTACTTCCTTGCCATGTCCCGCAGGCAGCAATGGGATCTCCTCACCATCGCTGCCAGTGGCAACAAAGTTCAGGCACAGGTCCGCCACATCACCGCCTGCGGTCGGACGCTTTTCAAGAAGGCTGGGCCAGGTAATTTCATGCGAGATCCAAAAGGATCGGACTGAGCAAGGCACTGTATACTTTCAGCTGCTGCAGATTTGCGAAAAGTGCCTGAGTTGCAGGGTTCAGTACGAGATTCGGAAGACAACCGGCCGGTGCACCGGCAAAAATCGCGCCTCACTCGCCCTCCCTTTGCCCAGGACCACCCGTCGCCCGTTGCTGCTTGGCTGCTGGATCGAGGGACTGGAGGTCGTAGTAGGAGTTGTGCTTGCCAAGAATCTTGGCAAGGAAGAAAGGCGCAAATGAGGGCTCCACCACCTGGCCAATGACAATACGAGAGCCATGAGAAGCACAAAGAAGTAGTATCCGAAGATCCGAAGATCCGAGACAAGCATTCAGATGCAGCTGTGGGGCAATGCCCTCGAAGATGGCCTTGCCAATCACGAGCCCCAAGAATTCAAAGAGAGTTTCCACATTCTCCTTGCAGCTTCGAGGGGACATGGAGGCAGTTTACGCCGTTTTAGATAAGGCACCTTAGGATACCTTAGGCAGCTTAGGCTCATGGTATTTCCATGCATCTGGATTTGGGTACAGAAGGCGTTCATCAGTGATGCGAAAGAGACCGTACTCCGGATTGAAGGCTGTCTCAGCCAGCCTCTGCTAAGCACAAAGCAGCTGCCCGCATCCCTCCGACATGGTAGATCACTGCATTACGGACATCACCACGCCGGCGAGGCACTTCTCCCAGAACTCTTTGAAGAGCCCACCCGCATCCTGTCCCTGTTCAGGCCGACCTGAAGCGTTCACAAAGACGACCTGAAACCGAGCTCGCCAATCAGCCTCCTCAGGGTGCAGGTCTCAATGCGTCGCAAGATGCGCATCAACTCGCTTCCCAGGCCTTCAGCATCAGGGACGTGAGGCCATCCTCGAAGAGGTGGGTGCGGCGGACGGTCAGCTTCACAACTGGCCGGCCAAGGCCTGCCTCACACCGAGTCAAGGCTAGCTGCCCAGAAACAACCAAGAGGACACGACGAGCAAGATATAAAGACGCATCCTGAGCTCTCACCGGCACGTGTTTCCCTGCGAGGCGCCTAGACATCCCACATCAACTCAACGACTCAGCTTGGAATGAAGAGAAATCGGTGTGACAAGGACTGAACAGCCTAGCCAAGCCATGCCTGATTGCATGGTTGCTACATGTTGCGTGAAGCTGGTACGAGGCGCCGAGGGGTTTGCCCAGGCCAAGTTTGCCTAGTAACTTCAGTCTCTCCACGGGCTCACAGCACGTCAGCCGAAACCAATTCTCAAGCCTGCCTTGCCTCACATGCGGACCTGCTCTTGTGTTTTGCACCCTTATGCCCCAACAAGGTCGTCTTGGCAGGAGGCTGCATGCTAACGGCTGCAAACGAAAGTTATGATAGAACAGGTCATCAAGTAAATCTGGACGACATGTTCTCAACAGGGCCTCGCGAGCCACCTGGACCCGAGCACGCAACAGCGCAACTCGCTGCTCGAAGGGTATGGCCTGCACACAGCGCAGATGCTCTGCTCAGAGCCGGCTCGCAAGTCAGAGCGCGGCCTGCGGCAGATGTCTGAGCAAACGCTCGGCACCCGCGGGCAGCTGTGCTGGCTGAGCAAGCTGCAGCGTGTCGGTGATCTCCTCAACTATGTGACAGCTTCTGCACGAGCTGGCACAAGCGTTTTTCCATGTTTTTCCCCACCCTCGGTGTGGGGTTGTTAGACTTTAAACTCACCTCGTCTCCTCGCCCGGAACTCTTCTCCTCGCCCGATCTACTCCTCGCTCATCCCTGGAGTGCCCAACCCCAGAGTGTTCCTGGAGTGAGTGTCCCTCGAGTGCCCAGCCGCAGAGTGTCCCTGGAGTGCCCAACCCCAGGGTATCTCTACCCAGAGAGGGTGGAGATGTTCGAAGTGAAATAATTTTGTTGCTTCTCTACATGCTTCTCAAAAAGGATGCTTCTCCTTGACGACAGCTTTGAAGGCTTCGGCGACCGAGTCTGGAGCATGCCAGTTGCTCGCTGGAAGAGGCTTCTCTCCACGGCGGCATAGCGCCCATAGCTGGGCCAGGACGCGTCCGGCAGCTTCCAGGAGTTCCTCTCCTAGGCTGAGGCAAGGGCGGACAAGTGGCCGAACCAAACATGAGGTATGTGTCACGTGTGAGCCAGTCGCTTGAGCAAGTGTCGGACCTGAAGGCCAGTAGTGGCCGTAGTGCCGGATGCTTCCGCACCACTCCAAGCCAGCCGGGCGGTGACCGAGGTCACCTCCACTAGCACGAGGAAACAAACCTTTTCCAGATATGCCTGTATAGACTTCTCTACAGGGGTGCCGCAACTCCGGCACTTCCCCACCTGGCTCACATAGACGGCGATGTCGTGCTTGCAGAGAGGAGACTCTGGGCTTCGGAGCTCATCGTATGTCATGATTCCCAGGCTCTGGGAGAGGAGAACAGCATGCAGGTGAATCAAGTGAAGAACGTTGCCCAAAGGTTGGCTGGAGGATCTGGAGCGCGCATCACCAGCCATTACACTTTGAATGCGCCTCCAGAGCCTAAGAGTTTTCACTTCGACTCCCATGACTCTCTACTCCCTGCTCTCTGGAACCTCTTCTGGAACCTCTTCGACTTCTGGTATCGGCTTGGGTGGACCTCACATGACCTCAGCTGCAGTCGAGAAACGCCTTCGTCACATCCCCACCCTCCATGTAGGCAATGGTATTGGCGATGCTTTGAAAAACCTGGTAGTTCAATCCTGACTTCGAGGCTGCACGAGCTTTGCCAAGCAGTGTGCTGTAGAGCTGTGCCAGGCAGTCCACTGCACGCGGGCATACCTTATGATGCGCCACGGCAAGGCAGTGCCGCTGGTATCCGCGGAGCCGCAAAGGTCCCAAAACGACCTCCTGAGCCGCATGCAATGATCTGCCCTCCGCAAAGAACGACCGAAAGCAATTTCTACATGGAATCTGGACTGATTGGATCCTGCCTTTGGCACATACTTCAGCATGAGGACTTGGTTCCACCACTGGGCGATGGCAGCAGGATCGGCCAGGTGTTGCAGCTGCCGACGTAGCTCCTGCAAGTGCCCACTACGCGACAGACGTGGGTTGCCCGCCATCTGCCTCGGGTCCTTCAGGGTCACCGGCTCATCTTGGCCCAAAGCTCCTGCTCCAGGAAGCATTGATACCTGCAACCGCGCAACAGGAGCAAAGGTGTTCCAGTGACAGAGTGAGCTTCCACAAACTGCTGGCAGCATCATCGCCTCCACTGCTCTTTCCAGCAGGTATGATTCGATCGCAAGCAGCTCCGGCAATGGCAAGGCCAGCGCGGCATGCAGTTCGAACAGGTTACCTTTGCGACTCAATTGAGCGCGTGACAATTCACCTACACTGTGGCAGCTTTTGCATCTGCCGGGTGCCTGCAGCATATGCCATGGCGTACTCCTGCTCCATCGCTTTCGCAGAACCTGCATGACTCGAATTACTCGATACCACTTGATATCTCTCAGTCAGGCTTCGCTTGTGGCCTTGGCGCTCATGCCCACGATATTCTTTGAAGCGGGCTCCCAGTCGACGCAAAGCTGGGGACCACATGTGCTCCTCTGGCTCTTCAAGGGTGCCAGCTACCAGAACTGCACCTTTTAAAAGGCCCGTATAGTATAGCTCTCATTGTTCTCTCTCTCATGAACGCAAATTAACTCTCACATGAATTCGAAAATGAATTCTCACATGACTTCTCAGATGAACTCTCAGTCATGAACTCAATGAACTCAATGAACTCTCCTCCGTTTTGGGAAGAGCTCGGCCCAATGGAGCTCCTAACCTTGGGACCGACAACACCGCAGCCAGCAGCTCGGCAGCTGGGCCTTCGCCGGTCTTCGGCTCCTTCTTTCAGGGCTCGGTCGAATCAGCAGAAGAACTTAAGGGTACCTTGAGGATATCTCAAGTCTAAACAACCTTCCGACTCCTGGAGGGCAAGCCCAAGCAGCGCAGCTGCCACGGCTACCTGCCCCGCATGACGCAGCAAGGGCAAGGCTAAGGGGGCCGCATGTCGAAAAGTCCACAGCGGCACCAGATTCTGCAGCTTCTCTGGCGCTGAACCGCCGCTGCCCCAGCAGCCGGCTGCAGCAAGCGCACAGCCACGCCAAGGTTCAAGCCTCGGATGGCGCTGGATGGCCTCTTGTTGAAATCTTGAATGATGCAATCAACTTTCCACACGACCGAGGCAGTCAAACACCCTCCGACAGCGTGTCAACACAAACGCTTTGGACAAGCCACATAGCCGGACAAGTGCAAGTCTGCAGAAGCGGCCCAGAAATCCTTCGAGCAAACGGCCCGCCCATCGCAGAGCCGCCTGCGCTCAGGCATGCGAAGATCACCCGACATCACTGGACAGCTTACATGTCCTTAATGTCCTTATCATCTTTTCGCTACGAGGCACCGCGGAAGGGATTCAGGGATGCTCTGGAAGCGTGGACGTTCCTATAATATTGTAGGTACGGATTCTTCTGGCCACTGGATGCCCTGGTAGCACGGACGTTCCTATCGCGTAGGCATGCTCGTCCGCGGCAAAGCGACGATCACGAGTTCGTGGCCGCCCTGCGCTGTTTCGTCGTTCTGTATTGAAGCAGCTGAAGAAAACAAAAACGGCGCCTGCCCAGCTGTTCAGATCCAGTATTTCGGCCAGGTTTGCCATGCAGGCCGATGCCGCCGTGGACACTGGCGAAGAGCCACGGACCGGTGCCGTCGCCACGCGCAGCAAAGCTTGGCAGAAGTTCACGATGGTTCGATTTGGATCCTTGGTAGCTGGCCAAACTAGTTGTGCAGCAGGCTGGGCAAACAACAAAAGCCATCTCCTGCAACGTTGTGCAGCCAAAGCTTCTGGCACATGCACTGGTTGTGCTTCGAGGCACAAAAGTGAACCTCACAAACTTAAAGGATACACGGCGGATGCCCAAACACCCGGCTTGCCTATCGGGCGAAAGTTAGGGTGCCATTGTGCAAAACATCATCAACTCAGCGTTGAGCACAAGCTCTTCTGAGAGTCGCTTGGAGAGGCCCGCAATCCGTCCAGCGCCTCAGCTGCATCTTGACATTGACATCAGTTCACATCAGTGCCACCCAACTAACGAGCGAGTAGGAACTACCTCATGACACTTTGTTGACGCTGACGCAAGGCATGCTAAGGGAACAGCCAGCGCGGACAGAGTCTGAAGCACCTACAAGTACAACCAAAAATGCTGGGCACTCTTCTTCAAGCAAAGCAGCGGAGACGACTTGTTAGTTGCAGGCAGCATCTGACGGACACTGCCTCAGCCATCGCATCTGGACTTCTTGCAGCGCTGCACCGATGGACCTTGAACCACAACGATTCATGATCCCTCATGACTATTCATGCAACATGGACGAGTTGGAATGGACTCGGCGGAGGGGCCGGGGAAGGCCGTTGCTAAGGACACATAAACGCTGATCTTCGAGCTTGCTTTTCAGGGCGGATGCACGAAATCAAGCAGGGGTGCAAATACCCTCACTGCGTGTTGCATCGTCAGGCACTGTGTACTTCTAGACAGGTAGACTCGGGGGACGGTATTCGATTGGCCGCATGCCTTTTCATCTTCACTTATTTCGGTGTGTATTTATATACAATAGTATACAGAGAAAGATATACCACAGTACACTGCAAAATGGACAACCAACATCGGAGGGAGGATTGCGCGAGCGTAATCGAGACGGATGTTCGTTCCTGATCGGCTTAGTGGGAAAAGTTCAAGTGTGATCGACAGACGCCTTCACTGATCTGATCTGATTTTTCAGTCGCTGGATCCTCGTGAACCTGCGAACAGCGGAAGCACAGAACAAGCGATAATATGGCTCTTATCTTATCAGACCTGCGAAACCGACCTTTCCGTCCTGTATGACATTGATTTCCGCGACTACCACTACATGGCCACCCTGATGTCGTGATCTGAAGTGCCCGAGGTGGGCCAAAGTGGCCAGCCCATCTTCTGAAAGCTTGTCAGCTTTTCAAACCCTGAGGGCGGTGTCCCGCGCTATTCGGCTCACCGGTAGTAACTGTTAGTAACTTTAAGCACTCATGGCGCGCTCAATATCTGAAGTGTCTTGCAACAGGCAACATCTAAACGAACGAACAAACTGTGTTTACAACAGGCGACCTGCCAAGTAGACCTCCGCAGGAACGTTAGCAGCAACTCCGCCGGGACAAGGAACTGCTTTCCTGCGATGCCAGCGCCATGTGTCCACGTGATCCAGGAGTTGCTGCAGGCATATGCATCCCATCCTTGCTGCCGCAACGCCTTCGCGAGAGTGCCCAGGTCTTGCACCTGCTTCCTGAGTGCTGTCCACTTCGGGCATGGGAATTACACGCTGGCACATCTGGCAAGCAGATGCAACGTGCCCGGCTTTTTCATTGTGGGACCAAGGCTCTGAAGGCTCTTCCATTCAGCCTCTGTCCAGCTGCGTCTCGCCAACAGGCTTCGGACCTGGATCAACCCTTGTGAAGCGTCGAGACACAAATTTAAAAGCTTGAAGTTAGCCTCGTTGAGTAAGCCATCGAAAGCTGTCTTTCCCAAGCGTGACAACACTGTGGGGCTCTCGCCTGTTTTGGCTCGGTTTACCAAAATGCGCGGTCGCAGCTTGCATCGTGACAGACATGGTTTTGGCTCGTTGTATCGTGACAAATCGTGCTCTCTTGTCAGCATCCTCCTCTGTCCCGTACGCTTTTTTGGCGTCTTTATCGACCTAAAAACTTTCCCTCAAGCGTGGCTCGTGGACAGCGCATGCTTGCATTCGTTAACGGGGGTCTGCATTTCGCGGCTTTTTCAAACCGTGCTCCGGCCTCAGTGCCGCGCGTGCACACATTTTGGGAAGTGCAGAACTGTGGCTTTTGCTCCTGTGCAGTCCCACGCGCCTCGTAGTTAAGCAACGCTTGCGATGTGCCATGTCATAGGTCTACATCGGCATGATGCATGCCAGGCAGCGAAGCACTGGATGCGCAAGGCAGCCTGTGCTCGGTGGCTTTCCTCGGCTGCCTCCTCGCTCAGCCCAACTCAACCAACCGTAAGCAATGCACTGCCGTCGCTCACCCAATCTCCTCTGCGTTCTTCTGGCGCTGCTTCTCTCGCTCCTCAATGACTGCTAATCATGCAGCATGTCGTTGGAAGGTGTGGCCACCTCCTTGTCAGCCTACAGGCGCTCGGCCTGGGCTTACAGTCTTGCAACTTGTAGCTACCAAGCACAGCAGCATAGGTTTCGTATGACTCGCTGGCTGTTCCTTGCATTCTACTCATACTCATTCTTTCTGTGGGAGGGGGGGGTCAGCCTTGGCAGCAGGATTAAAGATCGGAAGAACTGCAGTTGTGGCCAAGAACATGCCTGCCTTGGTGGTAAGGGCATCACCATGGCATACAGGCCTACGTTATGCAGGTCCGTGGGCGTTTGATGCTACAGAATCATCACAAGGTCTGCTCCTGCCGCTTTTTCTCCAAGTCATGGAGCAAGGCAGCTTTTGACGACATGGCGCCAGATTGGACATTGCCGAAAAGCACTGGGTCTTGGCTTACGGGTCGAGGTGGGTGGGTTGACGCACTAAGCAGCTGCTGCGTAGGTGATGTATTCGGAACTGCGTGCCGAAACTAAGGTGCCCCTGGGCTTTCAAAGGAGCGGCGCCGAGGTATGGCAACTACCTCTCCTTCTGGCAGGGCAGGGCAGAGATCCTGCTGCACAAGTGTTGCAATTTGGCACCCGGCCCCAGCACTCTCAAGTTCCCTCTCTGCTGCAAGAGTCCTTAGCTCACATGCCCCACCATCTAACAGGAGCACCAAATCTTGTCGCACGTGCTCTACATGTTTTTCTCGCATATCGCAAAAAAGAGTATGGCACGATTAATCTCCTCGAACAAACCCCGTCTTCAGAGACCATTACTTTGCGTAGGCTTCCTGAGGGTCCCGCCTGAGGCGCATCTCTGCCTCTGAGATAAGAGCTGCTTCCACGCCAGCAGCTCGTGCCTTCGCACCAAAATTAGACTCGGCAACATGGTGCCCAGCAGTACATCCCAGCATGCAAGTCCGACGAGCACCTCCATGATGGCCACGCGCAGTGCTACCTCGCTGTGAGCCTGCGACGACGTGCGCTTGACCCTAATTTTGACTACGCAGATCGGGTTGGTGACCGTTAAAGCATGAACAGGTATCTAAGCCAACTCGAGCAGCATCCGTTTTGCTTGTAAAGCTTCGCTGCTTCGCTGCGGCATCCACGGACACAGCAAGCCGTAAATCGCGAATCATTGGGACCGGCATTGACTCATGTCAATAACGACAGAGGAAAAGGAATTACAGCTGCTTCTTGCACTTGGGGAAATGGGGGATTGGCATTGCCATCAATGTCGGTGGTGCAACCTCAATGCTTTGTTGCTGCTGTTGCTGTTGCTGCTGCTGTTGGTGTTGCTGTTGTTGCTGTTGTTGCTGTTGTTGCTGCTGTTGCTGTTGTTGCTGTTGTTGCTGCTGTTGCTGTTGTTGCTGTTGTTGCCGTCTTGCTGTTGTTGCCGTTGCTACCGTTGGTGCTGGTGTTGCCGGTGTTACTGGTGTTGATGGCGTTGCTGGTGTTGCTGCTGTTACTGGTGTGCTGCTGCCAGTACTTCTGGGAAGGACTTGAAACATGGGAAACACACGACGGAGGCCGTAATTCGTGGAAAATGCTTGCCGTGGCGACACGTGTTTTTTGCATTCTCCCCTGGGGAAACACATGACGCAGAAATCTTAATTTGTAAAGCCCCAACCCGACTTAAACACCCTAACAAAATCTTCTGTGGCCAAGCCAGACCTCGAACCTTTGCTGAAGCTCCAAACTCTCCACCTAAACCGGAAACCCTATGCCCACACCTTATGATAAACTGCAAAGCCCCCAATCCTAATACTAGGTCCCCCCCAAATGGAACTCTTAGCCCTCGTGTCATCCTTAAGAGGGGCGCCACAGGCCGAAACCGTAACTCCAAACCTCAACCCCGAAGACTATAAGCCCTCGAAACCCCAAAACCCTCATGCTCTAACACCTCCCGAGTATCAGCACTCTTTGGTGCCTCGAAGCAACCCACAGCCTCACACCTCAATTACTGTAGCAGCCTTGAAGCCCTGAAACCTCAAGCCCGGAAACCTCAAAAACCCTGAGTTTCGCCCACACTTTGACCCCCGACCCCCCCCCTTCGTGGGCTTCGGGATCTCTGGATTTTTGCCTTGACTTTAGCATTTTTAAATTAGGGAGGGGAGGGGGAGTACTGAGTCATGGGCAGCCTTCCTCATTTTTCGGCAGTTACTTGGCATTGGTCAACATTTTGCGTGCATCCGTTCAAAGCACCTCGGCCAAACCGTACATGGAGAAGAACTTGTCGTATGCGTACTCGGCCTCAGCAGCAATGCGAGAGAGTGTGATCAAGTACCCAGTCCTCTGCTCTGGCAGTATAGCTGAGACCAGGAAGCAGACTGCATCAAGGTCATCCCGATTAACACCCGCCTGGTTTGTAGGAATTCTTAGATTTGACGCCCGTGTGCCACATCTGGCATTGTGTGGATTCATGTTCGTGGTCGCCCGCCTCAGCACCCGAGACAGCAGAAACCCAAACACCATGCCGAAAGGCAGTGCCGAATGTGTCCTTCCGCAGGTCTTGCAGATTCTTGCCATCAGCCAACAGCTACGGCACTCAACAGGCTGCCCTCTCAAGCGCGACTGTCCATGGCCTCGCAGACATCCTCGGGCAGCCCGACGAGGGAAAGCTTATCTACCTGCCAGAACGCAGCATGAGCAGCTTTTGCTTTGCATGCGACCGGGTTTTTCCCGCCTCGACAATGCAATCGCCAGCCTTCAGGAGAGGCTGCCCCGGCTTGGCTTCCACTTCCTGCAGCGATCTGGATCTACGGCGGAGCCTCGAATTGGCTCCCGCATGAGCTTCAGATCACCTAAACTCACATTCTCCTCGACAACCATTCCCCACTTCGTTGTCTGCAAAGTCATGCCGCAACCTCAGATGGTGGATAGGAACAAGTATCAGGTAATGTTGCTCCACTGCGTCAGGCGTCGACCAACTACGAAGTATCAGCGAACGAGCTCTCTGCAAGGCAGCTAGAACTGCCTTCACAACTTTTGGGGCGCTGCCAACTTTGTCCAGCACACGCAGCTGCATCCGCCTGCAGTGGGCGTCACATGGCGTCACGCAGATGCGTTCTCGGAAGGCCCTGCTTTGAGGCTCTGTGATCGATCAATAGCCGATGACATTGACCATGGGGAATGCCAAGTCTTCGGCTTAATGCCAGGGACCTTGGGAATCGGCCTTCCTGTCATCCAGGACGCTCACGCTTTGCTTTGCTATTGGGTTGGGATACTTATGCAACTCAATGGGCCTGTGGGGAGGTCCTCCGCCTTGGCTGCTTGTGGCGCTTCGCGCTTGACCGCTGCCGGGACATCTGGTTCCGGCTCCGGTGGTTCCGGTTCTGTTGGTTCTGGCTCCATTGGTGCAGGAGCTTTCCTGCACTTTTGGCACGGACAAGTCACGAAAACGGATCTAACGAAACAAAAACACCAAGTCCTGGCTGCTTCTTCTTGAAGAAGCCGGGTGAGGGCATCCTCTGCGGCCTCCATTTTTGCCCAGCACAAGCAGCAGTCGAGTGCACAGCCTGGCGCTGCCTGAAAGTCTTCTTCGGAAGCAGCATCCTCGGCACCTTGGACATATGGTTGTGCAAGAATGGACCAGAATGACTATTTCCCTCATTGTTGCGGCCAAATCACGAGCTTGCTCAATGGCGCTTTTCAAGGCCTAGGGGGAATGCGCATGGAATTCAACCGGTCATCGAATGGACTGAGGGTCGGACGCTGATGTTTCGGCCGCCCGTTGCCTGGGACCAGATGGTCGCTGTGAATGAATGAAAGTTCCGCCCCATCCTGAGTGCCACCTCTGCCCAGGTTGATGAGGATGCTGCTCAGATAATAAACAGGCGGTTACCGGAGCATGCTCGCTGCGGCTTAGATGGTCCACAGTGGTGGAGGCTGACAGCGTGGGCAAGAGGGGCACCATTCAGGTCATCGTAGAGCTCTTTCATGCACTGAGTGTTCCATGGACCGATTGGCCCTCGTTTCGCTGTTGCTTGCATTGGAGCTCCTTGCTTGGTGGTCTTGGCGTCTGTTGCCGTGGCAGCAGGGTGTATGTTGTTGGCCATGGCAACCCCACTTGAACTTGAGAGATACTCTGTTCTTTTTTGTTGGTATGCTCTTGCGGCCGGTGCTGCTTGAGAGCCTTGTACGTCGACGTGCTGGCGTGACGATGCTGACGCACCCAGGTTGTGCTCGCACGTCATCTCCGTTCAGGGCCAGTTCAGGGCATTGCAAGCTCCCAGCCAGGTTCTCACAAGCCTAGAGGGCCTAGACCCTCGCACAGCAAACCTGGAAGCAACCAAGGTGCCTCCCTGAGGCGGGCTGAGGCCTCGGACCATACGGCAGCGCTGTCGGGGGATGGGGCACGGCTGCAGCAGAATTCTTCACCAAAGCCCGTGCTTTCTCCTTGCGCTCTTTGCTCAGGCGCTCCTCGAGGGCAGCCTTCAGGATTCACAGAAAAAACGGGGCGACGCACAGCAGTTGCCATGCTGCTTTCATGCAGGCGATGCGGACAGAACGTGGAAAGGACAGAGGTGTCGGCCTTGAGGGTCAAATTGAAGTTTTCCTCTGCCTCCCGCAAAGCCGAAGATGGAAGCGGGAAAAAGCTTTGTTCTATTCACTACATGCCGGCACCCACCAAAAGTGGCTCCGCCCCACACCTGCGCGATGTCAGTCTCGCTGACACCAGACTGCCGTGCTAAGAAAATGGAAGCCTCTCAGGCACCCAAGAGCTCACATGATTCATGATGTTTGCATTCCAAAACGTCCAGGAACTGCACTGACATAGCTGGAACGCAACTACATGTGCAGAGCAGCCCCGACTTAGTGATACTTTGATGGCACCCTAAAGCCGCAAGCCTAAACCAAACCCTCTGTCATTGACTGAAAGAATCAGAAGGCTGGCGATGTGCTCAAACTAGAGTTTAAAAAAGCAAGGTGTACGACGTACGAAGTGCCCAACTTTGCCTGTAGAACTGACTCGTCATCCCCACTCGCGGCCACCTGAGGGACTCCCTCCCCAATTGCTTTCCGGGCAAAATGATGCGCTCCAGATATCCAGAGATGTAAAGGTTAGACCTTCAAGTAGAGACCGCGTGACTGCCACAGATCACATCAGACAACAAAAGCTCAGGTGCAGTCATTCAGCTCTCGAAGCGAAACGATGCGCCGCAGCAAGTCCTCACAGCCCAAAAGGCGCACCGGATCAAAGATGGAAAGACATGTGGTCGAACCGAAAGCATCGAAAGGCGGAAAGCTGCGATCGTGCTGAACACGTCCTCGGCTTCTTCCACAGTGCTGTTCTGGATGCCAGCATCAATGGCCTGCCGCGGTTGGCAAAGACATTGGCCATTGCATCTGACAAACATCCAGCATGCGGATGCTTCAATACAGGCGAAACAGGCCTTGCTGAGCGCTGCCTCAAGCAGGCCTTCGTCTACTTTGCTGATGGCTTCAGACAGCGCCCGGCCCTGCAAGCACATCGCAAAATCCAAATTCAGCTGCTTGCCGGTGCGCCCAGGAGAATGCAGTCTGTGCAAAACTGAGGCATTCGCAGCTTCCAAGTTCTTCCTCTTCGTTGCAGCCGCATCCGTGCCACCTCCCTTTGCCGCCACCTTGCTGAATCTGAGTCATCGAACCTTTTTCTTCCGCTGCGCAGTTGGATCTGCGCAAGAGATACTATCAGGTTCCGGCTGACACCCGCGGAAGCTTGGCCTCAACCAGGTGTTTCATATCCAGTTCTGACTGTCTCGAGCATGGCCAGTCCAGGGCTCCGTGCTGCTGCTGGGCGATTCTTGGCGAACTCCTCCCGCAACAGCCCCACCTGCAGCATCTGTCAACCACAGCGGCACGCCGGCATGGTTCATCCACAAGCCTGCTTCTCCAGCTCTGCAGGCAAAGCGCCTAGACCAACAACGCCTGGCAAGAGCTTCAAGCACATCTCGGCACAGCCACGTCGCAAGCAATAGTCTTGCAGCGAGTCTTGCTTTGAAGTCCGATGCGTTCATTACTTACTCGGAAAGCAGGAAGGGCTCACGGCCGCTCTTCTGGAACGACTTGACCTGAACATCCACAGCGTCTTGGGAAGTCGGGTGCCGCTGCTTCTGCATTGCAGTTTGCAGCTCGCTGGCACCAGCCGGCCTCTGCCACATTGGCCGGGTGGAAGCCAATCCAATCCCTAGCACATGGGTGCACTTGTTCGATCCAGAGAAATCCGCAGCATCAACACGCTGCCTGACTAGTGCGCACACGGCAAACAAAAAGACACGGTGCACGACACGAGATCCGAACGAAATTGTTGTCCGTCTCTCTTTCTCTCCTTCTCTCTGTTTGGTTCTTGCTTTTCCTTCTTCTGCACTGCATGGGGCTCTCTCTTTCTCTCTTTCTTTCTTTCGTTCTTTCTTTCCATTTTTTCTTTCAGGCCTGTGCTCCGGTTTGCCGGGGCTGGATATCTTCCACCCCCAATGCCCCAAGATCCCCCAAGCTTCCACTTCCAAGCCCATCATGCGAGCATGATGTTTTCAAATGGGGGGGCGGGGGCGGCCTGCGCCTGCGCCCCCCCTTTGTTGAGCCATGCAAGCTTGCTTCCGACACCGCATGAATCCAATCCAATCCGATCATGAGAGCATTTTGTTCAAACACAACCGCATGATGGGTGTGCATGACTGGTGTTGGCAGGGATGGATTCTCGCATGATGGGTTTAGAAAGGATTCATATACTGTTCGAAGCAAATTTTGCACGGCTTAAACAAGGGTGGGGGGGGGTGAGGGGGGGGGGGGGAGGATCCCCCATTTACAAGCAGAATCGCATGATGGGGTTGGTAGGGATTCGTATGATCTTGCCAGCAAATGCGCAAACCCGCCCCCCCCCCCCCCCCCCCGCCCCCCGCGCCCCCCCCGCCCCCCGTTGGCACAGAATGCTCGCATGACGGGTTTGGAAGGGCTTCACATGGTGTTGGACACATGCTTGCACGGCCTAATGCTCACACGTTGGGTTTGGAAGGGATTCCTATGACGCAACTTGCACGGCTTAAAACGCGAGTGAGAGGGGGGGGGGGGTTGGGGTTTGGTAGGGATTGCACGGCTCAGAAAAGCGGGGGTTGCGGAGTTGGGGGTTTGGGGGGGAGGGGGGGGGCCCCCTCCCCCATTTGCAACCACAATGTTCGCACGATGGGTTTGGAAGGGGTTCATATTATGCTTTGAAGCGGTCTGGAAGGCAGTCATATGCTTTGAAGCAAACTTGGCACAGCTTAAGGAAAGACGGCTTGCTGTACCCTGTTAAAGCCAAGCCAAGCCAAGCCTGTCTTGTGCAATCAAAGCCTGCCAGCAGGCAACTGGGCCCACTAGGGAGGCTTGCCAACGAATTCCGTCAACACCGAAAGCTTTGCCTAGCTGGAACTTCGAACCCCTCGTAGCACACTCGCGTCAGCCTCCCTAACCCGCCCCAAACCCCAAAATTGTTTTGCACGCCACCACACAAATGGGGGGAGGATTGTGGGGGGAGCAGTAATTCTGGTGCACTCAAGCAGAACAAGCCTCAAGAGGGCACTCTCTGTACTCAGCCAGGTCGGCAAATGTGCCTAGAACACGCGGCATCCGAGCATCTCCAACCCAAAAGGATAATGGCACTTCTACGCCACAGGTGCACTGCCACTTGCTGAAGCCAAGGCCAAGATGAGACAAAGCTTCCGTGATCGCGTGAAGGCCTGGCGCGTATTATCTTATAGTCCACCATGCACTGGTCATGCCAATGCCACAAGTGTGACAGCGCGACAACATTCAGCCGTCGCCAGTCCGACACGAACCCGACATCCCCACCTCAGAAGATCAACAACAACAGCATGAGGCACAACCGGCGTGGATGAAGGCAAATTTGGACAGCTCGTGCCAGAAATGTTGTCAACTCGGCTCAGAAATGAACAGCAAAGCCACAGCTGTTAGCCAAATGAGCTCAGAAAACAAACGTGCGGCAAACTCTAGTCCCTGACCTCGCGACTGACCGCAGCAGCTAGCATACTTGTGCACCATTTCTGAATCTGAATTCTGCCTTATTCGAGACCGGCTTGTCTGAAATATGACGTGAACTTCCTTCTCATGTACAGGCTCAGTCACCCTAGCTGAACTGAACAATGCAAGTAGTGAACTGCTTGGTCACTGGCGCGGGTTCGCGCGGACTAGGCTGAGAATGATTATGTCCTGCAGGGGTGCTTCCAAGAACTTCTGCAGTTCTTGATGTAGACCCTGTTGCACTGCACCATGTTCCACCTTCTGGCAGCCCTGGAAGGCATCGACTGAAGAGACTTGCACCTGGGCGAGGTCAACCATGCCAACAGATACCACTTACGCACGTGCCACAAGGCAAGTTAGGGCAAGCGTGCGGGCATTGTGTTTTGCGGCTGGCCGTTGCAAGCTGCTGGTCCTGACCTTGTGAGCCGAAACAGGTCCGAGAGCATCCCAAAGGCGGTGACCTTGGCTTGCAAGCGTGTCGTGCTAGAAGACTTGGCAACGTCTGGCGTATTGCAACACGTGGGCCCCTTTGTGGACCCAATCGTGCTCACTGATTGAGCACCGAGTGACGGCAGCACCGGCACCGGGGCCTTGCAGCACCAGGGGCCGTGGAGAGAAGCGTGCCGATGAAATGGCCACCATGTTGTCCGCGTGGCGGAGACCTGGTGCCAAACAGGGACCAAGCACGGGCTCAACAAGTAGGGACAAGCATTCAGGCTGCAAGCCTAACGTGCTGGAACAGCCCGGAATATGCGAAACAATCGAGTGCCGCCTGCCAAAGGATGGTCCCGAAGCACTGGCTTCAAGGAGATGTTGGCTGTCCCGCTGGAGACGTTGACGGTGCCAACATAGCGCAGAACTTTGTTTTGGAGACGTGCCTGCACACCAGCAAACAGCAACATGCAGCAACATGCAGCAACATGACGCAGCATGATGCAGCATGAATCGTCACCGCCGGCCCGAAGTTCACAACACGTGCTGCGCACACAAAGTCAACACCTGCGCAATCTTGTGCGCCATGTCTTCATCGAACTCACGGAGATGATGCACAAAGTCCGCGGTTATGTTGCCTATGCTGCGACATTGATCCGGCAGTGTATGTTGTAGCACGGAGACGAAGTGTTGCAGATGTGGCACGTCTGTCCGCACTGGATGGCTTCCAGCGCTGCAGTGCTTCGGGCACCAAGGAGTCGGGTGCAACATCCTTCAGCTCCAACTCCAGTCCCAGCTCCCTGGCCAGCACGACCACCTCACCGACAGATACCAACATGTTCTCCCAACACCTGCACCTGCCATATATTACTCATCTATTGCTCCAGCTCTGCTTCTGCACGAATCGTCACTAGTTGCGGTGGGGCCGCTTTACGCTGCACATCCCCGCCACTCAAGTCGTCGCGCGGGTCTGGCTCAGTAAAGCCCAGGCGTGCAGCCTCCAAAACCGCTTCCGAAAAGCTGGCACCAAGCCTGAGATGCAACTTGGCTAACAGGCCCAGCTTTTGCATGGAGCGTCTCTGTCATGCATACACGACACTCTATGTAGTTGAAGATGAAGGACAAGGTCCCGCTCAACACACCTGCTGAAAGTCGCGATTTCTCACGGCAAGCAGTACGACATGGTGCTGCTGAGTCTGCATGCGTTGTTCAAGCACGCTGGTTGGAGCATCTGGGTCTCTGGAACTGTATGACTGTATGACAAATGTGTAGAATTGCGTAATAATTACGTATATTATGAAATTCTCGGATTTATATACACATTGCCTCCGGCAACAGGTGCGCAACTACTCCAGCACTCCGGATCCGCTCGAAACAGTTCTGGACTGTGTCGATCGATATCGTTTTCCATATATAATACTTATTATGTGTGTGTGTGTGTGCATATATATATATATACACACATATATATATATATATATACATGCGTACATACATACGTACATGTACACATACAATATGCACAAATAGTTCGGAACGATTCCGTGCAACCAGATCGCCCAAGTTCGTGATTCTCGTGGGGATGAATGCCCTCAACTATAGACCCCGCAAATCAAAGAGGCCAATGCCGCCACTAACGCAAAGCTTCCAACTTCGCAGCAAGAACGGGCCGTCTGCCTTCAACTACCTCGGCTCGATGCTTCATGTCGTTGGCGTCGCCGCAGGGTTTATTGTGCGACTTCCAGTTGACGTGTTCCCAATGCTGCAGTGAGCACATGGATGTCGTCACCACTCTGCATCATGTCGTGCAGAGATGCCATCACCGGCAGCCCAGCCCCAACTGTGGCCTGCGGAAGCCGTGTCTCTCACAAGACCTCCCCGGGCAGATCTGCAACAGCAAATCTATCTGGCCTCGTACTGGAAATGGCTCTGCCCCTGCTGTTCAGCCCTTCTGATCGCTTTGTATCGCTTCAGGTTGCCACTTCCTGCTCGCTTGTTGGCGGTCACCACATTGATGCCTGTGCCAGGGCAGTTTGCAGCCGCATGCTTTCATAAAGCAGCGCACAATGACTCGACAGCCCTCCTGCAGCAAGCCAGCTCTCATACAGGTCGGCTGGCTCTTCTGCAGGGGTGCAGTCCATGATCACCCGCAATCCTCAAAGGCTCAAGCTGCAAGCTACGAACCGAACTTAACATGCGGACATCTCCATGCTCTAAGGCCACTAAGGCGGAATCCAGGCAAATTACTCATGAAGACGGTGAACTTTGTGAAGTTGGTTGGCTCGTCAGGCAGGTTCATGAAATCATTTGGTTCCTACCAGCTTTCCGTGAAAGGAGGGGCTGAGGCTGCACACACAAAAGGAGATGGCTCCTGCAAGTCATACTCCCATGTCTGCAGCCACATGCGCTGAGAGCGCAGAATGGCCACTGTCCTCAAGCCTCTTGCAAAGCACGAAAACTCCGGTGAATCCCGGTATGTTCCAGTGCCAAACACACTGCGGCATGGCCTGCAGACTCACGAGACAGGACCAGGAGTTGGCTCAACAACTCCTGCGAATTCAGCACTCGTGCTTTCCAGATGAATGTGCAGATGGTGGGAGGGGGCAAGAAATGTAAGAACGCACCAGAAATTGCAAGAGCGTACCAGTCTCCGGAGAGGTGCATGGCTCAGAGACAATCACAGAGGCGCGAGTGTGCTGAGCAGCTTCAAATGTCCTCCTCGCAAAATTTCGAGACTAGGACTAGGATGATCTGGAATCTAGATTCCTGGACTTTGCCTGGCACCAGTTCGTTTTGCGGGTTGCGCCCCCTGGCTGCAGTTGATGTAGCTACTTCCCCTGCTGCCTTTCTTTGTGACAGGTTGCGGCCGAACGCTGCAACGGCAAAGGCTATCCCACATCCATGTCTACCGTAGCTGATGTGAACCTCCCGAAATGCACCCATTTTTTGGGTGCAGCTCCTGTCCAACAACACCGGCGCCGATGATGCCGATTGATACAGAAGTCGTGCCCGAGCAGCTTTCAGCCCTTCGTGCACAAGAAACAGGGAAGGGTAATATGCTGCCGCCTGTTCAAAAGTGCTCATGTGCCCGGCATGTGCCCTGCGTTGATGTATGTTGATATGTTCATCCCGTGCCTCTCTTGGGCAGAAGCAGTCGTGATAGCCAGTATCAACGCAACATGCAGGCATGGCATTGGTCTCATCTCAGCTCAAGAACTGCTATCTAGTCAGGCTGCTGTTGCATTCTGTTCTTATCCTGTGAGTCTACATCCTTTTCAAAATCAAAGGAGAGCACACAGCCACTGTGCATGTCCCTGTCTGCCTGTATGCCTACCTGTCTGCTCGTCCGTCGCTTCCATATGGAGGAGTAGTCATCGCGTGATCTATGCGGACACATGTTTTCGACTACAATGACTACAGGCCGCGACAGTGATATCCGGCCACAAGCGCAGAGCTATTCGATGCCATTGAGCAATTTGGCTGCAGGGATGTTGCTGCCAGAGACGAGCACGCGAGCAGGCGGCATGCGAACACGAACCAAACCACAGATCTCGCAGAGGCTGCAGCAGCATCCCTGGCATCTCGTGGCAGCGCCTTGGTCCCAGCCAGCCATGTGGTAATGCAACCAACGGGGCCATCAGTCAAAGTTTCGAAAGCCCAAGTTGCACACGTTTCGGATCTCGGAAACCTGACCAAAACACAACTTTCACATCATCCGACCCAGCAGGAACCGTGCATTGTAAACGTGAGCTGGTAAGATGCCGCGCTCAGCCTGCATCCTACAACCCTTTGGCAGATTCTGGCAGGGACCGATGATGCATAGCCAATATCTAGGTTCAATAGAAATCAATGCACAGGACCAGTCACAGGGCTTGCAATGAGACAAGGGTTTGTATCAAAATCATTTTGCTGCAACACCTCGGGCGACAAGCCTACGCCCGATGGCGCGCCACGAATGCGTGTAAATAGTGCCCGAGTAGCATGATGGCCGAAATCCTAGTTAAGGCTTGATTGTTGCAATGCTGTGCCTTCAGGGTACGGCCTTCGGAATGACCTCTGCGAACGTGGGACTGCTGTACAAAGGTTGGCGTGACTTGTGATGTACCGCACTTTGCTGTTCAAGTACATCCAACAAGTCCACACCCACCTTCAACCGTGCTTCTGTGCAGGTGGCCAAGTGCAAGGATGTGATGCGACGATGCCCTCGATCTTTGCTTTTCCAGGAGTCAGCAACATAGGTCAAAATCTCCCCACAGCATGGCCGCGTTTGGCTGCGCCCGCAGACAGATTACAGCGATCTTGGCCATGATCTACTAGCATATCTTCGGGACTTCCTTTCCAAGATGTTAACACTCGATTTGTTCAGACTCCAGAGCTTGGGGTTCATGGACCTCACAGTTTCGAAGCACAAGCACGTGTACCGGCCTCAACTCTGGTCTCCGACAGACACGAAAAAAAGGCTCCGACTTTTAATATGACATACCAGCCATGCTCGCAAGCATCTAGGCAGTGTCTGTGCAGGTACGGACTTATCTGTTCATAGCTCGACCCTTGTTCCGCGACCTTGCCCGCAGCAGCCCGGTACACACACGTACACACACACACACACACACAATTCTCAAAGCATTCGTCGCTCTGGTACCCGAATCCCAGCCTACCACGACATGCGATGTACGTCGCACACTTCATGGTTTTGCATCTTTCCCCAAAGACACAGCCTTCAGAAGCCATCTACAACCGATTCCCTGACTTGGATGATCGACGTACATGCTACAATCGCTGGCTGAGCTGCGGATGAGACCCAATCCCCACCCCAGTATGTGGCAAAGGATGTGAAACAGCAGGCGGGGCGGGGAAGTGCAACAGACGGGCTGTGACCCACCCCATTCAGCCTGCGCGGCATATGGAGAGATGACACCGATCTCATCACCTTTCAGTCCTCAGGATTTCTGTGGCTCTCTTCTTGCAAGGCCAACACGTCACGGTGCACGTTGAGGCTGAGCTTGTGGCGGCCGTAAAGCCTCATCATTTGCCTCGCCAAGCTGCAAAAAGCTGCGTGCGAAAGTGTGCCTTTCCAGAACTCTCGAATGGAATTTCTCGCTAGCGGGTAGCGCTAAAGCCGCGCACTCGACGAGCCAGGCTGCACCTGACCGAATGTGGACATCCCAGAAGAAAGCCAGCAAAAAACCCTTGCTATTTTGAAGCAACTGCGGCACCTGAACATTTAAGTCGAGTGACAAGATGCTTCGTCAGCGTTCCTCTTCGATGCACCCCTGGACTGCTCGCGGGCCTGACAGTGACACTGCTGAAGCTGGTGTGTGTGTGTGTGTGTGTAACTCTGAGTCCTCCCAGCCGGAATCGACACAAGAATCGAGGCCAGTCAACAGCAAGGGCGGCCCTGCTTCCGTTTTGCCCTGGCATGCCGATCCAAGCCATTTGGCTCTGGTGAGCGACGATTTGGCAATGCAACCTGCCAAAGCTTCTTTCTGTGTTGGCTCGCCTTTGGGGCCACACAAACTAGCATTCTGCAACGTCTGGTGTATTTTGGGCCTTGCTGAATTAAGCGGCCTGTAAGAAGGTTGGGGGCGCTGTGCTTCCCACCGTGTGCAGTGTCACTCTCACAGAGAGAGGAGGCTCTCCGAAACAGGGGTCTCAACCAGATGTCCTGCGAGATCACTAGCTTCACTGGCTGGCACGGAAAAAAACACGGACACACACACACACACACACACACACACACACACACACACATATATCCAGAGAGGCTCGGGAAGGAGCTGTCACGAGACCTGATCAGGTCAAGGTGTCCTGTGGCCCTTTTCCCATCGGCCGACCTTTTCAAAAGTGCCCCACCACAGACATGGCGCGCCCAACACAAAAAGGCTTGACCCGGGCAAAGGGCGTCAAGAGGAAAGGATGGGGAGAGAAAAGGAAAGGGGGAGGCAGGGCCTCAGTCTCTCCGGATGGCCAGGTGAGAGTGCCGCGGCCTCGGCTGAGGGTGTCCCCCGCGGCTCTTTTCACTGACAAAAACAAAGCAGCATCGAGGAAGCGAGGAGCTGAGGAGAGCTGAGGAGAGCTGAGGAGAGCTGAGGAGAGCTGAGGAGAGCTGAGGAGAGCTGAGGAGAGCTGAGGCGTGTGCCGTGCTGCTTCCCATCCTTCCACTCTCCGAAGAACGAGCGCCCATCCGGCCACGAGAACTTTCCGAAGCCTTCCTGCCGATGACAGACAAGCATTTCCGCAGTGGTCTCACAGCATTTTGCTATAAATTATGCTTCAGCAACACAAACTTGACATCATTTGGGCAACGGCAGCCCTGAAGCCCATCGCCTTCACATCCTTGGCATAGGTGCCTTCGAAGATCTTGCCATCCGGCCAGGTGAACCTAGAGGGCGACCATGGGATTACTGGGCTTTGAGATCTGGGCTCTAAGAGACTTTCTGGGGTTGAGGTGCTGTCCAGTTCCAGGACTGCACTCATCGACTAGGCCTGCCAGGGCCGTCCATGTAGCTGCTCTTCCAGGATCCTTCGAACCTTCGTTGCCCATGCGCCGACGGGCGCTAACGCTCGCGACCCAGTGGTTGCACGACAGGCTGGACATTGCATTAAGCACGTGACACGCGTCCATCCCCTTGGCTGCCGAATGCTCAGGTGAAAGGCGAAAAGTTCAGCTGCTAGCTTCCAGCGCCAATCTTTGAGCACATCAACATGCCGCCAGGTCTCCCCAAGTGTACCTGATGGAAGAAATCACAAGTGACAAACACATACTTCCACCTAATCACGAACCTTCGGCAGTTGCGTCGTCGAAGTCTGCATGCAGCATGTCACGGTCTGATTGAGCATAGGTGCGTCCCGTAACCACAGATCTCGTTATTCTTGAAGTCGCCACTGTAGGAGGAGTTGTCGGCCCAAGTGAAGCAGCCCTGGTAGGAAGCAGAAATACAAATGACATGCTGAACTGATCGGCCTCCTTCCACACTTAGGCTGAAGATGCTGCGCTTCTACATGCTTCTACGCATGACATTTCCACCGACTGTAGCCAGTTGTATGGACTCGCTTCACGTTCACAAAACTTGTCCAGAATTCATCCCTTGGAGCTACAGAAGCTCAGCGGATGCGCCACTCATGGTTTATTCCGCAGGGTAATCCTAACTGGTTCGGCTTTGGCACCGGGCACCCTGAACCACCTCGAGTGTGTCGGTGCGCTTTATTGGCTATGCCAGGACGTTATGAGACATCCATGGACGGTCTCGAGTCCGGTGTGCATTCAGGGTTTGGGTGTTGCGCCTAAACGCTGTGAACTGTTGCGTCGACAATGCCAATTCTGTGATACTTCTGCAGCTTGCACTCCCTGCCTTACCAGCCTTCAAGCCGAACTCATACGTGCCTGAGCTGGAGCAAGGCCCGCTAAGCAGAACTCACGCGCCAGGTCTTGCCAGGGCCATGCCAGGGTCAGCCAAAGCTCCGATGAATCTCGCGCCATCCGGCCAGGTCTCGATCCCGTAGCCATGCTGCAGGTCGTCCTGTCAGGACGAAGCGGCGAAGCAGTCACTTGACAACGTGTGACACACCGCGCTTGTCTGATGAAGGCTCCTGCCACTCCCCGATGTAGGTAGAGCCACTCGCATGCCTGTCCATGCAGGGGCCCCAAGATTGCTGCGAACACACGTCATGCTTCCACAGAGGAACCAGCACCGAACAACCACCGAGGGGGGCGGGGGGTTCGGGGGTCACCTCTCTCATAGTCATAGTTGTCACACTACAGCCACTGACTTGAGACAAGCATCATGTACGTTCCGCGTCCATGGGCCCTGTCATCCTTCCACTCGCCTGCATAGACCTCATAGTCAAAGCATGGTGATAGTGGAGCTGAAAGTTGCAAATGCTCGATACAGATCGCATCAGAACAACAGTGATGCACACGACTGCAAAGACACGCTGAGTCGAAGAATCAATCAAGCAGGCTGCATCACCGTCGGAGTGCTCAAATCTTCCAAATCCATTGGCCATGTCATACTGCCACTGTCCATCATAGCGGGCTCCGTCTGGCCACGCCTGCGCATGTTCGATTCGACGCCGCCGGTTGCTCTTCGACACCCAACGAGCCGCGAAAAACAGTTTGGCCACGCGGCCTGTACACCCTTGCCATGTCTCACAAGGCCTGCACGAAGTAACAGGTGCTTCAGGCAACCAAATCTTGTGCAACCACATAAAATCACAGCTTCGTGCCTAACCAGTCACCTGTGTAGGTGGAGCCATTGGCAAACGTGTGCTGAGGGCGCACCTGCCAAAGGGCTCCCTCAAGGGTTGTGGCAGAACCTGGTTCGGTCGGCGTCCGACCTGTGCCTCGAGTTTGTCCCCTCCTGGCTCAATGGGCCCCTGAATTTTAGAATCCCCAAATGATTCTGCTCTGCTCCACCCTTTGTTCTTGCGACTTGCCCGAGCTTAAGAAGCGACACGAGGTCTCCTGCATTGGTCGTCGTGCAGACATGCAAGGGAGCATGGCATTGGTTTAGCAGGAGGTCCTTACCACAATTTGGAGCAGCGACTGTCGTCAGCATGCTCTGAGGATCGGCTATGTGCACCCCTGGCTTGCTGCAAGTTGCATTCTCGAACTCCTGGTCAGTGTGGATGTAGCAACCTCATTCGCACTGAACTCTTAGGCCCAAGTAGGCGGCACAACGGATCAAGCTCAAGGCTCCTCTGAAAAACCCATGACTGGGGCAGTTCGCACGGAAGGTGAACCCTTCACACTTGAGCGTGCTGCCCAGAAGCATTGGTCCAGCATCTGAGAGCGGATCTTCCGCAGATCCAGCTAAGCATATGCCGGCATGGGTCGCCACATCTATCAAGCAACGGGATCAATGTCTTGAAGGTGCGTGGCCCAGCTGCGCCTCAGCTATTCAGCTACTTATCAACCCTTTCCTGCGTTCCAAACTCCAAAGCATCTGCGCAGCAACCCCTTTGGGGTTCGCGGCTCGGACTCAGCTGCGGCAGGCGACGGCAAGGCAACTTTGCCAGCTGATGCAGTCAGAACAAATGTAGACGTCTCTTCCCTGAGTTGATGTCACAGCGCTCACAAAAGGCTCTCACGCTCCACGTATGTCACTTCCACTCCAGTTTTTCTGAAAGCCCCACAGGCGGCTTAAGCAGGAGCTGCGCGTGCCTAAACGAAACAGAAATACCAGGATATGCCTGGCCTCACTTTGGTTTCTATTTTCTCCACTCTATGTACAACCAGCAGCAAGGGGCTAAGATCCACTGCCGCTGCACTGGTGAAACGAAGTGCCCTTTCGCTCAGAAAGCTCCAGACTTCCTCGGCCGGGCTGTGTACTTTGTGTCTTTCCGTACCTTGGATTCCTTAAGCACAGGCCGTTGCTACTCTGCAAGGATAATGCAGCTATAGGCACGCCTAGGCCCTTCTTCCTCTGATGCTCCTTTTTCTTGATCACCTGGCACTTCAACTTGGCAAGACCCTTGCCCAAACAAAACGAGCAAACCGCTGGTTCGCTACACCCTCTGAGACATGCCACACAAAGTTGCCAAAGCCAACACACATGGTTTCGAAATGACGGATCTCTCGTTGAGGTCCACGAGCCGGCTAAACTGATTTACACTCGGAGACTCGGACCTGAAACAACCGCCCTTCGGTCAGCAGTGAAAATGGAAGGGCGCGTGGCAAATTCAATTTGCCAGAATGGTCTTGAAGCCAGCTGCACGAAGCACGACTCTCTCACAGATTTTGCCACCCCCCCCCCCCTGATACGAACCACCCGACAAGAATTCGTGTTCATCCCCTTTTGTCAGGTCTCTCGTCCTGGCCGTACAACATGCGCCTGGGTTGGCCTTCCTTCCTTCCTTCCCTATGCCCGGGCTCCGCCCCTCGTAGCTTTTCTCGGAAGGCGCAGCCGACGGGGCTTCGGAGCCTGTGGCGTCTTGGTCCGGACCTTGGCCTCTTGCCCACGCACTGCCTCGGCCCCGGCATGGTCCGGGACTAAGTTGCACCTGTCGGTTTTTTACATGCTTTTATTACTATTATTATCATTATTATTATTATTATTACTATTCTTCTTCTTCTTATCACTATTATTCTTATTCTTATTCTTATTCTTCTTATTATTATTACAAACCTAAAGGTCGTGGTTGCCCAGCTTGCGGGGCGAGGCCCTGAGGCCACCGAATGCCCGCAGACGAGGGTTCCGACCTGCAGGCCGGAGTTGAAAAACTAGTGCGGAGGGTCTTTTTTTCTATTCAAACACAGCAAATGTGCAGCCTTCCACTGCACGGACCATCTCCTCGGCTTTCAGTGTCCCCGCCAGGGCGTCGCTGCAAAACCCTCGAAAGCTTTTGTTGGGCAGGGCCACTCGAGGCCCCATTGCGATGCTTCGGCGAAGTTGGCTCCACCAGCACGGGAGTACATTCAGTGCCTCGGTATGCCTCGGTGGGGAAACTCGATGGTATCGGTCCCCTCCAGGGTACCAACGTGCAACTGGGAACTTGTCGGAAGAGTCGAAGTACTAGACAGGCTCTATGCGCACGCGGGGGAGGACGCAGGACCACCATCACAGGTTTACTTGAAGCAGAAAATGCACAGCAACCGCAGCCGCAGGAAACCTACTGAAACATGGCATAGCACGGCTAACAGCAAACAAACCCATCAGCAATTGATGATCAGGCACCTCTAATCTAGTCTTACAAGCACAGCAATGCAATCAAAGCGGTATCTAGGCCTTGTCTTTGTAGGTGTCCTGGTTCTTGCCTTTCTTCTTGGACTCCCTTTCCCGCTTGCTGACGGCCACCTACGCTTGAAGTTCAAAATCATCTGCGTATTCAGCTGAGTGAGCTTCCTGTGTCCCAGCAGCTGCGCGGCCCGAAGTCAAGCAGTCGGAATCACCCGAAGTGAACCATGGCCTGGTCGTCATCTTCCATGGGCTGCGGCATGCTGGCTGGCTGCTCACCAGACAGCCCAGCCTGCAGCTCCGGCTAGCAGGCTACATATCTTGAGGGGGCATGACGGGAGTGCATCACATTGCTGCGGGGAAACGTAAATCACCAGAAAATGCTTTTTTGCCTTCGAAGAATGAGGGTAGTCCTCGGACATTGGACCCATGGAAGTGATGTGATGCCAAGAGCATTGAAGCTCCTACCGCTACACCAATGTGAGTGTTGCCAGCTTAGGGTCCACGACCAAGCCTCCGCCGAAGCCACACCGCCTCGGTTCATTTAACTAAATTAGCCGCAGTAGTTACACGGTTGCATGTCGAGAAACCTCCATCTCAGGAGTCTCAAGCACAAACCCGATTTAACTCACCATCCAGAAGCCAGCCCCTTGCATGAGGGGCAACGAAAGCATGCAGACAAAAGGCAACGCTGCCGCCGTGATCATCTCCACCTTGCGACACTCAACATGGGCGCCTCACAACGGCCACACAGCTTCCACAGCTTCCAGACCTGAGCAGCCGTCTCCGGGTAAAACTGCAGCGCAGCCCGCGCGCCTTTGCGCAAACAGCCTTGGGGGCGGAGCCGAGGCAGCCAAGTGCAGGCTTCGACAGAGCAGGCACATCTGAGTTCCATCTGCCCTGGGCAAAAGGCATTTTTAAGGCATCTGGAGAATTCCACACATGGAAGGAGCCCGTACCGACCAGGCAACTGTAGAGCAGCTCAAAGAAGCGTCGGAGACGCTTGAAGGGTTCGTGCCCTTTTTTGTCCTCAGCACCACCAGAAGAACACAAGAAACATTATTGACGTACTCTGATGTAGACACAGGCACAGACAAGCCCCCCCGGTTGAAAACAGAAAGGACCATCTTCACTGACCATTGGGAGAACGGTTCCGGATTCGCCGCTTCTGCAATGCCTTCCAAAGAGTGTGATAGCACCTGCCTTGACAGCGTCGTCTACTTCATGACTTTCAAAGTTGCACTAGGCAGCCCGATCAGCTTCAGCTTCAAACGCCTTCAGATTGTAATGCAAACGGCAAGGGTCTACGTTGCACAGCCACTGCAACGCGGAGATCGACACAGCACCATCAAAAGTTCCTGGCCGGAACCTCATGCCTTGTCCTGCCCCAGCTAGCCAGGAATTAAAGAGATTGCAGTGGTATGAATGGTGTTCTGCTGAGCATCCGGTGCAGGTCGGTCCTGCGTCGGCTAGGCAGAGATCGCCATCGACCTTGAAAGCGAGTCTCTTCCTAGGCCTCTGACGACAACAAAACCGTGCAAGGACACAAGTGCAACCGGCAGCCAGCGCCTACCATCGTCTAAACGCCGCCAGCAGACCTCACGTTGATGCGCTATTCTGAGCATCGAGGGCGAGATGTCGTAGCCGATCCAGAGATGTCCAGCCTCGCCTCAGCTTCAAAGCACAAACAGAGTCGGCCATTGCTGTGGAGCTGTCGCAAGTCACGCGCACAAAGCGTGAAAAGCATGAAGAGCACAGAGGCCAACAGATAGAGCAGACAGAGAGCGAAGGAGGAGGAAGAGAAAGAGAAAGAGGAAGACAAAGAGACCGAGACAGAGAAAGGAGAGAAAGGAGAGAAAGGGGAGAAAGGAGAGAAAGGAGAGAAAGGAGAGAAAGGAGAGAAAGGAGAGAAGGGAGAAAGAAAGAGAAAGGAGAAAGGAAGAGAAAGAGAAGGAGAAAGGAGAAAGGAGGAAGAGGAAGAGCAAGAGGGAGAGGAAGAGAAGGAGAAAGAGAAAGAGGAAGAGAAGGAGAAAGAGAAAGAGAAAGAGTGACTGGGTGAGAGAGTGACAACCACATAGAAAACTAGCTCAAGGTTTCCCCGCAGAAGCAGAATGCCGCTGCGCACATATATAAGGCGCACGGAAGACGCACAACGCATCCTTCAACCGAGGAGCTTCTCGGAACAGATTGCATGCTAACAGCTGCAGCTTGCATATCGAATCAAGAGGGGCAGAAACACAAACAAACTCGAAGAAGAGCCGCTGCCGGAGTCAAACACCTTGGATCTAAGTACGCTGATATGCTTGAATGCTTGAAGAAAGCCAGGTCTCTGATGGTCTCGCCACCTAAGTGACAAGCTGCAAGGTGTCTCTTGGCAAAGTGCCTGAGGGAAGTGGACAAAGGTTCATGCAAAGCAGCTGATTCCGGAGCCACATCCGATGTCCAGAAGTAGGCAGGGTCTGTCTGGAAGCAGTAGCAGCTGCAAGGCGCGCTCGGTCATCCTGTTGCAGATTACATTCTTTTGACCCATCAGCTACTATGATTATGACTATTATTGTTATTATTATTCTTCTGGTTATTATTATTCTTATCATTATTTATGAAGCTGTTCATGTGAGCCCTTGTCCTTGTTTGGATCTCGATCATCCGACTACTGGTCGCATATCTGGCGGACCTGGCCATGTCCTACGCTGCTCTGAAAGGCTGCCTGATCCGTGGTGCTTGTCGCATTCTTGTCTGGGCCGCCAACTCCTCATCATTGTAGAAGATTTCGGGAGGAGCCTGATCTCGGGACAACCCTGAACACGCAGCACTAACACTCACACACACACACACACACACACACAAACACCAAAAAAAAACAAAAAACACAACACCAACACAACAAACAGAGAGAGAGAGAGAAGGCAAGAGAGAGCTTCAGCGGAACTCCAGCAGAATCCAGCTTTTGATGGCTGGGCTGCCTGGTGCTCGGGGCGGCTCATGTTGGAGTCCGCCGCGCTTCGCTTGACAAAGCGGCTGTGAGCCAAGGGCGGCTCGAAGAACTGAACTGCTCGCCAAAAGCCCTTTGCATGCTCAAGGCATGTTGAGGTATGTTGTAGTCACAGTGTGTCACTGTAGTCAACACGAAACAAAGCCAGAGACAGCTCAACTCACAATTCAGGGAGGGACGCTTTACTTCTGTTCTGGGTTGGGCGTGTCACAGCTGCCAAACATCGCGCCTCCACGTGTAGGAGCGCCACATGGGTGGTCAAGGTACACCCCCGCCTCTCAGCAGACTTTGTGCTCAACCCAGTTTTTGATACCCGCAAGACGTCTCAGCCGGTTGCGGGAGCTGCCGATCTGATTCCTGCACAGCCTCAGGCCAAAGAGGCCATGGGAGGCTTTCGCAATGAGGCCATGCTCGGCCCAGGGCGCTCTTCAGGTCACCGCGATAGAAGCGCCACGAAGGAAAAGACCTGCACGCCAGATACATCAGGGACCAGCGGGGAGACGCTACTCGAAGGCTTCAATCAAGACTTCAAGGCCGCCGCGCGATCTGCGGGTGCATCCGGTACTGTTCGCTGAGGAACTGCACCTAGCAGGCCACACTCTGCCAACTACGCTGTATTTGGGTTCTCCGACAATGAAGGCACCATAAATCACCATAAATCACAATGTTCCATGATCTGCCTCCATTCCCATGGATAGCAGGCGGTCGAACATGGAGATATCCAAGCCTCTCAGAGAGGTAGTTTAAGCAGAAAGCAGAACACAACAGCATTTGTGAAAGCAGCAACTCTTGCAACTTCCTTTGAAGTGCAGCTTTATCGCTGAGCTCGGAGCCGCCCTTCTGGGCCTCCTGCCAAGCGGACCCATGTGGAACATCGGGCTGACCGGGCTGACGAGTTGTCAGGGCCTGGGACAACACCGTCGCAGGGAGCTGGCATTGATCGCCGACCTGACACCATGGTGGTGTGCGGTAACTGTGCAGTACTTGTGCAGGGGGTGGATGAATCCGGGAGGATCAAACGAGGCCCGTGCTAAGACCGCCTGCACGGCGCCCTTGCCCAGAGGCAGGATGACTGCAGGCCTCAACCATTCACGTTGTGTTGCAAACTGGTACAAATTCAACGCAGTGGCAGTCTGTGGGGTCAGGGTCCGTGTCCCTTTCTCACCTCCATGCAGCTCCTTCGGCCGCAATTGCTCTAACGCCGCCAGACGACACTCCACAGGAACTCTACCCGCCCTAGGCCGCAGTGGTCCATATATGCCACAGCCGGTGCCGGCTGTAGAAACAGTATCCTACATCACATTCTCAAGCTCTGAACCAAATGTGCCAGTCACTGCAGGCCAAGATACGACTTCCGAAGCTACTTCGGAAATCCAGGACTCGTCCAGACATCTAACTACAGTCATCAGATTGGCGGAGATGCTGGGGCACCACTGCGAATTTCTAGATTTCCTACCCGGAATCCAGCACAGTGCTGCGGGATTTCTCTTGCGGGAATGCCTGCCATTGCCTGCCTAGTTTCATCTGGTTTCCCTGCGGTTCGCAGTGGCTACCTGTGCAAGTTGGCTTTGCCGCGTTCATGCGTGGCATTACGTTCTTTACGGTGAAACAGGCTTCTTTCGATCTATGTACAAGCATTTCCTCATGACGCACGCATGTCGCAGCAGCGAGAACATGGCCAAGCCAGGATAGACTTGCTGATAGAATGTGCGTCTGGCAGTAACTTCATGCTTGCAGGGTTTGGAGACAATATTCTGTGGTCTTTCTTGCAACTGCTCCACGGTGCTCTCTAAAGAGTTCGTGCGGAACCCGGAACGTTGTTTCACAGGCTCAGCGGCTCAGGCAGTGAAGGCTCGAAATCAGCTGCTCTTCACCTCCCGTTCTCGGCTCTCACGCACATGAAGATGCTGCAAAGACATGTCGCTGGCGCGTCGCTTACCTCGTTGTGGCCTTCTGACTTTCTCAACCTCTCACCTCGCAATAGGTTGCCATTTACATCGTAAAAAAAAAAAACCATCCACGCGGCTCCATGATATTTGCCACCGGCCACAGCCGAGGCCAGCACGAATCTTCCCACGCTGTCGGAGTATCCTGTCTATGCGCGAAGGTGCAGGCATCACCTCCCGGTTGGAACAGCAAGATGCAAGAACCATCAAGAACCTATAGGACCCATTCAGCAACTGGATATGTGACCACTGGCTTGTCTGTGAGTGTTCCTGATTGCAGACTACAGCATTTTTGCATGTCACTTGGACATCTGAACATGAATGCAAACGTACACTGGACGCAGGTCCCTTCACGAAAGGCTGTGCTGCCTTTGGTACACTTGCCCTCCTGCCAGAACTTGCAAGGAGTCAACCGCATACAGCTGCCTTGGCTGGCGAGCCAGACGGCGATCACGAAGTGTCGGATGCGGCGGACAGTGAAAAACAGGTCGCCAAGCGGCTAAGGTCAGATCTGCGTGAAGCAAACAAGCGGGCCATCTCGGTGTTGATTGGCTGGCCCAATTCCTGCAGCGTGCACTCTCTGACCCCCGACCCTCAACAGCAAGAAGTCCGCAATGGGATACTCACGATGCATCTTAACTTAGAACTCGGTTGCAGCCATGAATCGTGCTCTCCATGAGCAAACGTACAGCCGGGACCCTGGCGTCAAATGCAACTCAACATCGCATCTTGACAGGCATCTTAGGTCAGTATACTGTAGTGGGGCCTTGGAGCACTTCCCATCTTGCCAGAACTTGCACATGATTTTCTTCCTCGCCGTAGGGACCCGGAGAGACAAGAAACCATTTCTTGAAGAGAGGTGAAGAGAGAGGTGAAGAGAGGTGAAAAGGGGATAAGATCAAGCGCTCCTCGAAACGCCTTGCTCGTTCAAGTGCCCTTTAGCTGTAGGTGTCCAACTGTCGTTGTAGATCGGCTGGCCTATCCTTTGCACAATGCATAACTCCGGTGTCCCCCGGGAACTGCAATGCTTCTGCCACATGTCGAGCTCAGCGAAAAGTTGCTGCTGCAGCAACTGTGCAACAAAACACACCCATTAAACCGACGTCATGTCCGGCGCAGGTGAGCAGCTCATGATCACCATGGGCGAAAGTGCAGGCATCTCCCTTGGTACACTTGTTTTCCTTCAGGGTGCAGGACAGAAGTCTTACAGCGACGTCTCACGTGGTAAATACCGCAAGTGTTGCCAAACTCGCCACGTCGCACTTAACCTGCCCACGAGCCTGCCAGAACTTGCAGAATGTTCGTTTGACAGATGGGTTGGTGGTGTTGCTGCTCACTTCCTTGGCAACATCGCATGCTGAATTAACACCAATCAAGCCCGGCCAAGGAAACTCTGGCTGCTTCTGCCGAGGAACAAAAGGGTCGGGATTCTCCCATTTCTCCGACTGCGACCACTTCTCAGGCTTTGCCCATTTCTCGGGTTTCTCCCATTTCTCCAGTTTCTGCTGCTTCTCTTCTGCATGTGCAGGCTCCAGATTGGTCAGCAAGACTCCAGACTCCTGGAACCCCGACACTGCCACGCGTCGGATCATGCAGAGTGTTCGCTTGCCGCGATCCTGCAACGAAGCGGGTGGCGGCAGCACAGGAAGAGCGTTTGTCTGGATGGCCTGTCGCAACACGACAAGGCCAACGACAAGGCCAACAACATAGCACAAGAATATGGATATGGGCATTTAGCTAGCTCGTCGCATGACCGTGAACTCAATTGCTCTCACTCGGACAAGCATGAAGGGTCTAGCGGCTAGCGTGTCCAGGCATCGACTACATGGTGTGGGAAGCTAGTTGGACAATTTGTTTAATGCTGCTGGATCAACTGGTAATTGAAATCAGGGATGCTGGTGCCCGGGCAGCCTTGGGTCATCCGGGCCCAACTGTTGGTTTCTGTACAAGGAATGCTCTGAAAGAAGGCATGCTAGCGCGAACCACCTGTCACAACACAAATAATGCAAGCGCGTGAAAGCGCGTCTGGGTGTCAGGTACTGTGCCGCCTCTCAATTTGGCGGCCACCAGTAGCCACTTCCGATGCGCGCTGCGCAAAGCGGTCATGCGCCACCTTGCCAGTGAGAGCGGTTAGCGTGGCTGTCCCCGCTGCGATTGCAACACTGCCCAGCAAAGGGAGGCCGGCCAACACGCCAACTGCAGCTCCAGCAACACCCACTACCAGCGTTGCACGCTGGACACGCGACCGAGATTTACCTACAGCAACGTCTCTGAGGGTCTCGACCACCTCTTGCGAGTCCTCCACAGTCTGACGCACTCGTTCCTCGACCACGTTGAAGGTGTCCGTCTGAACCATCGAAGCCACTTGATCGGTGGCTGCTGACAAGGTCTGCGCTTCGCGGGAGAGACGCTTGAGAGCATTTGTTTCCATCTGGACCATGCGACGAGGACTGCCGAAAGAGTCCGTCTCATCCCATTCTCGCAGCTGTCCGCTGCTTTCCACCTGCAGCACAAAGGCCTCCTGCTGTGGCTCGGAGGACCTGAACGGCAGGAAGCCGGACAGGTATCGCCGAATGCCAAGGCCTGTTGAGCTGTGCATGATGGTTCTGGGTTGATCTGTGGGAGTGGGAGCCTCTTCACTTCCAAGACTTACGCGTCGGCTAATGGCCGGGCTCCCGTTCTGGCTCCCGTCTGGGCTCCAGCCCGGGCTTGGTGCAGGGCTGCCAGAGTTTCGCCGCATCCTGGAGCGCTCGCACTTGCGGTCCAAAGCCTCGCAAACTTGTCGGAAATTCTCAGCAAGTGCGAGACGAGTTTCGTCTGAGGGCGCCAGAAGCTGACTGCCAAGCTCGATTCGAAGCTGAGTTGCCTCCGCCTTCTTCTCCTTTTTCCGCAATTGAGCAACCTCCGGCGCGTTGTGCACGAGGGCCTCCAAGCGCCGCAATTTGCGAGCTAAGACTTCGGGATCCTCCTGCTCCTTTGAGGGCCCAGGGTCGAGGATCCAATGTGATGCTTCCTCGACAGCATCGAGCGATGTCTGGAGATCTTCTAAGGTTGACCGCCCCGCCAACAGAGTGCGGGCTGCAGCAGTTCGCTCGCGCAAAGCTTCCTGTGCGGCTGCCGGAGCTCCAAGTCTTCGGCCTTTGGCGAGGAGCGCAGGGCATTTCTCGACGGCTCGCATGAGACGAAGGCATAGTTGGCGTCTCTCCTCTGCCACTGTACGGGGTGCTGCATCCATCGTATGGCAGCAGGCACCTAGGCTACTGCTGTTGCGACCGCTGCACCTGTCTGCTAGGTAATGAAATACGCAGCTTCAAGGCCCCTATGGAAAAATCCTTTGCTCTTCAACCGATGATGGTTAGCTGGCGAGGTTTTGTTGGAACTTCCTTGAGGCCACAACAACAAGATGCACTCGACTGCATCCTCAAACGTGTCCTTGTGCAATCTCCTTCATCATCTGAAGTCTGAGCTTCCGCCTTGATCGCGTCCGGGCAGATTTCAGGGCTTGACAAGCCTCGGAGCACAGAATGCCATGAGAACCTGGCGATCGACAAGTCTGCCAGTCCTTGCAGCCATGGAACAAGATCGGACAGAATGCCCGGTGTCCACTAGCACCATCTGAACAGATGCGCTCAAGAGGGTGCAATCTCTGCAAAATTACCATTCAGGGGTTTGGGACGGATCCCTAGAAGGAGCCCTAAATCAATCAGCTTAGCCATGTTGGCGAAACTCTTGAAAAATGCCTGAAGTTTGTATGCCCCCTTGAGGTTCTAAATTGAAGCTTGGCATGCTTCGAGCAACTCATTCTGCCTCATTCTCGCAGTGTTCTTGTTCGACTGCCCGTCCGGAAGGTGTTGATTTCTTAATTCCTCAGGTCCTTAAACGGCTCTTGGGGGCACATGAGGATGCCACGATGCACAATGAGAATTGGGAGTACAGATTCAAGCCGCCACTCAGTATACAGTGCAGAAAAAGTGGAGAGAAAAGGGCGTTTTCATCATCACCATCATCATCATCATCATCATCATCATCAGAGGGGCTCTTGTCGAAGCAAGTCTAGGACTGGGCACACTGGAAGACTGGAAGGGTAAGCGGACTGGAAGGGTAAGCCATTTGACTGCTGAGCGGGCGATATTGGTGGGGGTTCACCAGTTAGCTTTGTGGGTTCACCTGAGCCCGAAGCTTGACATCTCAAGGTCCCAAGGGTGAAAGAAAGTGGCTTCGAGTCAAGTTCAATGCAGCAAGCGACGCAACAAGGCGTTCTTTTTAACCCGAGAGGCGCCTGAGGACTCAGGACCCATGGCGGAGGGATGCAGAAGGGCTCTTTTGCTGCGGTGATGGGGGAAGCCAGGATTCAATGGTGCCACTCCAAGTCCCCTCCCGGGTCCAAAGCCCAAGATTCCAGATTCCCCGGCACACTCCCCAGGCATCTTCAACAATGATTCGGTTCGGAACCGCAATCGAATCTGAGCCGATCGAAGTGTCCCCCCCCCTGATACAAGGCAAAGCAGGGAAGAGCGGCATGCCCTGTAACGTTTTTCCAGAGCTTCAGGCCAGTGGAAGGACATAGCACACGTCAGGAACCACAAAACGACGCTCTTGTCGCCTATTTCAACAGCCATTCGAGCTCCCTGTTCTTGTGCCATGGGCTAGATGACTCGGAACACGGATTTGTCAAGGAGCGAACGGAAAGTTTGCAAATCAATTACTAAGATACCTGCATGCTAATTGAAACCGATTCGGAAGAGCTGCAACTATAACATGTATTACGCTGTTTCTGTTCGAATTAAGATAGTTCATAGTTTTTGCCTTGATTGATTAGAATACGTTGATTAAGAAAGGAAGGTCCTGCAACAAGACCAGCTATTGTAATTCACGGTACGTAAACTCGGCAAAGGCCTGTTAGAAACCTTGATATTGAATAGGTTACTGTACTTAATTATGCTTAACATCTTGTTCGAATAAAGATGCTCACCTCACCTACAATATAACCACTGGAATAAATACAGAAAGAAAACCTTAAGAGGACTCTATACTGAAATACATATCTATGTTAGAGCTAAGATATGTAACTAATTTTACTTTGCTTCACATTGTAGTAAAGCATCACAAGCAATTCCAGTTAGAAGTACTTATTCAGGCTCAGCGTTGTCCTGAAAGAAAACAGCGACTTTTATCTTATTGCTAGCCAGTCACATTACGAGGTAAAGCCGAAGATGACTGAGTGCGCGTTTACACTACGACTTTGTTCACTCAGACCCACCACAGCCCCAACAACAGCAGCGCAAGTTGCACCGATATTTTTTCATCCGCCCACCCCCCCACCCCCCCCAACCCCCCGCGCCACAGCACGCGCCTTCACCTGGAGATGAGGTCTCCGGCTCAGCCTGGGCTGATACTTGCACCACGCGTGCATGGACCGTACTTCTTTTGCAGCATTCTTTACCGGCTCATCTCACATTGTCAGGTTGCTCCTTGTGGATGACTTCTTCAACATCCGCGTCATCCAGTGCAGCCAGTGCCATCATCACCTAAAAGCTGGCACGAGCCGCCAGGGACGGCTCAAGTTGAGGCTAGTGATGGCCATGAAGTCATGACGGCCCTCACTTTCGGGCCAGGCTGCTTGGTGAGCCTCTGCTGAAGCCACTGGAGGCGGTGGCGGTGGCAGAGGAGGCGGGGGTGACCGTGGGGCATTCAGTATACCTAATGACACAGCTCGAAGTCAGGTTGGGCCGCAGTGCCCTCACACGGTGCACTGAGGACTGCGTCTGGCAAGTAGCAATACTTTGGAAACCATCCGCTTTCTCCATCTGAACTTCCATATAACCAATCCGGCTCATCGTTGCCTCCTGCAGAGGTTTACGGGTGGATTTTCCAATGGGGGACGGCTTCAACTTAATGCTCACCTTGAAGAATCACTGAAGCAGTGGGGCCTATGTATTCAATCGTGACCTCCTGTCCCAACCTTAGGATCAGACAAGCAGAGCATGCAAGTAACAAACCCACAAGGCAGATTATGGACAAGCCAGTGCGTGCTGCCCGGACGCTTCAAGGCCAAGTACCCTGAATCCGGCGCATCATACCTGGAAAACTCACCCTCGCATCAGCAAACTGTTGGATCGTGGCCTCTGCAACTTGCATTCGAGGTGCGGCTGCAGTGAAGGGAGTCGATTCCCCAGGCTCAATGCCATCTCACCAGCACGATGTCACAGGCCGCTACATCACCATCCGGCTCCGACAACAACCCAACTAGATGAAGGCAGAGATTGGAGCAGCGCTTCCTTCACCAACACCCCATTATAATTCTTGGTGTAGCCTTGTCCTTCCCAAGTCTCCCAACACATGCCCTGCGAGCCTGACATGCAGCAGCAAGTTCGAACCTAAACCTGAAACCTAGCAATCTCAGCAGCCATATGCCATATTTCACCTCAACGGCATTCTCTGAGACTGGCTGTGCCGCCGGCTCAATGACTTGTGCGGCTTCGTCGATAACAACCTGGATAACCCGACTTGCGACTCTAAGCGAAGATTCTGAGCAAGACCCGAGCTAAAGGCAAAAGGAAACTTGATCTTGTCCAGCGGGCCCATTCCACAGCCAATACAGGTCGCACACACAACCTCAGAACCGATGAGATCGTACAATCGGGGGCCGGCACGCATGAAGTCGGACATTTCTTCAACATGCCGCAAGCCTTAAGCTGAAAAGTGCTCTTGTTGAGCATTGCCGAGCGGTGCTCTTGCTGGGCACTGCATGCAAGAGGGCTGGGGAGCACTGCCACGTCCTGTGAGCCTGCGAATACACAAAGCCCGTATTCACTCAGCCTCGCAGGCTCGTTCTGCCTGAAGATGTCATCTCCAAGATCTTGCAGATCTCACATCCACATCCACCGAGTCGTTCTTCTTGAGCTCATAACCACCGCCTCTCCGACAGTCTTGAAGAGCCTCCTTTCTCCCTCCGGTAAGTCTACGTGTCGATATATCTCGGCAAGGCGTCTCCAAAACGAAGAAATCTCCGGGGAGCGTCGTGCACGTTTTTGGACTTGGACTAGCGATGCCGCTTGCAGTCTCTTGCAGTTTGGCTGAGGGCTAAGTCATTTGTTCCTTCAAGCACTGCAACCATTGGAACACTTTCGTGGCCAAAACCACCTCCGCGATGCGCTTGTCAGGGTGCCACTCCAGAAACAACTGGCGAAGAAGTCGTTGTCTGTCCTCAGGCTCCGTGCACGACTGTGCACGTAAGTTCTTCTTAATCGAATCGATCACTGCGGCGAACTCCATGTCCTCTTCAGTGGCAAGATCGGGAAACTTCCAAGTAAAGGCCGTAGGAGCAGTTGGGGGGATGTGGGAGTAACGGACGGGTGATGGCTGCCGCTTCTTCTGGGATTCAGGGGCACGTGGCCCATATTCGGGTCCCATTTCGTCGCCTTCACCTGTTGCATATTCGGCACCGATGTTCTCAAGCTTTGCGTCCGGAAAGTACTCTCTCCACTTGACAAATGGGTTTTGGCACCCCGGTGGAGCTGCCAGATCTTCAGCAGACTTTGCCCCTTTGGCCAGCAATTGCTTCACCATCTGCTTTGCACACTTCGGATGTCCCGCGCGGATGCAATAGCGACCGATGTCCAGAGCAGTGTAAGTCTTGTAAGCTGCAGTGAGGGACCACTCACGACAAACCACATTGACATCAAGCAGGTGGCCGTAGCTCAGCAGAAGGTCGAAGGCCGCCTGGCAGCCTTCTTCCACGGCGGCCATCAGGGCAGTCTTTTCCTCGATAAAATAAAACCGTGTCCGCGCCTCGCAAAGGAAGCCCAACCTCACATCGTGACATGGCAATTGTTTGAGGATGTATGAATATGCAAGAAAAACGTGCGTTCAACTGTTGCCCGTCCATTTCCGTATACCGTTTCCCATGCTGGGGGGGGGGGGGGGGGGGGGGGGGGGTCTCTCTGGGCTTTCCTTCATGTGGCCTAGGCACTTCTCCGGAACAACCGTGTTCGGATTCGAAAGCCTGTGCTCGATGGCAGCTCGAAGTTGCCCCAGCATGGCTTTGCGGACCAACCCGACCAGCTCACGGTCTTCATGGTACAGGCACGGCAAGCGCAGGGCGGCATAGGCAGGTGCTCTCGCAGGAGCCTTCGTCCTCAGTGGTGCTGAACGCAATGCAGTGCAACTTGTAAGGCAGAATTCGAGTGATGACAGGAAGGCCTTTTTGAGGCCAAGATGCTCGAGGCTTCGAAGGAAGGCTTCATCTTGGAGCGGAGGGTTGACCAAGAAGGCCAGCCTTGAGTTCTGCGCAGCGACCTTGCGAGATCGAGGGCTCAGTACCAGGCCGGCTGAGCAGCACATCAGCACCCGTGCCTGGGGGTGAGCATTGTGCTCCTTGAAAGCAGCCACGCTTTGCGCGACGCCGCGACGGGACGCCGGGAACCCGAAGTGCTGCAGAATTGGGTACTGCACCTCAGGGATTTCGCGCTGCCAGAACTTGAGTCCCTCTGACTCTCTGAGCTTTTCCCGAGGGCCAACCTGAGCACATGCCTCCTGGCGAGCCTTGACCTGCCAGGCGCATTGTGCCCACGCGATTACTTTGTCTTCTGTCTTCTGCCTTCTTACTCTTCCAAGATCTTCCAGGTGCCTGCTCCAGCTCCGTGTCACCAGCTGCTCTCCAGCGCCGATGCAAGTCACCCTTCAAAGCACTACAGTCACTACAGTGCCAGGATCCCGCTTGAGAAGTGCAAGCAGCAAGTTGCAAACGCATGCCTGGAACTCCGGGCTGCAGTACCCGGCGATCAGCATCTCTTGCATTTGCAGCGCGTCTTCGAGGGTCAGCTTTGGGAGCCCTTGCGCTTTGGGCTGCAGTCCTGAAAGCACTGAGGACTGAGAAGATGCCTCTGGCATTGCAAAGCATGCGCAGGCTCAACGGGATGAGACAAGGAGCAGACTGCAAAAGCCCCGTTGCTCTCACGGTTTTGAAGTCTTCTCAGGATTTCAATCGAAACAGTGAGAAGGTGCACTTTTGCAGGCTGCCGATCTCTAGGTGAGCGACATGTGACGGGCCTTGTCCCAGGGCGGACCATGCTGATGAAGAGATCCAAGCTCTGTTCCTTGGGTTTTCAAGGAACAGAGGAAAAAGTAAATGTACAGTAAAGAGAGATGGGTTGGCAGTTCCTCACGTGTCGGGCTTGCTTGCAAGAGTCAAGTCATCAAAGGTGTTGCAGAGCTCGGCTTGCAGAGCAAAGCCATCGCCAGAGCAGACCTCCAAGCCTCTCATGCTTCACATGCTTCACATTGCACGCTCAGTTGGAACGGCGAAGCTCAGCCAGACGTAGTCACCAGTCGCTGTCTGCCGTCTCTGTGCTGTCCAAGGATCTCGCAAGGGAGCGTCGCACCAAAGTCCCCTCTGTGGACCCAGCCGGAAGATAGCGGCAGAAATCTTGCATCTCTAGGAACGAGAAATGCTGCGAGGACCTCGCACCCCGCTCTAGGAAGATTTGGGAAGCGTGAGGCTGCAGGAAACAGAGTCGCAAGTGGAAGCTAAGCTGCAGGTTCGGCAGATCCATGACCGGATCCGGCAAGCCACGGCCAGCAGAGTGCAGCAGGGCACGGGTGAAGCAAGCCTGAAAGCCCAAGTCATTCCACGCAAGTTCGATACATTTGACACCTTTCGACATGTCAGAGGTGCGGCGACCGCGGCCTCGTTGCAGACCTGCCGGCTGCCCTCCAGGAAGACTGGGCGAACCATGTAGCACCATCCATCAGGCCAGCGCCAGACACGGATGCCCTGCCGAGAGTTGACCTCTGGCAGGCCCGCAGCCTGCGCATCCTGCAGGGGCGCCCGACTCCCGTCGACTGCCCTTTTCCCGGATCCTACAAGTAAGTTGACTGCTTGTGCCTTCAGAGGAACAGTCTTGTCACAAGCTGTTTGCACCGCATCCGCAATCGTAGAGTTGAGGACGACGTGCGCTGCGCAGAGCTCGGATGGTGACAGGGCTGGTGGTACCCAGCAGGTCACAAGCGGAATGCTCGGCAGAACCTGGGGGCACTTCTGGGCTTCTTTCACAACAGAACCGATATGAACCAATAAACGTGCTCTGAGCCGCTTCGAGCCAATGCGCCAAGGCGCGGCTTGCAGCTGAGCTTCCTTGGCAGGATGGCCCCAAGGCTTTTACGGTGAACTTTACAGCGGCTTACAACTGAAACCTCTTCTTTGTTACTTCCCAACATAACTCGACATAACTCAGTGGTCAGATGTGGGCAGTGGGGCTGGTCTCTGCGAGATTCTAGCAGATGGAACTCGGGCTTGTCGTCAGCGCAGGTCGGCAAGTCCAGCCTCGCAGCAAAGGGCTCCCGCAGTTCTCACGAACTGCTCAGAGATGCTTGGTGCTCCGAGTAGCTGCCCAGAGATGCTTGGTGCTTCTTGCGGGTCTTCCGCTGCAGTGGCTACCTGCTTGGCAGCGTCCTGCACCAATCTGGGGTAGGACCACATCAGACCAACCAGAACTAACTCATCAAGCTGGACAAACGGACTCAAGCCACTGGGCATCTGCAATAGCCTCTTCTCCTGATGTTTGAATTTGCTGCCTCTTGCCTAAACCAAGATCTGCACTCAAAACCTCTCAGATCCGGTCCGTGGGACAAGAGGCCACAATGTCATCGGCTGGGTCAGCAAAAGGGTCCCAGGCCATGGGGGGCAAACATGCCCGTTCATGTGCTCTCAACACAAATACGCTGTGGCACGGCAGCGTGCTGTCATCTGCAGCTCGTGCCGATTCAGCTCAGACGCGGAATTGGGGCAGGCTCAAGTCAGAACACGTGAGAACTGCAGAAAGTTCGCGCCGACGAAAGCTTAAGACTTAATACTTGCACATGCACGGTGTGGCTGTGTGTGTGTGCTTTGATAGCCTCAGGCCGCAGCATCGATGGTTTCCATGACCTAGTAGGCAAGTGGAAGGTTTGCGAGCTACGTTGGGGCCTTCACATGATGTCATTCTTCCGGCCTGCACACGCAGATGTGCTACAGTGCATGCTGTCCTACACCTCCATCCACCAGCATCGGTCCTTCCACCAGTTGTCTGCTGAGTCGGAGGCATGTCGCATTCCTGCGTCGCCACGCCTGGGTGAGGCTGCGCATGGGATGACATCAGCATCCGAACCAAAGCTGCCGCCCGTGACCGAGTCGCGCACTGCTTGCCGCACTCACGTAGGCGTGTCTCGAACCTCGGATCGCCAAAAGCTCGGTCGTTTCGTATTTTGTGTGTAGTATACCGATCTATGCCGCCGACGAGTATGGTCGGTCCTGTGGACAGAGACCCATCCTGCTGGGCAACACGAGGAGCCATGCGGTGTACAGGCCAGAAGACTAGAATAAGGAGCGAGCAAGGTTGTTCTCAGGACAACCGAGTTACGCAACCAGGATCCCCGGTACTGACTAGTCTTGGTAGCACGAAACAGTCTTCTGGCTATGCCCACGGGTGAGATTGGACATGTTCGGAAAGGAAAGGCTGCAAGATGACATGCAAAACACCATCAGGGAGCCTCAGAACCTTCACGCCCAGGCTGTGCAACACCTGCACTAGAGTCTACTAGCACGAGTCTACCACGAGTCTCGCGAACGAGGTCGCATGAGGTCGCTGAGTCGGCCTCTGCCAAGTTGTCGGTTCCGCGATTGCTGAAGGCGCTTGCCAGAACTGGCCCCCTTCTCGTCCTTCACGGACCAATGGTCTCTCCAGCGGGCGTGCTGCTTGCATTGCACAGGCTATGTGTCCTCAGCCACCCACATATGATTGACACGGCTGTCGTCGTTTTTCCTGTACCTTGCACTGACGGCACAGCTTTGCTTTATCTTTCTGACAGCCAAGGAGAAGCAGCACAGCCTGGTGGCCCCTGGACAAGACTGAAGCGCCGTCGCCTGATACGACTTCAGCCAGGAATTCATGATTTGTGCCAAGTTGGTACACGCAGTTACACACAGCTGCACACAGTTACACACAGTTACACACATGCGCACACACACACACACACAGATGACACAGATGTGACAAGCGCAAGCTGCCTCTCCAGAACCAGCCGAAGGGCTGCCTCCTGCGAGCGGTTCAGCTTCAGACCTTCACTGCACACGAGCCGCACGTACCATACTTGGCAATTCTGCTACAAGTCTGATCAATGTTCTTCATGGCAGGCATTCGCAGCTGAAAGCAACTGTGTGCACTACTCTGGTCTTCGTCTGGGGTGGGCCCCTTTGTAGTGTACCTCGTCCACGGTCCAGAAACTGGGCATCTCAAGATAGTGTCGAGCCGGGTCACGTGGCGGTTCCAAGATCTTGCTCACGCGAAGCCTGGCTGATGTCAGCCTCGGGCCAGCACTTCTTAGAACCTTTTGTGCTCGACACTCCTCCACCATCCTCCACCGCTCTTGCGAAACTTAGCGGGCCTCGGCATTGGGCTTTGGTCGCTGTAGCGGGTCCTGGCACCCGAGGCCGAGGAGGCTTCAATGGAATCGCATGGCGAGTTGAAGCCGTCCAAGCTTAACATGCAAGTTGAAATCCAGACATCGCAGGCAGGACCCATTTCGATGCAGCTGCAGACGATTCGGAGATGTCCGCGTACAGCGCATCTTAGGTTATGTGCAGCAGGGCAGGTGTGTGTTTAAAGGCGTAGCAGGAAACAGCAACTTTTTCCTCTTGCGTCCCCAGTCCGCCTCAGACTTTTACAGAAAAGGTGACCTCCACTAAGTGAAGGCTGGGCGATGCCAGGCAGGCTCCGCAGCTTCCTTCCATCAGCGCAGGCCTTAGCTGCCCGAAAGGCAAGTCAATGAGGCTCCATACAAGGCTCCATACAAGGCTCCATGCATGCGATTCTCTCTTCTAGAGATTTTCCTGGGCGAGGGTTCAAAATCAGCTAGCCAGCAGCCTGGGAGGGACTGCAGCGGCAAGCATGCAAGAGATTCAGAGATTAGTAGGCCCTAGTAGGCCTTGCCTAGGCCTTGGATCTGCAACCCATGCTGAGGCATGGGAAGGCAAAACTTCCCGAGAGAGTACCGGCGATAAGCCGACGTTCTCTCTTGTCAAACAAGCCTTTACCGTGCTTTGACTGCATCTTCGGCAATAATGACGGCGTTCAGTGCTGCTCCGCGAAGAAGCTGGTCACCAGAAACGAAGAACTCAATCCCATTGTCCCCAAACACAATGCTTTGCCGGATACGGCCGACCTCCACATCATAGTGTCCGGTTGCATTCCTTAGCTGTGGTTTGGTTGGGTACAGCATGCTGATATCTACACACACAGCAAGAACAATTGAGCCTCTTCAGCTCAGCTGAGGCTCAGGGGCATGGGGTACTTCAAGCTCTCCGGATCATCGACGACCTTGACGCCCTCGCAAGATTCGAGCAGCTTGCGCACATCATCGGGCTTGATAGGCTTCTCTGTCTCCACGACGATGGTCTCCGAGTGAGCCCTGAGTGTTGGGACACGCACAGCGGTGCAGGAGACCTTCACGTCGTCGTCCAGGCCGAAGATCTTCTGCAACTCCCAGGTAACCTCACAGAATGTCTTTCATTCTCCGACAGCCATGTCTCAAGCGAGCATCCACACGACATCAATTCACATGCCATGTCATGCCTTCATCTCCTCCTTCGTGTAGCCATTCTCTTGAAACTTGTCGATCTGTGGGATGACCTGGAAGTTGCAGGCCGGGCCAGAGAGCTTGGAGGATTCGGCCGACAGCTTTGCTAGCCGAGGCATGTGCGTTGAATGGCAACTGGTGGGCAAAGAACTTGGGTTCCGGTACAGCACCGTCCTTCACCCATGTGGCAAGGCCTCGGATGAGCACAGCTGGTAACAAGTTAAGTCTCTGCAAAAGACTTGCCGCCACGGCGCCATCCTCCAGCTCGGCCATGCCAGGAGCGCCGGCGCCACTGGCAGCTTGGTAGGTTGACATCAGCACCTAGGGGTCTGAAGGAGATTCGAAGATTTCAAGGCTTCGGCTGCCCCCCCCCATCCCTGAGCGCCTTCTTCAACTTGTACTTCTGATGGATGGGCCACAGAGCCATTGCACCCACCGCGGTTGTGCAGTTTGGGTTGGCAATGAGCGGTGCATCCACAAGGCCCTTGCCATTAATCTCTGGAATAACCAACGGCTTGTCCTGCGATATTCACCGGACATGGTGAATGGCAAGGCGGTGGCAAAACCCAGCTAGCTGGACTTCCCAGTTCGTGTTTTGCTGTCGGGCTCTAGCAGCCTTGCCCGTGTCCGCCCTGCCCCACTTGACTGCAATCACCCCAGCTTCACCTGCTGAATGCTGGGAGAGGCACGCCCCAGGATGAGTCTAGTGAGACAAGCGCATGTGGTTAGCACAAAGCTTTGGGCTAGAGCCGCTAGAGGGTTACCACGATCGACTCAACAAACTGTCGAACAGCTCTTCATCCTTACAAGGCAGGGCTGGCACTGGCTTCTCTCCGCAAATCCTTGTCGTACCGCCATGCCGACGAATTGTCAATGACCTGTGTGTTCTTGGGTCCACCAGCAATCCTGGATGCACATGGAGCCAGAATAGTTCTGCTCTACATGTCGCGCCTCTCTGCAAAACTGCCTGCACTGACGTTCGCTGCTAAATGCGTGCCAAAACTCTTGGGCCCCCATTCCAGAGAGAAGTCACCCGACACTGCCATAAGGCAGATGTCGCACTCTTGCGCAGCCTCAAGCGTAAACTTCTCCACGGTGATGTCTCCGAATGCTGACGAAGAAACCTCTGTTCCTGCCGAGCTGTTGCCGAACAGTCTCACTTTGTCCGCTGGGAATTTCCGATCCTCCAAGCACTTCAGCATCTCCTGACCTACAGCACCCGAGCAACCAATGATGCCGACAGTGTCGATCTTCGCAGCAGCTGCTGCGACTCTAGCCCGGGCCTTCCGCAGTCCTGATTGCCTCTTCGCCGACATGTTCAAAGAGCCGAGTAAGAGCCCAGTGGCACCAGTTGCCAGGGCTGCATTGCACAGAGTCGAACTCTTGGCCCTGTCACCTGCCTCCAACTGTGAAGCAGAGACACTTCTTTGTTCCAGACCCCTTGGTGCCACGGGTGCCAAGGGTGACACGAAGGCAGGGGAAAGAAACAGTGCCGATGCGGCACCCGAAGCAATGGCCACCTTTGCTTTTGAAGGCATAGCGCGTGCAAGCAGGCTCGCTGCAGGCTACAAGAATGGAGTCTTGGCACTGGGTGCGATAAATGCTGCGGAATCAGCACGATCCAAACATGTTGCAGTAAGTTACAGCATGTTGCCAGGCTGCAAGATGCTTGCGACAGCCTCACTCCTCTTACTGCATCTTACTGACAGCCTGACTCATCAAGTCAGGAGGCTCTTCACTTCTCAGCCCCACACAGGTGCTCTCACTGAGCCGACGGTCATTGCACGCGCACAACTGTTTGAGGCTTCGGCTGCTTCTGCACAGCATGAGAACTGGTAATCTTCGTATTGCTGCTGTGACTCTCTGCAATGAAGACTTCTGTGGGTGTGATGGTGTTGCGTGCAGCAAGGTGTCGCACTGCACAGCTGAAACATGATGACACTACCTTCCGCTGACTGCAACCAGGATCATCTTTGAGGCATTCCTCTCTAATAATGCTCATGGCACCATCTCATGCATCAGGCCATTTCCGCCTGAATGTCGCCTCACTATGTACTGGACAGTTCCGAACACGACGTGCGGCCAAGCGGCTCGCAAATGGAGTGCCTGGAAGCCTCAGAGCAATGTTAGGATGCAACCTCGCATGCGCAACGGCATCTCATAACCCCCACAACAAAGAGCATATGAAAGCCTTCACAGACAGGGTAAAAACAAAAACTGGCTTGAAGGCAGACCGCTTGATCAAACTGTCGCAGCAAGCAAAGCGAACATTTGCACACGTGATCCAACTTGAAGGGACTTGTCGACGGAGCTTGCAGACTTGTGTGACCAAAGCTTGGGGGCCTGAGGGCTTGTGTCCAGACCACAGCTCCGCCCTTCCCCCCCCCCCCCCCCCCCCGCACCCCAAACCGAACTGGCGAAAACCCCAGAATGTTCCACTACAGTCTCTCCAGCCTTCGTTCCAGTGAGTGTATTGAAGAAGCTGGTGTGCTTCTTGAATGCTTCAATTCAAGGCAGCTCATTGGAAAACATGCACCAAAGACCGCCACCACCCTAAGTGAACCGTGCACAGCACACTGGGCCACTTTCTGTTGCTGCGTGCACGAAACTTGACGAGACCATGGGACAGCATCTCTGCAATAGCTTGGATAAGACGGATAAGACATCGGTGTCTATATCGGTGCACATGAGACACGTGAGAGACACATGCCAGCTCGAAGCCATTCCCCTTCTACGGCTTGACCACAAAGAAGACGGGAAAGAGAAGTCGCAAGGTTGACTTGCGCCGTGTCTGCTACTCAGTGCAACTAGTAACTAGCAGAGCTGAGACAATTTCAAGGTTCCAAAACTCTCTCGCACGCGATGGATCATGCAACCTCAGGAGGCGACAAGAGCCCAGAGAGGTTCTGGTTTTGATTCAGACGTTCCTGACACGCACAACTTGGAGAATCTTGGCGCATGCTTGCTCCACACGTAGAAATCACACTGCAGACTGCAGCCCAAGCTAACGCCGACAGGCCGGGCCGACGATTGCGTTCTTGGCCTTCGCAGCCTGAAACGTACCAAGACCTGAGCTGCTTCTCTGCAGGCACTGTTGCGCACGCCTCGACAAGACATGCCGCGTTTTCAGCACAAGACTGCTCTGAAGCAGTTCCTTTCAAAACGTACCTGTACAGTCTGTACACACCATGCCAGCGCAGGTGACCGAACGACTGTGATGATGACTGGGCAGGGCATGCACTTGCTGCAATTTGAAAATTTGGACTGCGGCCGGACTCCTCCGGCAGCTGTCAGCTTACTTGGAGGCCGTCTTTGAGCTCCAGCTCATCACCCAAAGCATATGCAGCAGCTGCTCGCAAAGGCTGCCCCGCCACATCTTCAAGCCGTGCCCGGATCGCAGCACAAGCCTCCCTGCTCTTGTCGGATAAATGGGCCAGGACCTGTTGCGTTGTACAAGTCAGAACGCTTGGCACCCAAACATCCGGGACCTGACGTGGTAGCCGCGCCTGAACCGCGGTGCAACAAACTCCGGTGTGGCGATCTTCAAGCAGCTCCGAAACAGCCGAAAGAACAGCAGCATCACCTTTGGGAGCTAATTGCCTTAGCAGCTCGACACATGTTGCGGACACTGCACATCACCTCACAAAACGTCCTACCATGTCCTACCATTTGCTGCTGGCAAAGGCACCCCAACGCTTCAACGGCTGCCAAACGAACACGCCCGTCCTGTCTCACAGATCGAGATGGGGAGCAGACGTGGCCGAAAGGCCCTAAATCTCAGATTCATCTCTCCTGGTGCTCCAGCAAAGACAGGAGGGCCGGCATAGCTGTCAAATCACCCTCTTCAGCGACCTCCAGTCTGAGAGTCTTGCATTGTGTTCTTGTGCTGTCAGTCCGCAAATGATGGAAACCCAACCTCGCAAAAGGCAAAAATGCACCCAGAGTACCCAACCTTGACTAGGCTTTCCATGGCGGCTGTTCGAACAAAGGGCTCGCCATCTTCCAAGCGTGCGACCACACAAGAAATGACCTGAAGCTGTATGCACATGGACACATTAAGAAGGCCCCCTGGACGAAAGCCATGGCGGGATATGTCGGAACAGCTTCCCTGGCCCGATTTTTCGGACCAAAGGAGGGCCCCCAGCAAGCCTCAAAGCCCGTCAGGCCTCAAGGCTGCGAGGCTCTTGGCCCAAGAAGACTAAGAAGCTTGAGACTAATCGTTACAACAAGCCTGGCGAACTGCAAATTAAGCGGCTAAGCAGTATATAAGCTGATTATCCGATTATCGGCCATGAGAAGCCATGATTAGCAGGCCGCCTCGACGTCACCCTTGGATGGCGTCAGCTTTGCCAGCGTCTCAACAGCGGCAGCGCGAACATTGGACACACCATCATCCAGGCAGCCTTTGGCCTGGGGCACGTGTGGCACTTGCATGAACTTTCGTCCACTCGCCACCAGCAGAAATCCGGCAAGACTACATCAGGTGCAAGTATCATCACATGCATTTCGGCCGCCATGGCAGCCGGAGCCTTCGTGATGGCAGCTGTGTCGCCCACTTTGGCCACCCACGACATTGTCCGCAGCGCGGCGGCGCGAATGGAGCCATCTCGGTGGTCCAAGAGCTCCAAGGCACCCTGGACTGTGACTGGATCGCCGTAGATGGCCACCTGGAGATTTGCGTGGAGACTCCGTGCGGTCAATGCGGCTCTGGCATCACTCTGCAAAGCTGTGTCACACTCTATCCTGCACTCTTATGCACAGCTTCATGCCGGCGCAGCCCACAAGGGTCTACGACATCTCAGCTCGCAGCCCGCCGCAGCGCATCAACTGCCGACGTGCGGATCTCCGGATCGGGATCTTCAAGGCATGGAACAAGGCACGCCACCACAGCCGGGTCACCCTTGTTGGTTGTACGAGACAGCGTCTCCAGAGCGGCCCATCGCGTCGTGGCACATCTGCTGCCGAGAAGATCTGTAAGGTGACGAGTGACCGTTTCGTCCCCTTGCCGTGCAATTCTTGCTATGCACTGCACTGCGGCTCTGCAGGCATCCAGGGATTCATCACCAAGCAATCTCATAGTCGCCCGGATTGTTTCTAAGTCCTTGCACGCTCCACGGCAAGTACAGAGGTACGTAGCAGGAGGCACCACCCAAAAATCGCGCGAGTGTGTTTGCAGACAAGGCCACACCCTGTTCCGCCAGCTGGGATAATGCCCAAGCAGCAGATGCGCGGACGCGCCCTTGGCCATCTGAGAGACAATCACGTATCCTGGAATTTGCACTTCAGATTTTGCCATGATGCCCATGCTCAATCTCACCCCTAAGGCTACTCCTGGGCACAAGTCCAATCGGCGCCATATGTCCCAAAGCCAAGACAGCAGCTTCACGCACACAGCAGCGGCGGTGTCGAAGTCGGGCACCTCAATACCACAAAAAACGGCAAAGGAGTCTCGAGTGCAAACTTTGCAGAACCGAATCGCGCCACACGGGCATGCGTTAGATTCCATTTTGGACAAGCATCTGATGACTGCACATGCTTTTTCATTTCGCTTTGGTGCCAGATGAGCCAGTTTCCAAATCGCTCCCGTAAGGTTATGTCCAGAAACGGGGTGGCTCACAAATCTGCAAAACACCTTGGCGTGCATGCTGAGAACTGAGGAAGATTGCCCGGCATGAAGGGTAGCTACATGACAGCCGACAGCCAGACAAAGGACGTCAAGAAACACTGCCAGCCACCGGGCCTCCAACAAACCTTGCTGCATTGCAGTTCGAAGGGATTTGGCAGAGAGCTGCAGGGCACTGATGCTGGGGCCGTCCTGAGCAACTCAACACAGCAACTCACCTCGCTGCTCCCTCACAGGGAGAGCAATTGGAGAGAGCCCGGCTTTCTTTGCCCAGCAGCATAGAAGAGAGCCAGCTCAAGCTGCTGCAAGCACTGATGCACGCTGTGCGCCGCATTGCATGTCATGTGTCAGGTCCCATTCGTCCTACCAAGCTTCATTGGAAACGCATGCCCTGCCGCAGCATTGTGCTAACAAGATCAAACTACATCGGCCAACTACATCGGCTGAAGACCAGGTTTCTGGCTCATTAACCGATTGATGGGAAGCTGCATGGGTTACATCCCTGACCAAAATTCAAACTCAGAGTGCCGGGTGGTTGCACTGTCCGGTGCTGGGGTAAGTAAATCCAGATGCTGCAGCAATGGTGCGGCAAAGCGCCTGTCGGAACGGAACACTCACAACTCGCAAGTTTCCAGAAGGTTGGGGGCCCCCGTCAAGCCCCAGGCATCGTTGCAGCTCGTCCAGCATGCTGTCGATGCCTCAGGGGTTACGCTCTCACCTTGCGTCTGATGCATGATGCGCTCCCAAAAATGCATCGCCATGCTGCGCTATACTTCGCTCTTTTCACTTCACGCGCACGTGGCATTCCATCGGCTGGTGTGGGTAGGCGTATCCGCCCCCTTAGGATGCCAGCTCTGCTGTCCAATAGCTACAGTTGGGGCGCCAAAAGGATCATGGAGCAGCAGCTTCTCGAGCACGTTCTCGGACGCGTGCTCTTGACGTCATGCTCTGCACTATGTTAGTGACTGTTCGTGCTTCAAGCGTGCCGGCGAGACTTACAAAACCAGTTAAACACAAACACCTGTAGTCCGTACGCCTAAGACAGGCCAGGCCCTGTGAGGCACTTCTTTGCAGGTCCCGCAAAGCACACTCTCACCAGTGCCTACACAATTTGCTTCACCTCAAAGTGCGAGCGGAGGTAGGAGACCTGGAAAGCCGCCAGACTGATCAGGACAGCCTTATTCAGGCGGCTGGAGACAGTCACGCTTCATGATGAGAAGAGCCAGTGTAACACAGCCCGTCATAGCAAACCATGGTAAACCCTTCGCCAGCTTCACTTTAACCGCGATACGTGGACATCAAGACTGTTCTACTCAGTACTTGGCATGTCCACTAATTACAATAGTTTGCCGGTCATTTTCGTGCTGCTCAGCATAAACCGTTCGGAAAAGCCAATCAAGCCTGGCAGCCACTTCTGCAAGGGTCCACCACATCACGCGTGCGTTGGTGGATTCAGCCGTCTCTCGGTGCACAGCCTGAAGGTTTCCAACCACTGTGACTGGACGTGCCGTCTGGATCATGGCCATGCCTCGCGGGTGATTGCGTACTGTTGCTGGTCGAGGATGTCATTGGCTTTAGCCTCCAGTTTGGCGACCAGCTCCTAGTACGGGACGGGCAGACGTGAGCATGTCAGTCTTGCCGCAGAGGTCCCGTGGGAACAGCTCCTCGACCTTGTCTGTGTGTTCCTTCGTAACGTACTCCATGTGCTCCTTGTCATGATGATCGGTACCTGAGCTGAATCAGGGAACACCTGCGGCCTCATGCCACTGAGCAGCCGACCATCGCCGTGTTCATCCACATGGAAGTTGAAACTCACCTCACAGGCTCCCAGTCGTGGCTGTCACTCCCCGGATTATCCCGGTGCACTGGGCTCAAGGCCATCTGACTTTCCTCCACAGAGCTCTCGAAACAAAGTCTGTGAGGCAGTTCTTCCATAACCTGACACAGGAAAGCATGGAGAGCCGCTGACAACAGATGACACAACAATTTTGAGTCTTGGCAAAGGATGCGATGCTTCATGCAACTTTCCAAACCTCAATGCTGAATCGGCCAGAAGGATTGGCCTCAACAAGGTTAGAACGGTAGGCCTCACATGTTTCCTACACACCGATGCATGTGGTTGGACAAACTCGGCTCTCGACATTTCTAAATAGCTCCTGCGAGCACATGTCCACATGATCTTTGAAATCTTGGTTGGCAAACTGCTCATGCACAAAGCCGCAGTCCTTGCCGGAGCCGCTGGTCAAGGTAACCAGAACACCCTCATTTGGCCCATCAGCTTCATAGCTTCCATGCAGGCTGTGCCCATGCCCAGGCGTCGCCTTGAAGCATTCCTGAGATGCCCAGAAGGGGCAGATGGAGCTTCACCAAATCTAGTACGGCGGGCTCTTGACGAGACGCAGCTGGCCCGGCACTTTTCGCCTTGAGCTCAAAGAAGAGCCCCGTGCCTCCACGGTTTGGATCACGGAAATTCGGCAGACGTAGGCCACCATAATTAGACTTGCAAGATGTTGCAGGGCAAGCGGCATTGCAGCGGCAGCGCGGCCAGCAGCCAAAGCCGGGCTCTGTGAACCATGGCTGACCTGAGCACATGCTAAACTAGGTTTGCGCCAGCTGCCAGGAAACAGATGGGCCACATCTTGGATATCTTGGGGTCCAGCGCCTCTCCTCTTGCAGCATCAGCTTGAGCAAAAACAACGTCAAAACCACACAAGCAACATTGCGCAACCTTCTTGCGACTCAAATCGCATTCAAGCTCCATGCAGCATGCGCACTGAAAAGGCGAGCACGCTTGTAGGCCACGATGTTCGGGCCAAGGTCGGCGCCTTGGGCACGATGGGCACACTGTGGGAATGAGGCGTGCGCCTTGTCGGAAAGCATCACCAGCCCCTCGCGGAAGAGGTGATTTCGACCTCCTCGCCTGGGCAATCTTGCAGTCCCATTGTATGTTCGAAGTTCGGACACAATCACCAAGTGAAGAGCAGCTTCGTCAGCCCAGTCCATGCAACGTACTATGCAGGCCTTCCCGCTGGCAGCCTCTCGTACCTCACAGCATCCCGTAGCAAAGGTGCACGCACGTGCATGTAACCTGAAGCCAGGCCACTGGGTGACGACCATCATGCAGTCGCTGGAGACACTCTCCACCTCCCACTTTACCACCCAGCAGCGACTGGGCCCGTGTGGCCACAAGCACAAGTCACATCAATCTTTGCAAAACGGCCAGGTTCCAGAGAAACCATCTGATTTCCAATGCGTGCGACCCGTACTTTTCTGGCCACCCAGCTCGACCACTCTCGCACATCTTTAAGGCCCGCACCTCCCCAGAGATGGTCTTTGAGGCATCCTCTACATCGACTCCGCCGTCCACTGTGCTGATCAGCACAGTCCGACCTGCTCAGGCTTTATCCCTTGGGTTCCATGACATGACCACTCCCGCTACCTCGAGAGATCTCGCTGAGGTAAGGCCTGAAAGGCACGTCGGGCCACGTCTGTACTGCAGCGTACGTAGTAGACAGTCGTAATTCATAGTAATGCAGTACAAGAAGTCAGGCGACAGCCTGACCTGGGGCCTGGACAAGTTGCCGTATTCCCAGTAGAGCCTGGCAAGTAGGGTGGTGCAAACCTAGTAGGACCTAGAAGCAGGCTCCTCTCTGAGGCGAGCGCGTGATCCTCCCAGCATTCCGGTCAAATTCGGCCCCGAGGCCAACAATCTGCAGCGCATGAGGCGTCCACGCGTGGTGCCGTGGTGCTGCGGAAAGGCCGCACATGGCCACACCCTCCCGAAAGGAGAACCTCAAAGGCTCCGGCCCCTGTGCCATCTGCCACAAGCTGGTTGGGACTTCGCTTGTGGACCTTGCAATCAGCCAATCAGCTTGAATCTACTGCACCTCCATCGACGTCAAGGTCGGGGCACGCTCCAGAACGGCTTCCTTCTCCGCTTCGTATTCTAATCTGAGCACAAGCCGGCGGCTGTCAAACTACTCACGCTACGAGTGCACGTTTCAACCTGCTCAGCTCGTTCCTCAGAAGCCCTACAGGCCCAAGCCCATGGCTCCAACAACGAAGTGAAGTGCTTTACCTGGCGAATACTTTGTTGCAATCAGTCTAGCAGCAACCATATGTTGTTCTGGGCTGCAAACATACGCATCTAGAGCGCCTCTCCACTCCTCCAGGTCCAGGAAACAGCAAAGCACCGCAAGCTTCTGCAGTAGATAATCGTTGCCAGTGGCAGAAATTGTGCGTGTTCAAGCTCGCCTGCGATGATGGAGACCTGAAGCAACGGGTTTTGCGAGGCTGCAATATGCGTCCGGATCCATAGACGTCCAGCTGTAAGTTGATGCAACACATGGGGGGTGGTGGGCTTATATATATATATATATATACTGTACATGCCTTATGTGCAGCGCAAGTGATAATGATAATGCTCCTTTCAGGGAGAGAGGCCAGGTGCTGAACCGTGTTAAGGAAGGACAAAGAATTCTTCGGCACCAAGCAGAGCTACATACTCCCAGGGTGATGATAACTAGCAACGCCCCATCCGAACGCTGTTTGTGGGCCATTCGACCAATCCAATGTCTGTTTGCGACTGGGCCTTTTGCCACCCGCCTAGCAGACAGCCGCACTGTATGGTAACAAGTCGAATAGGTCGACGGGTCAAAGGCAGGGAAGACTTGTGCTCCCCTCTCGAGCTAACTTCCTTGTCCCTCCAGGGCTACCTCCACCAGAGCTTTGACGATCTGTATGCTCAACTCGCGGCCGGGACAAAGACGCGGGTAGTCACATTCTCTGGAGCTGAAAGCCTTTCCATTCCATGTCAGTGCATCTGGCAAGTTTGGACGTGCAGGATCGAATTTGTAGGGCTCCGGGAACTTGGTCGGATCCAGATTGCTTACGTTGATCACCCCGGCAGCATGCGACTCCTGTGCCGACCCAATATCCAGGCCCAGCTCCTTCGCGGCTTTTGCAGTCAGCCGGGTGGTGAAGGTGCCGACCGGAGATGAAATGCGACAAGTCTCCATGATGAAAGCCTTGGGGTCCTTCTTGTACAATGAAACCATCCACTGACTGTTTGCTCCACCAAAGTCCACTCCAGTGTTGTCCTCTGACTGCTGTGCCAAGAGGAACCTTGGCTCAATCCCACACGGCGTGCCTCCATCAGAGCATGCTACTCCTACTGCCAGCCATGACAAGTCGCGGCATGCAATCTCACATCAGTCAGGACACTTTCCCACCGAAGATGCTGCTCTAGTAGGTCCCCCGATTCCAGCAAATCCAACTATGAACATGAGTTCATTGCACAAGTCGATATCATACTTGCGACGGTTGGCCGGGCTGAATGAAGAATTCATAGTAGTGAAAACATGCCTCGGGCATGGACAAGTGCCACTGCGTGCCGTTTATGTAGCCTACTAGTACCTTTGGCGACTTGATGTAGCAAAGCTGCTCCAACTTGCGCTGGCAGATCAATCTGATGGTTTCCGCACGCAACTCTTTTGACTTGACAATGAGGAAATTGAACATCAGCCTGTGACGGCGTGGCAACGCTGTGTCGTGTGCCCTGGACAGTGCTGCAGGCGAAGATGTGGGTTCTCTCGCTCTCTCTCGGTCTAATCGTCAGCTGCGTCGCCGATGCATAAACCGCGGCAAAACCTGTATCTTGGCCCATGTAGCCCATCGTCTCATGATCTCGGCCTGATGGTGACGGCTGTGGCATGCGTCTAGTCTAGAACATCTATGCAGCAACAGCAGGGCAGCCACACGCCCAAAGAGCATCAAGTTGCCTCCTCTCCCGTTAGCCACTCGCCGAAGAAAACGTAGAACACACAACGGGATACCAAGCCTGCTGTTACCTTGGCACTGCTCATGGCAGGCTGTGGCATGTGACCGCGTGATTCGATGGCCTGGATAGAGGCCAAGTCCTCCAGGCTCGGATTAGCCCAGGCTTCTTTGACGAGTCCCTGCACAGATGGCAGATGGGCTTGGATACGCAGCAGCTTGACCTAATTGAAGGGTCAGCGTGTCGCGCAGTGCCGAGTCCTTCAAGTGCCCTACCCGCTGCGTGTAGTTTGGCCCCTGCTCCTGGGACGGGTGACGGATCGGCATACTAGCCATGCAACCAATCATGTGGCCGGCATATGATATATGCGACTGAAGTGCCGAGAGCCAGAAATCATGAAGAGCCCTCCGGGTTTCCGCCCACTTGGAGGTCGACTTGGCCTGGCCCATCCGGTTGAGAACATCCATTCGCAGACACTACTTGATGATGTGCGACCCTGGCCTCTAACTCGTTCGGCATGAAAATTAATAAATCGCGAGGGAAGACTTCTGGAACCACGGCATCAAAAGCGGCCCGTCCCAGTCCCCGATCCTGTGCGCCCATGGCCTCAGAACGCACCCTCAATGCACGTCTTGATCTCGCAAGAGACTGGATGCCACCAAGTACGCCGTCTTCGATCACCAGAAGATTTCAGAAGAGTGCTCATGTGGCTTGAACCGGCTACGCTCAGAGTCCTGGTGCAACCACTTCACTGCTACCCACATCCTGTGCCGGCACTACTCACTTCAGATCGAAGTAGGGAAGTGTTGAGTTGAGAATTCCTTGAGAAAGGCTATGGACTGGAAGGAGTACGCATACATCGATTGGAAACACCAACCCCTTCTGATTTATGTTTACCCCCACTGTGCGACAAGCCGTGCACCTGATAATCTTGCGGACATGTTGCAAGTTGATCTGCCAGAGCGTGCGTTCCGGTGAAGAAGCCTGCAAGGAAGCAGTTGTCGGCTGTTTTGGCTGGGCTGTCAAAGCCAATGGCCTGCCTTGCCCGTGCCACCAAAAGTCCGGCGATCCTTGCGTTTCGCCTGCATGCACCCAAATTGGCCTCTAAAGCCTCTCTCCTTCCCGATTCTCGCCTTCGAGGCTTGCTTGGCTGGGCTTGGTATGTAGGATATTGATTACGGGCGCTGGTTGTCGATTGCATTTTGCACGTTCCCACGTTGGCTCCATCTCCCTGCTTCTCCTGCATCTCTCCACACAAGAACCATGCTCTGCAATTTCCACACCAGCCTTCAAAGGCGTAGGCGCTAACGCGCCGCTCTCCCATGTACCCGACCAGAGTGCCAAAGAGAAGGTGCCAGTTCCAGTAATACCAGGAAAACAACACCTTTCCGCATCCTGGCGAATTGCAGCCGAAATTAGTCGTGACAAGACTCACAAGACATCGAGAACTTAGCGGTGTCACCTGTGGCAGATGTTTGATGCCATTTTGCCATGCGAGCGATGTGAGCAAAGTACGGGGGGACCAAGATGGCGAGCAAGTTGTTGACCTCCCGAGGCACAAGGGAAGCTTCAGGAACCATTATAACTCGTATGGCAAGGGACCGTCGCTGCCAAGGTGCCAGGAGCATTGGAAGCAGCAACACCGCCGGCAAGATCATGGGCCACGATGAAGAGGCATCGACGCTAATCGCGGGTCTAGACAAGAGCTCCTGTCAGGGATTCGAGCGCGAGAGTCGCGAGAGGCAAGTTGCTGCAATTTGCCAGGCCTCCAGTGATCCCCAGGTTTGGGCAATCAGCGGATCTTCTTTCCGAGCGTCAAGGGCAGCAGCGCGCCGCCTCAAGCTGAGTGACGAGCAAAAGCTCGCCAATGGCCTCAGACATCTGGATTTGTGATGCCGCTGAGGTGTCCATGTGCGTGTAAGTAAAAGCCCGCCTACTTTCACAAGCCTCGTCTACCCTCGATCCTGCTCGTCTCTTAACCCTCGATTGTAAAGGCTAAGCCTGAGCAAAACAGGCAATCCCAGCCGCCCAGCCGTTGCCGGGCCTGTATGGACTCTGGGCCTTCAAGCAATCCGGGAACCCCCTTTCGCCCATCAACTCAGCTGACCCTGAAAGACGGAGCGCTCAGATGCTTGGATACACCAATTCCTGAGCCTCCGACATTAGCAGAATCCAAAGCAACATGAAGGGCAAGCCCAAGATTTCGACAGGAAGGGCAAGGATGTTCACCAGGATCACCGCTACTACATTGCAGCAGCTCATCCGAACTTGTGTCCTGATGTTGGCGAAGAGATAAGAGAGAGATAAGAGAGAGATAAGACAGAGAGAGACAGAGAGAGCGAGAGAGGGACAGAGAGCGAGAGAGAGAGAGAGAGACAGAGAGAAAGAGAGAGAGAGAGAGAGCGAAAGCAAGAGCGAGAGAGAGAGAGAGAGAGAGAGCGAGAGAGAGAGAGAGAGAGAGAGGCGCGGGATGGAGAGAGGGAGCGAGCGGAAAAGGCGGTCAGCGGAGGAGGGGGAGAGGAGCGAGAGAGGCGCGACAGCAAGAACCCAGCGCAGCCGAGGAGCGAGGGCGAGGGGGGGGCGTGGAGAGAGGCCGAGAGGGGGGGCGAGGAGAGGGAGGCGCGAGCGTCGAGCGACGCAGCAAGGAGGGCGAGAGCGAGAGAGGAGCGGCGGGAGGAAAGCAGAAGAGAGCAGGGGACGGCGCTTAGGAGGCGGTGAGGGGACCGCGAGAGTGAGCGATTGCCAATAATTTCACCGCTCCTCATCCTGCGGGTCAGGATCCTTGTTCATTCCTCTTCTTTACGCCCGGGCGATGCGCTGACGAATGGTGGGCTCAAAGCGAGGGCCGCGAGGGCGTCCATGTTGTACGTTTTGTGTCTCTCTTCCGGGCTCGAGATCCCGCGACGAATCGGTCCATTCACGTCGTCCCAATACAGAGTACCAGTGCGCCATCCCTGCTGGGACCCCACAGAACAGTCAGGGATAGTCAGAGTCCCTAGGAGCTTCTCTGAACCGAGAGCCTCGAGTGCGTGCTCAAAGGCGCAACTCAATGTCAGCATGTGCAACTCAATGTAAAACTGCAACGCAATACAACGTATACAACTTCTAAGAAAATCTGTTGACGACTTAGCAGCAGGCAGATAGTATTGGGGATCAGTTCCGCTGGACTCATCTCACCTTGCCGGCAACATGGGCACAGATGCCTCACCGGCCGAGCCTAAATCAGAACATTCACAACTACTCACACGGGCTTTGCCAATTTCATCCCAAAAGGCTCAGAAGGCACACTGCCAGAAGCCACTGCGCTGAAGCAATGGCCCCAGAGAGGGTAATGAGGTCCACAAGATTCCCAGAGACTGCAATGTCGAGACTGTTCGGAACGTGACTGGAGTGTCTCAGGTCTGTTGCGAAGTGTGTGATTTCTTGAACGCAGTGCTCGGAGCATACCGGAGCATACAGCTGTACAGACGGCCTCCAAGCAGATGCAAGGCCAGAGTCCAAACACCTCGAGCATGACCTCTGGCACATGCGCCGATGTCATTTGTTGTGTCACCATGGACCATCTGGCAAAAGCACAAACAGTCCATGAACTAAGCAAACAGACAAGGCGCAGGAACTTATGGCTGTGTTCAAGGCCACTGCATCAGGTGTGCAGGACAACGCTGCACTGGTCTGCCTGGTGCAAGAGAAAAGAGAAAAGAGATGCATGAACTTGTGAGCACAGCAGCATGTTAATCCGATGTCTGAGCGGCAGATGTGCCAACGCTTGCCACCAGCGGCCCTCTAGGGCTGTCATGGCAGAATTCAGGAGCACAGCATCCTTAAGTCACAGCGTCACCGCATAGCGTATCTCACAAAGTGCTGCATTCGCGGAGTCTCTTCCGACACTTTGTGTTTCTCAAACCTGTTGTTGTCGACAATTGTCAAATCTTCTGTCAATCTGCCAAGGCTCGCGCTGAATAGACTCGGCCTCACGGAGCAGCTGCACCGCAGCCAACCAGTTAGCATGTGCGCAAGAGGTCACCAGGCGTGTTTCCAATATCACCTTAAACAGTCTTTTCGTCAGCGTTCAAAACGGATCAATGATGCCGTCACTGCCGTCACAGCCCGGTGCACAGCTAAGGCTTCTGCGTTTGGCGCAATGGCCGAGGCCGCCAGGGCCGTGCGCAGCCACAGAGCTTGGCACCAATCCGGTGTAATGATGCACGAGAAATGAACCCTCAGACATTTGAGCATCTTTAAACAAAATCTTACATATCTGCAGCAGGCACACGAGACGACGTTCTCAGCATGCGACACCAAAGAATAGCTCAGTCCAAGAATCACATCTGCTTCCATCTCTTCGTCACAGAGTCTGCGCAGTAGGCTCCAAGCCGTGCCCTCCAAAGCCCGCTTGCGTAGCACCTCAAGAAGCACAGAACCGACTTCCAGTACAATTTGGTAAAGCAAGAGAACCATCGGGCCTGAAACAACTGCAAACGGACAGAACCCTTGCACACCTTCAACACATGACGTGGCTCCGACCAAGTCGCTGCCGTCGCAAGTCTCGGCTTTCTTGCTAGTGCTGGAACTTCAGGAATGTCAGTCTTGCCCTGAGCATCATGCAATTCCTGTGATTCTGATGTTTACCAGGAAACACGAGATCAAGGCAGCCAGAAAGCGGTCTCCACAACGAGCTAAACCCAAACGAGCATCACAGCGTCCTTGAACTGCACCTTCGATCTCCATTACATTACATGGTTCTCTGCTGTGGACCTAGGAAGTGAAGCGCCAGGAGGAAAGCCACCACTGGAGAAGTGTCACCGCACTCCCCGGACGCCAGTGTCGAGATTCCGAGGGTGCTCTTCAATCGTCTCTGCGCAAATCGCAGAAGAAGCCAACTTTAAAAGAATACACATCCACCTTGCAGGTTCCAGTCCGAAGAGATGTCTGAGGCGCCCATGTCAGGGCACGCTCTGCGTCGCCACTGTTCAGGCTCAAACTTACTGTCACACTCGAGCCACAGCATTCAACAAGAGCAAAAGCGTCTAACTTGCCGAGTCAGCAGCTCAAATTCAACTCTGAAGTGTCATGCTTGCTATCATACTACAGCTCAATTGATGGGAATTATGTTCAGCAGAGTTGAGAGTTGGCTTCACATCGGAGGCATTCTTATTCTGAGTGGCAGCTGAGGACCACACCAAAGCCTCGGGACTATGGCCCTATGGCTAGTGTGTTTCTTGAGCTGGACGCCTGCCGCCTGGAAAAAGCGCAAGGAAACGGGAGACAGCCTTGCTGATAAACCCTTGCATCGCTGCAGAGTGTGTGCACCGGATCTGAGCTGGACCAGCCAACGCAACTTGCACTGCTCCATCGCAAAAGTCGAATTACCGCGCAGGTCCTTTTTTGGTAAATCGAGGCACTGGGCAGCATCTAGCTGCAAAACGACTGCCCGCCCAATGGTCGCCGCAGGCCTGTGAGGCTTTGAGTCGTCTATTTGCTCTGGAAAGACTCACAAGCTCAACGAGCGGATGCATTTACAGCCACCAGGATTTACTGCCTTCCCCTCAAGACGAACGGCTCGAATCGTTGCACGATCTGGTCAGTAGTCTTCAATTTGCCGTTAGATGAGGCAACAACGTCATGCCAGGGCCTTTGACTGCTGTGAGCCTGGTGCCACTTCGTCCTAGGAGTTCGACATGGTTCGACGCATCCTGCTGGAAAGCTCTGTGCGTTGCAAAGGCATTGCAGAGGCATACTCCGAATTTGCCGTGACACGCGGCGAGCCGTCGGCATGCTGACATGCCGACAGCTGCATCTACTTCCCAGTCCCAGACAACTGTACATCTTCCCGTCTCAAGAATCGAAGAGGGGGTTCCTCGTTGTTGGACCAGCCTCAAGAGACTGCGAAACGTCGCAAACCTGATTTGTCTGAGAGATGCACATGTCCTAGCAATCTAACCATCTTAGAATCTTCTCCTATCCATGACATGTCCAGTTGAAAACACTCTGGACCCGTCAGCACCCGATAGGCATGCCTTCTTTGGTGCAGCGGACGGAGTTTCATCGAACAGCCCAGACCTTCGATGCATCACTTTGAATATTGAACATCTTTGTGAGCATGGATACGAAAGGCACTCGAAGAGTCATCAGTCGACCGTCGGCTGGGCATGGCGCTTGGCAGCACCAGCACCAGGAAAAAGAGCTGATCCTGTGAAATCCAGCCAACATGGGACACGGTCAACTCAGTGACTCAAGTTGAAGTGCGGCAGTGCATCTAAGTGCTCATGCCGTGTAGTGGCCGTGGCCTCCAGGACGAGCTGCCACCTGATGCCGCTTGGCTTCCCAGATGTCGGAGGCCGCTCCCACCAGACTCCAAACTCTAAATCACTCTAGAGGACTGTGACTCAGTTCTGAGAAACCCCACAGGTGGTGCACTCACAACCGGAGCTGGTCTGGCAGGCGCCTGGCAACAACACGAAGTCTTGAGAAGCATTGGGAAGAATTGCAAGACACACTGAGAAGCCATCGCAAAGCTCACGGCCTGGGTTTGTGCACTTGCTGGGGGTGCTTGAGCCGTCGGCACGGTGCGCTGCTGTGCCGGATATCCTCCTTCAAGAGAGCAAGTGTGGGCATCTGGGTGACTAGGTGAAGTTAGTCGCATGGGCGTCTTGGGGAACTCAAAGTGGTGCCAACAAGTTCTACATGCTGAAATTGTGTCACATTCTTGCATGTCAGCTTTGGGCCTGTGATGCGACAAGAAGAAGTAGCACGAGAAAGTACTCAGAAGCATTGATTGCGTCTGTGTCCGGCGAGGCATTATTGCAATTCCCGTGTCAGGCCTTTGTCACTCGCAGGCACCGGCCTCCGTCGCAACTTCGTAACTTCTGGAAACTTCCAGGAACGGTCAGGAGATGTCAATCTGAGTCGCCCACTCTTCATCTTCGGCTTCGAAAGCTATGGCTGCCAACGTGGGGTCCCGTGTCAAAACCTGAATTGCAAATCGGCCACAAGTGACCATGGGCACAGGTGCAAACCTCCCGACTCGTTGTGTCCGCTACTCAGAGGGCAGCAGAACTGGCGCGCTGCAGAATGGAAAGCAGAGCGGCAAGGCTCTTGCCTAGCATTGTCTTGCGCAAGCTCACCTTTCCACCTTCCTGTGCTCAAAAACTGAGCTGTCCGCGTTCCTCCAGGATGTGAGGCCTCTTATGGACGGCGCGGCAAAATCTGCTTTGCTTCACTGTTGTGCCCACCCTTCCAAGCCACAAGATGCCGCTTCCAGAGGGTCTGGCAAGGCTTAAAGGGCTTTCGGGCTCAGGTGCTTTTTCAAGCTGGGGTTCTTTGCGGAGGAGGCTGTACTGAGAAAAGAGAGCAAAAGCGTCGTAGTTTAAGGGAAGAACACCTTAGACTTCCGCCTAGTGGCCCAAGTGGCCCAAGTGGCCCAAGTGGCCCAAGTGGCCCAAGTGGCCCAAGTGGCCCAAGTGGCCCAAGTGGCCCAAGTGGCCCAAGTGGCCCAAGTGGCCCAAGTGGCCCAAGTGGCCCAAGTGGCCCAAGTGGCCCAAGTCACAAAGCCCTCCATTGCTGTCTGAGTGACGGCTCGCCAAGGAGCTCAGAGATCTTATCCTGAAGGCTATGGCATGACATGCGAACACTGTGAGAACTGGGAGAACACTGTGAGAACAGTGCGAGAACATGTCACTGTCACGCAATCCTTCTGGTTCAGCGCGTTCAGCAGCTCAAACTGCAGCTTGTCCTGCACCTTACACTCTCACAAAAGTCTGCAGACCGCTCAGCATGGCTCTCAACACCCGTACGATTTCTCCAAGCCACCGCCCTGACGAGATAGAAGCCAATCGCCTTCGGCACTGCGTCGCGGACGTTGCGCACCTCAAAAGTCGACACAAAAATCAAACGTCAAGCATGTTCCCCCCCCACCCCTACCACAGCTTCTCTTTTTTAACATCAGCGTTTAGTTCCTTGGGCCGCACTGTGATGGCCAGGTATGAGTCCAACCGCTTCCGGATCTCCTGGCGAAGCGAACTTTCAGAAGATGGAAACTCTTTGAAACATCTCCAACATCTTCACATTCTTCGACTCTTTCACGTCTCCTTGACAAAAGGCCCGCTGTATCGGTGGTTCTTTTTGTCTGCCTGCTTCTGTCCACCTAGGAGGCCGTTGCCGGCTGCATGCTTGCAAACTTACATTCGAGGGTCGGGTGCAGGCACTGTGCAGGCCCTGCAAAACGAGACCGAGTTCACAGTGTCACTTGCTATGTCTGGGTCTGGGGGAGCCAAAGTCGGGACACAAAGAATTTAAGTTGAGAAACGCCCTGAGTGACAAGCCGAATACCGTGTTCATCTTCTGGTACGCAGCACTGGAATTGTCCTCACACAAATTCTTGTGCCCATGGTGAGCAAAAGCCGTATCCAACACAAGATGCACAGAACGAAGAATCTTAGGGGCACATTGGATCCCAGATCCACGCACTCGGAACTTGGGCCTTGATCTGCTGCACAGTTTTCTCACCGAAGGTAGGGTCCTCAGCAAGCTCAAGTGTTGCGGCATGTTGCAACACTTTGCGTGGGGCCACTTGTGAAGGCCCTTTGTTGTCCTTCTTCTCTTCCTCCGGTGGTGGTGGCTGCCTCTTCTGCTCCTGGGGGACTCAATGGAGTAGACACGAGAGAAGGGGCCGTTCGAAAGATGCTGAACCTTTTGGCAGAGCAACTCCAGAGTCTCCTTGTCTTCGTACATTGGTTCCATGGAGCCATGTTCTGTCAAGTAAGACCTAGCTCTGGGAACATGTGCACTCTCTGGTGCGCGGCACGTGCGCAGAAGGTGCGCAGCCTGTGTGCCACAAGTGCGGCAGTGTCCGAGAGCTGCCTAGAATCAAAGCACTAGCAAACATGATTCTTGGGGCACGCGCGGATCGTTTGTGAAGAGGTAGCCGACGCTGCAGGCGACCTTGCATCATCTTGATCTCAGGAATTTCTCGAATCAAAGAAGCAAAGGACTACAGCGAGGGGCTACAGCAAAGGGCTACTCAATTGCTCCATGCAGAGTCCTCAGAGGACGAGGGGTATTTCAGGCTTTCATCAAGCTTTGCCGGCTTGGCCAAGGCAGCAATGACATCATGACACGTGAGGCGTCTTCCATGCCAGGAGCCTGCTGCTCCACCACAATGCGTGTCTTGTCCTTCTGCTCCTGGATGATGTTTGCTGTCATCTCCAAACAGACCTGCTGCGACATGCATGCCACACGCGTGCATTTCGGCACAGGCATGTCTGAAGAAATGATGTGACCTACCGTTGCACAAACTCTGTGTCATGGAGGCATGTAAATTCGACACAAACAACGGGGTCCGAGATGCTCTAGTGACACTAGTGGTCCATGGTCTTTGCGTGCCTCAGCCAGTTTTGGGAAACGGCGGAAAACGGACTGGGCCATGCGCTGGGACAACACCTCAGTCGTCGTGACTACCTCTGCAACTGCTGGCAAGCAAAGGGTACCCAAGTGTACGCTTGAGAGCCAAGGTCTGCGATGATTCCAACCATGCTGTGCTAAGTAAGCACTTCAATGCCACCATACGATGATAGGCAAGATCAAGTCCCAAAAAGGAATCCCAGCACTCCCTCAACGGAAGCTCACCTGAAGATTTGGAATGGCTCTGCTGATGCACATTCTCCGAAGCATGACTGGGCCCACCGCGTCCAGAGCCGAAGCAACGTTGTGCACACACCTGGGTTCAGACACTAAGAAATGGCAAGGCGTGAAACCGCGCATGCAAAAAAGCTCGGAAGGATCGGAAGGCTCAGAAGGCTTGGCGCAGAACTCCACCGCAGGAATGGAGATCTTCTGTAAGTGCGGCCTTGACTTGCAATCACACAACGTAAAAGAAGCATAAGAAAGAAACGAAAGAAACAAAATGCAACATAAATCAGATATACGAAATGTACGTAGCGTACGAAGTTTCCACCCCCGAGGCACTTGGGACCCCCCTTGCCCCCCTGCTGGAGTTTTCTGGGAAGCTGAGAGCCACCTCTTGAGCCGTTCGAGTTGCCATGCACATAATACAAGCTTATGCCAAACCCAGAGAAGGATAAGTTAGGGTGGCTTGGCCCAGTTAGACGGTTCCCTTCGCAGTTTCCGAAGCCTTCTAGGCCACTCTGCATCCCAACCTTGAAAACTTCTGCGCTATATCACAGCAAACCCTAAACTCTAAACCCCATAAGAAAACGAATGCGACTTATACGGGGCATACGGAGCATACGAAGCACACGATCAATGCACAACATGCGAAGCAAACGTAGTATATGCAGCATACGCAGCAGAAAAACACGCGAAGCATGCGAAGCATGCGAAGGTCACGAAGCATACTAAGCATACGAAGAAGACGAAGTCGATTCTTACAAGGACGTCTACGTTCTACGAAGTCTACGACGTCTACGAAGTCTAGGAAGTACCAAGCATGCCAGGTACCGACATGGAACCATGTGAGCACCGCACAATGCGAGGTACTCGAAGGTGTCTGGGGAAGGAAATCCTGGAAGCGAGTCACCTGGGTGTCAGACATTCTGGAAGAATGTTCGTGCAAGGCAAGAAATATGCTTTGAGACTCGACTTGAGGCCTTGGCCCTCGTGCATTCGGATGGCACGGTCGATGTCATCATCAGTCATTTCTGCTGTCATTGGGACATCCAAGTAGTCGGCCTTAGGGCACATCGAACAACCATTCTAGCACTTGATGTGAATTGATGTAGATCTTGCACGAGACGCTGACCTAAAGGCTTAAGGCTGCAACGAGAAAGTCATTCATGACCTGACGCCTAAGACTGCTCAAAGATCTCAGAGCTGCAAGTTGCCGGAACGAAACAAAGCTCAGGAAAGCTGCACACCGATCTATGCATCAATAGAATCTCAAAGCCAATGTTTGAGACGTTGACACATGGGCTCCACCTGACATGGAGCTGCTGTCGCCCCCCTGCCTTGCAAAATCTAAGAAGTACGGTCATTGGTGGCACATGATGGCAAGCAGCGGCACCATTGGCATGTGCTCAGTAGCAGGCAAGTTGAACATGTAGCGCTGAAGCTTCCGATCATACTTCCCACCTTGGTTGCCAGACAAGTCAACGTTTTGGGCTGTCAAGAACTGTCTGCATGACGCGGCGGATGGTGTTCTTGAACATCTCACAATAGTCAGTGATCATCGTCCACCTCAAGCACATGCTGATATAGAAACACAGCTTGAACGAAAGCAACGTGAAATTGAAAACGTTACATAGTCTCACGGCTTTTCAGGACCAGTGGCATTAACTGCACGCGTCCATGATCCTCGAGAGGGATGCCCTGACCTGGTGCAAGAAAAGCACTCATAAACCACAAACAGAAATGTATGCATTTAAACATATTAGTATCTATGCATATATGAGTGTGTACACATTTTACTATGCATATATGTATGTATATCTGCATATTAATTATGCCTTTCCAGGCCTGCCCTTACCCCCCCCCCCCCCCCCGCCCACCCATGCTCATGCTATCCACCGCTCCCTATCCTCGTCATGTCGTCACTTTTGGGATGTCGTACCTGCCTCAAGTTCAAAAAGCGCCGACAGTTACCAGGATGCCACCCCCTAACCCCGAGACCCTAGAACCCAAAGATGCTAAAGCCCTAGGCTAAACCCGATGCGCGAAAACACACGTTCACCAACCAGGGGGCAGTTTGGGCTCGACCACAGGCGCTCCTCCCCCGCCCCGCGCTTCCGGTTTTAACTCCAGCCCCACACGACAGTGCCCCCTGATCCAGCTTTCTCTGTACATGGCCTGCATGTCCTCTCGCTAACAAACGCCTCCCCACTGCGCAGGCCCCGGCCGAGGCGGATCGCGCAGTGCGAAAATTAACCCCTAACCTTAAACACCCACCACCACACCACAAAGGAGGGGGCGGGACTGTGAACGTTAAGGCTAAACCAAGGCCCCCAACATAGCAGGAAGGGGCGGGGAAAGGAAGGGTGGGGCCAACCCAGAATCACATGCAAATATATATATATATATACATATATATATATACATATATATATATATGGTCGCCCCCCCCCCAATGGACCAACCTCCAACCCCAATGGACCCACATCGGCATGTATAAGGTTCTCGAGACACTGCAGCCTGCCATGCTTTCCCTGTCTACTTCTTTATGCTTTTGTGCTTCCTGTGCTTTTTTTGTGCTTTTTGTCGTGCATTTTTGTGTGTTATGTGTTTTTTTGTGTTTTTTTCTGCTTTTTGTTGCACTTTTTGCACTTTTTTGCACTTTTTGCACTTTTTTGCACTTTTGTCTAGTTTCACAACATTTTTGCAAATATTTGTCCTCTTGAATGTGCTTTTCCAATCCAAAAATCCAAAAACCCAAAAATTCAAAAATCCAAAAATCCAAAAACCCAAAAATCCAAAAACCCAAAAATCCAAAGTTCTCCAGACAATCTCCTAGGAAACTTTGGATTTTTGGATTTTTGGGTTTTTGGATTTTTGGATTTTTGGATTTTTGGATTTTTGGATTTTTGGATTTTTGGGTTTTTGGGTTTTTGGATTTTGAAGATTTTTCACATTCGAGGTTCTCCTTTCTTTTGACTTATAAGAGGGCGGCCATTTAAGCACTAAATTCACAGGATATCATTAAATGGCATATCCTAGATGGTTTTGATTATACAGTTTCTGAATTTGAGAACCATGTCAAGTCTTACTTTTCAAATCACTGAGGTAAACACGTACGTGTGTTATGCACAGGGCTTTGCTAAGCAGGCTTTAGCAGAGAAAGCCCATGTTTGTCAATATCTACTTTTAAAAGAAGCTGAATTATCATTTTTTCCAAGAACAACCATTCTGGGATCCTAGTACCTGCTGTTTAAGAAAGGTTATATGTCATGAACACCCTGACTTTGCGATAACGAGTGTTTTTGTTTTCTGGTCCTTTAATTCAGGCTCTTAATATTGAGTTGCCCACCTTTGATTATTGCAGTAAACCCTGCTCGAATCTGATTAACGTCTTAACTAAGTACTCGATTGAAGACTGTATCGTTAAAATCCTACGTAGCCTGCTCACAACACCAACGAGATTTCGAAATATCCTACTCAAACAGCCAACAAGAGGCTGAACAGAAGCGTTCAAGACAGTAATAGGGCTTAGGCCCAAAATACGGCTAGTGCACTGTCCACTCGAGGGTCGGGACTTCCTGTATGGAAGTGAAGTGTGCATTCATTTCCAGGGCGCGCATTTCATGCTATGAGGATACTATGAGGTTCGGTTGAACTCTTATTTTATATTCTTGCATATGGAGCCCCTGTAAGTATCTCGTGTATATAAGTATCAGAGTTTCAATGGCGTCCTACTCGAAACGTGAACACTAAATTCACAGGATATTAAATGGAATTAAATGGCATATTCTAGAAGGTTTTGATTATACATGTAAAGTCTTAGTTTTTCAAATCACTGAGAAAAACACGTACATGTGTTATGCACAGGCCTTTGCTAAGGAGGCTTTAACAAAGAAAGCCTATATTTGCCAATATCTAATTTTGTGCATCTGAAAGAAGCTGAATTATCATTTCTTCAATAAGAACCATTCTGGGATCCTAGCACCTACTGTTTAGAAAAGGTTATCTCTTATGAAAGCCCTTACTTTGTGATACGAGTGCTTTAGTTTTTTGAACAGGATTCCAAGTAGTTCACCAGCCAGAGACTGGACCTAAGCCCTACTACTTTCTTGAACGCTTCTAATCGCTTTTTGAGCAGGATACTTCAACATCTTATTGGCTCTTTGAGCAGGCTACTTGGGATTTTTCATTCACGTTTTGAGTCGTTTGGATGTTTTTGAAATTCTGACAAGGGTACATGTGAATGGCCGCCCTCTTATAAGTCAAAAAATTCAGAACCTCGAATGTGAAAAATCTTCAGAATCCAAAAACCCAAAAATCCAAAAATCCAAAAATCCAAAAATCCAAAAATCCAAAAATCCAAAAATCCAAAAATCCAAAAATCCAAAAAACCAAAAATCCAAAAATCCAAAAATCCAAAAATCCAAAAATCCAAAAATCCAAAAATCCAAAGTTTCCTGGGAGATTGTCTGGAGAACTTTGGATTTTTGGATTTTTGGGTTTTTGGATTTTTGGATTGGAAAAGCACATTCAAGAGGACAAATATTTGCAAAAATGTTGTGAAATTAGACAAAAGTGCAAAAAAAGTGCAAAAAGTGCAAAAAAGTGCAAAAAAAAGTGCAAAAAGTACAAAAAAAGCACGAAAAAGCACAAAAAGCATAAACATGCATAAAAAAACACAAAATCCAAAAATCCATAAATCAAAAGTTTCCTGGGAGATTGTCCGGGGAAGTTTGGGTTTTTGGATTTTTGGACTTCTTTTCCATTGCGCGGTTGGTCCATTGGGGGGGGGTGAGCATATATATATATATATGGGTCAGCGTTCCCCTGTGTTTTTTGCACATTCCCTATTTAACCATTCAACCAATGGTTTCCGCATACGAAAACCCCTAGAACCATTAAACCATTAAACCATTAAACCATTAAACCAATGGTTTCCCCCTTATGAAAATCCCCAAAAACATTAAACCATTAAACCATTAAACCATTAAACCATTAAACCATTAAACCATTAAACCATTAAACCAATGGTTTCCACCTTATGAAAAACCCCTAAACCGTTAAACCATTAAACCATTAAACTATTAAACCATTAAACCATTAAACCAATGGTTTCCCCCTTATGAAAATCCCCTAAACCACTAAACCATTAAACCATTAAACCATAAATCATTAAACCATGAAACCATTGGTTTCCCCCATATGAGAATCCCCTTAACCATTCAACCATTTTCAAGGGGGGGGCAACCATTGCTTTAATGGTTTAATGGTTTAATGGTTTAATGGTTTAATGGTTTAATGGTTTACTGGTTTACTGGTTTAATGGTTTACTGGTTTAATGGTTTAATAGTTTAATGGTTCATTGGCTTAATGGTTTAATGGCTTAATGGTTTAATGGTTTAATGGTTTAATGGTTTAATGGTTTAATGGTTTAATGGTTTAATGGTTTAATGGTTTAATGGTGCTCCTGCCGAGGTACCTCGACCGCATCTTTTCTGCTCCTAAAATTCTGATTCGCACGCAGTGTCCCCTGTGTCTTTTCTGCTCCGAATATTCTGAATCGCAAGCAGTGTCCCCCCGTGTCTTTTCTGCTCATAAGTGTATGTATACTATATGGGATTGCGCCTTAAACCCTAACTCCTTAAACCCAACTCTATAGGGTTTAAAGGTAAGGGCTTAGGTTCAATCGCCGGCTCAGGTTTACATGCTTCAATCTTAAACCCTGAACCTGTCAACCTTAACCCTATAGGGTTGGGGTGCCTACATCATGATCGGATTTGACGAGCTCTGCGGAAATATCTATATGACAAGGTTATAACTTATTGCTGTGCTTATGACTATGGCTTGGGGTTTGATTTTTATACACTTATGTAAACCCAAAAACTCAGGGGAAGCCCATCACGCCCCATTAAGCGAAACAAAACATCTGTCCCAAAGACTTTACCTTAGCTAAGATATCTCAAGCAACCATCCCCCGAAAAGCAAAACCTGAATTCCATCATTTAACGATATAGTTTGCTTATATGTTGAATCCCAGCAAGTAGGATATATGTGTATGAAAGGTTATAACTTTTTGCTGCGGCTATAACTAGGGTTCAGGGTTTGATTTATATACATGTAAATAAACCTCTAAGACAATGAAGGTAACCCCATCACGCCCCAATAAGCAAAACACAACCTCTATCCTAAAAACTTTACCTAGGCTAAGATATCGCAAGCAACCATCCCCCGATAAGCAAAACCTGAATTCTATCATATAACGATATGGTTTGTGTATATTTTGAATCCGAGGAAGTGGTGAAAGGACGTTTGCTCACAGTATTCTCGCGTCACCGGGACGAAAGCCCTACAAACGTAGGCATAACCCTATGGGAGTTAAGGTTTAGGGATTTAAGCCCCAAGCCCTATAGGGCTTTAAGGTTCTATTGTATTGGTAATGCCCAAACCTTTAACCCTAAGCCTTTAAACCCTGTAGGGTTCAATGGTTCAAGAAAACCTAAGGTCCGGGCATGTATACCTTCAGCACCCTTTAGGGTCAAAACCTTTGTTCCTTGTAGAGCCCTATCGGGCTTTAGGGTTCTGACCCTAAACGGTTCAGGGTTGAGGTTTAACTGCCCGAACTTTCAACCCTTAAGGTTACATCTCTATGGGTTTAGGTTTAAAGTTTAAAAATACCTAAATCTTAAACCCTAACCGCTTAACCTTCACTCTATCGGGTTGAACGGTTAGGGTTCAGGTTTCATTGCGGGCTTACGTTTAAATGCCTCAATCTTAAGCCCTAAACCTGTCGAACTTAACCCTATAGGTTTGGGGTGCCTACATCATCATCGACTTGTTGCTGTGGTTATAACGATGGTTTAGGGTTTAAAATATATACATTTATGTAAACCTACAAAAAAAATAAGGGGAACCGCAAATAAGGGGAACCGCAATAGGCGGACGCCCATATATATATATATGTATATATACATATATACACGTATATTTGCATGTTTGTCTATTTCTCTGTTTTTACACACATAAATTTTCTCTTAAAATATACATATACATATGCATATACACATACACATACACATACACATACATATGCATATGCATATACATACACATATATATGTACATACTGCATATATAGATATATACACACATATATATTTCTCCCCGCATCGTATGTACCCTGTGCAAAGACCAGATGCTACGTGTTTTTGCAACCATCTTGAACAAGTACCAAGTGATGAGCTTGGCTGTACGAGAGGTAGGTAGATGGGGAATTCGCGAAGACGGTTGAGTTTCGAAGGGCCCCTACCCCTGCCCTGCCGTTGCTGCAACTTACTTGTAGAACAAGGTAATTCGGGTGCACAGTCCAAACCGTCCACACCCCAGCCAGAGATCGTAAACTGAAGCGTGAAGAAGCATGGATTCACGAAGGCAAGCAGAGAAACGAGAGTGGTAGGACATGGGGTTGTGACCATATACGGTTCCGTGTCGCCGTGTCAGCAGCACCCCCCTCCTCCACCCCTCCCTCGCACACGCAAAGCTAAACCCTGTACCCTAAACCCCAAGTCGTAAACCCCCAAACTTTAAACCCTAAACCTGCAACCCTGAACGGATCCTCCAAAACTGAAAACACTTTCGAACCCCACCCAACACCCACAACCTCGAAAAGCCTAAGCCCCAAAACTCTAGAACCCTTCAACCCTAAATCCCCTAAGCCCTAAATACCCACCCCCCACCCCAAACCACAGGGACCACAGGGGCGGCGGGGGGGGGATACCATACCTTGGTGACACTTCCCCCCCCCCCCCCTGGGCATCCCCCCTCCCATGGTCTACGGTCTCCTCGAAACCAACCCTATACCCCAACCCCGAACCCCTAAACCTAAACCCTAACCCCTAACACCCCTAAACCCTAAATCCTAAACCCTAAACTGAAAACCCTACATCCTAAACCCTAAAGCCCGACACCCTAAACCCCAAAACCCTAAAAAAAAAAAAAAAGGAGAAGCGAGAGGGTGGGCCTTATTCACGCGTCTTTCTATCAATCATTCCGAATCATTCCGTCATTCATCAATGTAACATCAGTGTGATCAAGTCTTGTGTGCCATAGGTCTCACAGCCTTGAAGAGTGCTGAGAATGAATCTTACTAACTTACTAGCCCCGGGCGCCCAGCCCAACTCTTCGAGGCGATCTTGCACGGTCCTGATGCTCAAAAAACGCTATAGAGGCTATAGAATTTCGAAGCAGTGCTCCGCAAGACGTATATCTGAAGCACCATGGCCTTCGCCTTTCGTTGATCTCTTTTTTGATCTCTGGCAGAAACCCTCAGCAGTAAAGATGCCAAGGTTGTCGTTGCACACTGCGTCCTGAGCCCTGAATTCTGAACTATGTTCCCACAGCAGGTTCTAGACAAGTGTCGCCGGATGTGCTTGAAGAGAATCCTCAACTTGCCACGCTCAGAAAGCTGGCGGCCACACAGTCCACAGCATGGAGCGCATGCGGTGCACACATTGACGTCCATGCATGTCTCCAAAACAGGATACGTATGGCAGTCAGTATCTCATGCAACGCAGGTGCTGCGTCAGCTTGTCAATCAGGGTGCTGGTTCCCACCAAACCTGCCACTGCACGGATCAACATCAAAGCAACATCAAAGCAACCCTGTAGGAGACTTTCCGGCACCTGGGGGAAGCTTGCTGTAGAGGCGGTGATTCTCAAACCACTCCCTGCGCAGAAGCAGAAGCAGAGCAAACACGGAGCAGACAGAGGAAGCAGAGTCAGGCCCCTGATGCGCGCCTCTCTTCTTTCAAGGAGACTTTTACTGGCTTGTTGCTGGTGATGTCCTAAAAACGAGGCAAGTAAGAAGCCAGATTCTACCATGTCGAAAGCAGCCCTTGATCCTGTTGGTTGCGCATCTTGACACCAACATAGCCCAAGCCTTAGTTGCTGTCTAAAACGATCACAGATTGCAGTTGGCCAGTGGGCAAGTCTCAGCATCACAGCTCGGCCGCGCCAGCTCTTCAGCTCTTTCCAGTTCTCAACTTGGAGAGTTTAAGACTCGGACGTAGCGGAATCTCCTCACCACGAAGCCTTCACCATGGCACGGGGCCACAGGACATACAGGACAAGAAGTGCACGAACGAAAGCTAGGTTCGACCCAACCTCGACTGCTGGTATTTCGCTAAGGCAGGGTTCTTGATGGCTCTTGGCTTGGCTTGGCTGTCCCGCAAGCGACGTAGGCTCTTAGACCCAGCTGCTGCCGCCAAGCCACATCTTGACAGCATCTGTGCCCTGGTCCATGATGTCTATTTTCGTGATCACTCCAATGGACCTGGTAGCTTGAACATCACAGCACTTGTTTTGAGGGCCTTCTTTAGAGCCTCTATTTCCGAATCACATAGACATCTCACGCGAATGCCACTCTAGCCGCTCTCATCTTCACTGTACGCCTGGATCTCGCTAGACTTATTGGGGTAGAATACTGCCTACAATCTGACCAGCGTGGTTCGAAGGCAGCTTCACTCCGGGCATGCCTCATTCCCTGGGGATCCACCTGTCTGGCCAGCTGAAGGGCATCTGATACAGACATGTCCTGCAACAGAAGATCCCAAGCCAAAGGACATGCACGTCACATCACCGACAGCTAACAAAGTCCTGGTTCGCAGGGATCACACAAAGAATGATTGTCCGTGGGTCCTGCGCACTGTCGGAAACATGTGCTGGGTTGTCAGCACGAAGTGCGGAAGGCGAAGAAAATAGAAACAACACCAAACAACGTCCTTGATGTAATGCAGCGTCATCTCCCGGGTGACCTTCTCAATGTCATCCACCTGACTCTTAAGAGACACTACAAAAGACAGAGCACACTCCAAAGAGCTCACAGATGCAACTCAGTGCCTGGTCGCTGCCTCGCAGTGGCACTCTCGTCACACCCGGCCTGTCGTTGGCACATGCCGAAGGCTGACTGCACTTACAGTGACTACAGCGCATCTTCGAAAGCCACTCAAAGCCACTCTGAGCCCTCCGGCAGATCGATGAGAGTAAGGTCTGGGGCACCCGTAGCATAGACAGTCAGCACAATCGGGTCGTTCACGATGCCCTTGTTCCTCTGAAGGGTCAGCAAAAGTCTTACCATGAATCGTTGTGTTGAGTCGCTGCCACTAATGAAAGTGGAACGCACAACACACTCAGGAAGACACGTGCCAGCCACGGCATCGGTTTGACGTTCGATCTCCTAGCTTAACAGCCGTTCGCACCAGCAGCACGTCGCATCCCCCCAGCTAGGAAAGCAACAGGCTACACAGACCTTCCGAACATCGTCGAAATTTGTGAATTTCTTGTCACCTGAGATTGGCCAGGGCGCATTACGCGAAAGTGCCTGCAACGATTGCATGCTGATTACCAACGATGTTTGGGCATGAACGCCGTAAAGGCCGTAAGTTGCAAGGTTGGCATGAGTGCTGCTGCCAGTGCCGAGCCTGTCTTCTCAAATATCGCCCAAGCTTGGCCTTCATCAAATTCCTGCACTGTCACACACACACACACACACACTCTCAAAACCGCATTCGACGCATGTTGACCAATTGGCTCTGTCCTGAGTGCTGAGATGAACTAATCGCAGCTCCAACGGCCGCCTACCAGTTGTGGCTTCCATTCACAAACCCTCTGAGCATTGATCTGTTGGACATTCTTCAGAATGCACCAAACATCTTCAAACACGTCAGCAAGTGTATCCGAAAAAATTACACAAACGATGCATGTGCCTGGCCTGGTCACCACGCCACCGCCCCGAGGCAGAAAATCAAGCCTGATATTTGTGAGGTGTTTTCGCCAAAACACAAGACAAGCATTGTGTCTTGAAGACACAATGCCCCGAGAACCAGACCCGACGATGGATTCGATCAGCGAGCTTTTCCCACTGCTTTGAGTGCCAATGGCCGCTATTCGCGGCAAGCTGATGTAGCGTTGCAACCTGAGCAACCAATGTGCAAATCCTCAGTTTTTTGGCGTTTCATGGGGGTTCACGATGGCCGAGCTCCACACCCTACATCGCGCAACTCATCAACAACCTCGGAGCTCAATGCACGAAGTGAATGCACCACATGCCATAGGGGATTGACGACTTGAGCCCGAAGCCCAAGTGTGACCAAGGCCCCGACGGTGATCAGCTGGCGCAAATTTTCATACAAGGAAGACATTTAGTTTCTGGACGGATGTTTATGGAAGGTTTGACGCACACTTAATGATGCTTGATGCTCTCCATACGACAACCCGGCAATGGCGTGTGCATTTACGTGACACTACACCGTTGTCATTGTATGTTGGAACTAAGTCAGCCAAAGCTCCAAAACAGCGACATCTTGGCACAATGCTTTCAAGGACATGTTGAATACATCGATCATGAGATTGGTCTGGTGAGACAGGTAGCTGTGTGTTGCAACAATTGAACGAACCTGCTTCTTGTGGCATGAAAAAGCCTCTGTCCCGAACTAGAACCCGAATGCACACAAAATTGATTCTTACAGACCTTTCGATTCGACCTAAGAGCCAAAGGGTTGCAGCCGTCGATCTGCAATGGTCTCTAGTTGGCTGGCCTTGGGCCCTTGATCAAGTATGCAACATGCTTCTCGCTGACTTATTCGTCATCCGGGTTGTTTTAAGAATATGCTTTCGAATATTTTGCTTATAGAAAACCTGAACTATTTGCAGGAAAGCCTCCCGCCGTTCCAAGGCTGTTTCAGCTTTGGACCACTTGCAATCATTCGCCAAAGTAATACGGCAACTGACAACCACAACTTGCACAAAATTTTTCTCTGGCACTCGGCCTTCGTGGTTAGGTTTGTCCACGTCCCGAAAGTGTTTTTTAACCGTGATGAACACCTCCTGAGATCTTTAAGTTTCAGAAGACGAAGCGTTTGGGAGATGGCACGACGACACGTTACCAAAGTCTCCATCTCCGACATTCCTTCACAATAGTCGCCTCAAATTGCTCGTAAAGTTCAATCTGAGCACTCATGGTTTGGCCCTGGCCATTGGACTTGAGGAATCACTTAAATTGTCGAACGTCTACAAGCGTCAACGCTATGACCAGCACAGACTCTCCGGCGCGAGTCTTTGCTGCGCCCTTCGCGAGTAGAAGGTGTAATCCATCTGGACCGTTTCTTGCCGTGATGCCCGCCGCGTCCGGCAACGCACGCATTCCGGACACCAGCTTCGGAATGGCAGGCGAGTGAGCCTGCGTCGTTCCTTCTTTTCGGCCGTGGGCTCGCGTGGCACGTCCCGCCTTGGCGCAGCACAGGCAAGTCCAGCTTGCTGGAAAAGGTGTCAGGGCCGCAACTGAAACAGCAGCGCCAGTGTCCACCAGCAGGTGTCCTTGAAGGGCGATTTCAGTTCATTCTTGCTTCAGTCTTGCAATGAGAGAAGTGCAGTCTCGCAAAATGCGGGTCATGTGTCCATGCGTTTGCCAGTAGATCAAAACCTCCGTCCATAATCGACACTAAATCATCAATAGATCATAAAGCCACGTCAGCGAACAAGCCGGGCATGTTGATCTCAGCAGTCGAAAGTTGTGAGTGAACACTTGCACGCAAGGACCAGCCAGCGTGCGCTATTGCCAGGGTTGGTTTGTCGTACTTGCCTGGGCTTGTCGAATCGACACTGCTGGAATCACCGGCAGCTTGCGCTTGCACATCCCCGGATGGGGATGTGCATTTCAAATGTGCTCGTCCAGAATCCCGCGCCCCCCAAAAAGCAGCACCAGCAGGAATTACAACTTGCTCTAAAGCAGCTAGGGCAGGCGGCGTTTGATGCCACATCGCCCTTATTGCAGCTCGAACGTTCCATTCAGTGACTGTTCCATTGCTGCTGAGCTGAAGCGGAAATTTGGTAAGTGTGGCAAGCTGCTGCCATTCAGGGTGTTGCCGCTTGGCATTTCCGTACAGCTTGGCCCAAAAATGATTGAGAGCTCCTTTGTTGACATGTACAGCGGTTGCCAACCCCAGTTGGGCCGCCCAGTGTGCCGTGAATGCATCGTACCAATTTGCTTGCGGTGGGGCGGCCGTTTGGCACAAACTGAAACATGCCTCCGCCAGTTTCCGTCACGGATAGAGGGAGCCGGAAAGGAAGACATAGATCGACCTCCCGGCCTGCCAATCGTCCTCGGCTCGGGTCGCCGAACAGTGAAGTCCGCTCAAGTCGGAGGCCAGGCAAGGGCGGATTACAGATATTCAAATTAATGGCACCGCCTGCTGCCGCCGTGGCTTTCTGGGCCGGCACGGCCCATGAGCGACCTGTCCCGATACAGTACTGATAGCAGCCTTCGTAAGTGGGTATGTAAGAGCACTTCTGCGGCATAAAATCTGGCGTGGCTCGACGCCAAGTCATCCACGTTTCGACGGTCGTCCCGCTAGAGAGCCTACTCACCCGTCAAAGGACAGCCCGGAACGCAGCTAAACATGGAGACCGGAAGAGCGAGAGTTCCGACGAAGAAGCAACAGAAACAGCAGCAAGTTCGTAACTGGCTTCTGAGCTCCATACTACAAACTTGGCCACCTGCCCGGAGGCGCAGTTTGGTGTGCATCGAAGGCGAGGAGCAGCCTGCCAGCCATTCGTCGGAGTCGCTTTTGCAAACCTGGACTCCAGGGATTCCTCTCATCTGACGACGCATGAACAGCAAATGCAGGCATATGCCGCTTGTGAGCAGCGCAAGGCTTCTCAGGGGAATTCCCTTTCCTCGGTGGATTCGCACATTGCTCAGTGCTCCAGTCGCCTTGCAGGGGGGAACTCTTTGTGTTTGTCGCCTGCTGGGACTTCGGGCTGCCGCAGGGGTCGTTCCATGACACTACGGTGCCAGGATTGACGCCCGTGGGGTCCTCGTCGATCGGCGTTTCCTCCGGCGTGCCCGCAGGGCACCTGCTCTTGTCCACGGTGAAGTTTTGTGCGCCTCATAGCCTGTTAGTAAGCCGGCCAGCCAGTAGTCAGGATCACCGTAACTTGCCATTCCACTCCAGAGCAATAATCTGTACATCCGTGTCTTTTCTCAGGGTTTCGATGTCTTTTTTGGATGGGGTGGTGATGGTTCAACACACAAGAAGCCTTGATATTTGAGGGGCCTAATTTGGCTCAAATGGAAAATTCTTTTGGCATGTTTATGCACTGCAAAAGATTGAAAAGAAGCCCTCGACAGGACGGCTTTGCTCGAAACAAAAGTATAAACAAGGGAGATAAAACAAGCCCCGCGAACATGTTATTGTGTGGCCCGATACAAAACATAAAGTCATATCCCGAAACATGATGAAGAAGCAGAGCCCCGAAAGCCCGAGCGAGACACGTATGGGTTATTCTCTGTAGGGGTTTCGGGGCTTAGCGCTTCGGATCTGACTATGATTTGTTGTTAACCTGCCCGGCCACAGCAGCCCTAAACCCATGAACCTTGATTATTAGGCCCTGAGCCCTAAACCCTCAACCCTAAACCTTAAACCCAAACCAAACCCCTACCCTGAACCCTAAATCCTTGTCAAGGCCCTGTCAGGTTCCGGCATCTTGATCCAATTGATGGAGAGTGACGGGGGCGCTGTGAACGCGCTGGTGAAGGTGTGACCCTTCAAAGCGCTGGTGAACGTGCAAGTTTTGTCTATGCTGGCGAAGTGTCTTGAAGGTGCTGTGCAAGTGCTGCCGCCTCTCATGGACATACATATTTTTTGGCGCAGAAGCAACATTATCCGAGGGCAGAAGCAACAGTAATCGAAGGCAGAGCTTCAAGTGCTACATTTAAACCCGAAATCTCACTCTGTTCCGGTGTAGAAGCAACTGCAAGAGCCACAAACCCTAAACACCAACTGGCTGCAGGCGCCTGAAGCCGGTGGAGAAGGCTAGTGTGGGGAGGGCAGGTTTTTCAGGGTTTGTTTGGGGCTACGTGGTTGTTTAGTTGTTCATGTTCTGAAGCCCGAGCACAAAGCTTCGAAAACCCTGAACACTAAACACCCTAAACCCTCAACCCTAAACCTCAACCCTAAACCTAAACCTTAAACCGAAAAAGAATCCACGGCAGATCAAAGCTGCCACGTTCGCAGAGATGGGGTTAGGGGTTAGGGTTGTTTGCAAGTTCGGCCGCTGCTACAGCAGCGACGGCCCGTTGGGTAGGAAGTCCTTGGGCCGCCGAGGTGTCGCGGTTCCCTGCAGAACCAAGAGCTTGGTGAGCGCTATCCATCCAGCGCTACAGGTGTAGCTATTGCCTTCAAGGATGGGTTCGCCAGAAAAGAGCTCAGAGTGCTCATAAGGATAGCATCTTTCCCAGTCACTGTCTCCTCCGCCGCTGACCAACGAAGAAGCCACGCTGAATGTCGTACTACGTCCAAAAGGGGCAGTCGGGCGCCTGCTCCATTGAGCCCTGGCAGCATAGGAAAGGCAAGAGCAGGCCTGTAGCTGCCTATCACCCAACCCCTAATATTCAAACACATGGACATGGTCTTTCCACGCAGGTTGGCGCTCACATAGCTGGGTTTCGGGTTTAGGTTCAGGGTTTCGGTTTTTAGGGTTCTCGACTTTGGAGAGGGGCTGAGAATCTAGGGTCTAGCGCTCCAGATTTAGGGTTTGTAGAGTTTTGACTTGGATCGTTGAGGGCTCAGGGTTTGTGTAAGGGCTGAAGAGTCGTGCTGCAAATCATGGGAGCCATTTTACTACCTGCCCCCACGTGACCCCCATCTACGCCCCCACCCCCTCCCCAAAAGCCGACCAGCCCAACAAGACCCCGGCAAAATCAAGAAATCCCACCAAATCTCTCAAACCCACCCTCTTTCCCGAAGATTGCCCCGCGTCCCTTAAACTCGAAACCCTAAACTCTGCAGCCCCAAAGCCAAACCCTAAACCCCACACCCTAGACCCGAAACATCCCTCGAAGGTTGCAGAAGCCAACATTTCTTCTGTGACTTAGGGCTTTCAAGTTTAAGGTTTAGGGTTTGGAGGTTGCAAACCTGAAACCGTAAACCTCTAGAAGACCTCAGAGATGTTTTTCTAGGGTCTGTAAGCAACTCGTAGACACTGGGACTCTTGTAAACACCTCTACTGCACCAAGCCTACACGCGACAACCTCTAAAGTTTGTCGCACTGGCAAGGCAACCCCACAAGTCACATTTACCAAAAAGAGATGCATGCGCGCGCACATGCCCCACCATCCCCCCAGCCCAACTAAGCTGCCACG